ATTGAGACACTCCCTGTAGCTAGCTCTGTAGACTTTTGATATCCTTTCGTACAAGGCCTATAGGTGGCTTGTTGAATCTAGGCTCTTTGTGATCCCACGCACTCCCATATGCCTCTGAGTGATCCTACGACCGAAACAGATCCGACCTGCCTTACCTGCGCCGTTACACTACTAATGTTTTAGCCAAGTCCACTAATGCAGACCCCTGCTTACTAGCAGGCCAAATAGCCGCTTAGTGGTAGGACGAATAATTTTTGCCCTAACAGACGGAACTGCCTGATGACCCGAGAAGCTTTGGGTCCGCAACTGACGTGTGCATGGAGCTGTCAGGCATGCCGCACACACGCTTTAGCCCCGGATTACCATGGCACGGCTCAGCTGCGGAGCCCCTCCCCGCCTAGTCGTCACAATGACACCACATCCTCAAAAGAGATCGAACCGTGTCTAACTGTATTCGGGCTAGTACCGTTCGATTTCTTTTGATGAGGGGGTGATGATGCTGGTATCCATGCTGCAGCGCATTACTTACATACACGTACAGTGCAGGCCTCCACTCAGTATGGCAGCTACTGCCGCGACGCGCTGACATCAGCCATTCGATGCTGTGCCAGTCTCGTCGAGCTCTTCACCCCGCATACAGCCTCCTCCAGCTTGCCCGACACCACGCCCAGAGCACCGCTGCATCTCGCCTCTATACATCTGCAATGGCGACGAGCAAGAAAGCGCGCACCCACCCGCCGTACGAGCTGCTGTACTGGCCCGGCATTCCCGGGCGCGGCGAGTTTGTCCGCCTGGCCTTTGAAGCAGCATGTGTCTCGTACAAGGACACGGCCAACGAGCCTGGCGGCCGTACGCAAGCTCCCAACGCCTCTCCTGCACCCATCTCCAGCTAACCCTCGTTGCCAACAGCGGGCGCAAAAGCCGTCGTGGAAGTCCTTTCGCGAGACAGCCTGAGCTCAGACGGCAACCCGCCCGTCTTTGCCCCGCCCGCGCTTAGGGTGCCAGGCGAAGGCAAGAATGGCGCTCCCCTCGTCATCTACCAGACCCCTGCCATCCTCTCTTATCTCGGCGACAAGCTAGACCTTGCTGGCGCCGACGAGGCAGAAAAGGCTTGGATCCAGGCACATGCCCTGACCGCTCTCGATCTCAACAACGAAGCCCACGATACCCACCACCCCGTCGCCGTCTCCAAGTACTACGACGACCAAAAGGAAGAGTCGCTCAAAAAGGCCGCCGACTTCCGCGAGACGCGCATCCCCAAGTTCCTGTCCTTCTTCGAGCGCATCCTGAAGGCCAACGAGGCCCAAGGACAAGGTAAATTCCTCGTGGGAGCCAAGCTCAGCTATGCCGACACCACGCTTTGGAATGTCTTGAGTGGCTTGCAATATGCCTTCCCCAACGAGCTAAAAGCGAGGAAGAAGGACTACCCGCTGCTCTTCGACACCTTTTACGACAACATCGCCCACACAAAGGGCATCAGCGAGTACCTGCAAAGTGAGCGGAGGCTGCCCTTTGGCAACGGCATCTTCAGGCACTACCCAGAGCTCGACCGCCCGTAGACACCCTAGTCACTCCAAAAGTAAAACAGTCACAGTAAATAACATCAATTGCCAGTGGTATCTTTGAAGAGGTGCTCATTACAGGCTCATGTCATCTCATTCACATTCCTTTTTGATGCCGGTACATGATGCATATCCGAAGCCCTGCCGTACTCCTGAACCATGTAGAATAATGAGACCTCACCCAGCTACCCGTCCACGCTTAGTAGTCGGTCTGCTGGCTCTGGGGGAACTCGAAGTTGACACCCTTGCCAGTGAGGCGCTTGTACACCTCGCTGTAGGTGTCGAGCCTGTAGTCAACACCGCCGCGCTCCTTCTCGTCGAGAACGACCTTGAGGATCTTGCTGCCGTCCTCGCGGGTACGGAGACGCTTGCCGACAATCTCGACGGGGTAGACGAGGTCGGTCAGAATGGCGTCGTGGACAGCAGTGAGAGTTCGCGACTGCGGACGCTTCTGGGTCTGGGAAGAGCGGGAGCGGTTGGATCGCTTGGGGCGGGGGAGAATGCGGCGCGAAGCAACAATCAGGACGTGGCGGTCAGAGAACTTCTTCTCGAGCTCACGGGTGAGGCTGCACGCTGTTAGCAAGAGCTGGGCCGGCGCTTGCAGAGTGAAGCATACCGCTGCTGGGCCTTGTGCCACAGGGACAGAAGGGGAACAGGGACGAAGATGACAATAGCCTTGCGTCCATGGCCAACCTCGATCTAAGAATCCTGGTGTCAGCGTATTGTTGCTGCCCAGTGCCCACCGCCTCTTCAGTATGTAGGGTATGGGTGCAGGTGCGTGTGCAGGCGTCGCTCGAGAGCGCATCGTGGACGTCTTCGGATCTATCATACCTCGCGAGCAGAGACAAACTGCAGAGGGCGCAGAGAGGCCTTCAAGTCAGGCACATTGTTCTCGAGGTCAGTCAACGCCTGTAGCCCGTGTTAGTACTGCTGCCGCCATTTGCACACAATTGAGCGGGACCACTTGCGCTGGCGATGCTGGTCTCAATCTCAGAGGGGTTCTGCCTGGAAGGGCTGTTGGGCGCGATCTTGTTCAGCGAGTTGGCGGACATGTTGGCGGCTTGATGTCGAGCTGGTCGGAGTCGTTGAAAGTTCGTGATGGCTACGGGCGATTTTCAAAGCATCGTGTGCTGCAAGCGAGGCGCTAGCCGGCCTTAGCGCCAACCATTGTCGGCCCACATGCACGCGCGCCTCACACACTACACACACACATGCAGTCACACATACAGCCACCTACAGCTTACGGCGAGTGGTCTAGTTTCTATTTGTTGTCTATTATTAAAAACTCATTGTCCTAAAAGAGTGTCATCCACTACGGAGAAGCTGTCATCAGAACCTGCCTGCTCTACCCCTCCCGCTTGTATATCGGAATGGCCCAATACAACAATCCATTCAGCACCGCCGTCGTTACCGGCCCAACCCAATGGATATAATGATAGTCGAAGCGGTCTGAAGCGCGTCAGATAGTCACAGCGGCAGAAATCCTGAGTACTTACCTGCGGCAAGCATGAGCCCGAGACAGCGCGCTGGGTTGCATGCTTATCATTGTCAGCAACCACTTTTTCCACTACTTTCGTCGGGTGCACTTACAGGCCCCGCTGTATCCAGCCCTTACTATCGAGGATGCAAAAGAACACATAGTCTGCGCAAGGCCCACCTTGAACGCTGTCAGCTCTACAGCAACGCACCATAACGCATGCATAGCATAATGCTTACCAAAATCGGCGACAAAGCTGGGCCAAAGACCTCCCTTTGTCTAGGATCAAGACCCACTCCAAAGGCAATGAATATCAAACCAAAAGTTGTCATTGTCTCCAAAACATACCTGGACTGTCAGCAGTTGCGAGTAATTGGACTTTTCAAACTCACGCTTCGCCTGGTGTAACCAAACTGGTGTCAATATAACATCCCGGTATAGGTGGAATGTCATGCGGATTCATGCCCAAGCTCGCTCGAATTAGACCACCAGCTGCCAAGCCGCCAACACTCTGGAAAAGAACATAAAGTAACGTTCTCGGGAAAATAGACAGTCCTGCCGTAAAGGTCGCCATAGTAATTGTCGGATTGAGATGTCCTCCGGAGACTGGACCAGCGCTAAAGATGAATAATGCAATCAGCGTACCGGTTACAATGCTTCCGAATGCAGCCGTTGAAACAGGCCCCAAAGCCGTCGCTTTGACCAGGGGACCAAGACCGACGGAAGCGAGACCGGACAGGTAGGTCTGTAGACAAGTCCCCACGCCTTCGATGAAGGACTCCTTCCACAGCTCTATATCAGCGAAGGCGCGCAGAGAGAAAGACTGATGCCATGAGAATATCGCTGACGCGTCTGGAAGTAGAGTCTTGGAAGCATCTTCTGCTGGTATGGTAAATTCCTGGTTGCCACCGATACGTCCAGCAAATGGCCTCGAAGAAATGGCTGGGCTCCTGCGGAATATTTTCATCCGACGCCTACCACTCCCTGCATCAGAAGCTTCCATATCCTGGCTCACACTAGTCGTCCTCATGTCAGTCGCGTTGGGTGATGCCATGAACAATGTTTTGTCGGTTTTCGTTTGTTTATACACAGTAGCACCGCTGTGAGAACCAGAGGCAACAAACAGCCACCACATTTCCATCCCTGAAGTCGAATAAGTTGCTCATAATGATTAGATAAGCATTTGCTTGCAATTTGCTTATGAAGACCTTATGTGACTAGCCGAGGTTGGGACTGGTTGATGCGTAAGCCGCTTAGTACCCAGTACGAAATCAGTGCCTGCAGTTACACCTGAGTCAGTCTCTCAAAAGCCGTGTCTTGCTCGAATACAGCTCACCGATGGAGGAACTTTATTGTTTGAGCTTTGTCGCCAACTTGACCGCTCTTCATAGTCGCGGGGCCTGTTCATGTTTTGAGCAGCGAAAATATAAAAGAAAAAGAAATGCCGCAAACCAAGGCTGGCTCAGCTAAGATAAAACAGCGGCTTCAAAAGCTTCTTATAATAACCCGCTTAAACTACACGTTTGCTCTTAACGTACAGCATCAGGTCCTTTTGTTTAACGGCTTCCTTTTACGCACAAAGGTAACGCGCAGTAAGCATACAGAAATTGAATAAATGCATGAATTAATTTGGACAAGTAATTACAGGTTCGTATTGGTCCGAAGGACCAAGCCAACCACAAGTACCCCTTGCACCGTAAAACCAGAACAACGCCCCGCTAAAAGATAATGTAGGATATATCGTGTTCGCATGTCGAAATAAGCGAGGAAAGTACCCCGAAGTATGCAGCAATGTAGACGTTGGAAAAGTCTTGGGTAGACTGCCGATCATGCCCCTTCGGCGCTTTGGTATACGTCTCCACCGGGGGCTGTGCCACGACAGTTTGTGTCACCCAGAATGGCCGTATTACTCGGCAGATGGACTAGACACGCGAGGTAGTATTACTGGAAAACCCAAAAATTAGTCAAGACTGTTATCCAGAGGGGCTGTGTGAAGAAAGAGAAGAACTTACGCTGCCGCGCGGCGCTGAAGGCGGTGCACCATGATGATGCCGAAGATGGCGGTAGCAAACCAGGTGATCATGGACAAGAAGGAAAAGGCCTGGGCAGTACGCCATTGCCCGCACATGTTGCTGCGTCGCAGCGAGAAGCCGTTGCGCCAAGCCCACGCGCTGCCACACCCCGTGCCGTTGAACCAGTCGACGAGCAGCCCGAAGACGGCGGCCCAGCCAGCGGTGAAGACTACATTGCTATTGTTAGCATCCACCTGAAATGAGGTTGGCAAGGCTGCTTACCAAAGTCAGAGACGTAGCCCGACATGCTGGACTTTGTGGGAATGGCCCAGATGAAGGCGAAGATGATGGATAGCGACGACCAGATGATGGAGAAGATCAAGCGCCCGAGTGGCCCATCGTCATGGCGTCGGGGTCCCAGTGTGGTTCGGTAGGTGAAGTAGGATGTCAGGCCCAGCACGATGGCGGCGAAGACCCATTGTGCGATTCGCATGATGATGGAGAAGAGGCGTGAGAAGATCATGTTGGCTGGAGGGTATGTGCTTGTATGTCTGTGGATGTGTCGAAGATGGATATATGAATCAATCCAGTGGTGGAATGAAGAGTAAGTATATCACAATGTTTGAAGGTCAAGTAACAAGATGAATGATGCACCAGCTTCTTGGACTTTGGGTCCTATGCATTTATACACAAACGAGGGGGACTACCAATGGCCATGATGTGATACCCTGGTTTTACCAGCGAGAGCCCAAGATATCCAGACGTCAGCCACGTCTGTTGCGTAGTGCTACAAGCCGACCCAAGACGCAAACCCCCCCCCCCCATGCCAGCCCATGACAGCCGCGCCCGGTTTCCAGTCTTGGGCCCTTCGTCAGCCACCGCTCAGGCTGTCTCTCTTGCTTGCTTGCTCTCTCTCACCGCGGAATCAGCCCTGCTAGCCGCATACCCGTGATGCTTGTTCCGTTCTGTGTATGCGTGGCTTGGCAGATGAGATCACTTGGGCACCCATGACCGTCACCGTCGTCGTCTTTGCTACCATGCTATGCTCTATTTCCTGTCTCCCATGAATGACGCGTGGCGCATGCCCAGTGTGGCGCTGCACCCAGCCTTCTTGGCGTACGTTGCCGATCCACCAAAGTGGCCCTGACACAACCCCCCCTTGGCTGGTCATTGTGATTGGGGCGCATCCCCTCCCCCCCCCGCCTGCAAAACTCTGGGTTGCAGTTGTCAGTGTCGTGATATTTTTTTTTCGTTAATTCTAGACCGGCAAAGCCAAAGCTGTGTGACGTTTCCGGTGCTAAAGCGAAAAGTAGGGTTGAGTCCGTACAGCAGGTTTTATCTCAGTAAGTAGTTAACATGATGCCAACCCAAGTTTTTAGGTCGCCCGCTTTCAGTTGACAACATGCCAGATCAACAACATGCTGGACTGGCCTTTGCACCTCCGAGGAACGTGGTATCCATGCCATGATGGCTGTGTGAATCCTCGCTGATGCAAATTTTACAAACGCAACTGAATGTGCGACCGAGACGCGCAAACGTTATCGCATCGCCAAGGTGGCTTAGGCTTAGGCTTAGGACCTTTCTTTCTTTTCTCACATGCAGGGTAACCAAGCCATGGTTGCTGTGTGGTCTGGAGACACTGCGGAGCGGGGGTGGCATGGATATCATGCGACTTGGTTCCAATGTCGATCGTCGCTGCGCAACAGTCTGGCATGGCTACGGTCGGTCATCATGGGGAGGGGGTGGGTACACCTACACCTACTGAGCCTCTCCCCATGACGTGGATTTGAGCGACATGTGAGAAATACCAGCTAGGGTACTCACATTCTAGAAAACCGCCCGCTAGACTGTATCTGGTGCAAAAGACACGGCGGTGCGTATTCCGTGTCGAAAAAAAGTTGGCGTGTTTCGCCTCGATAAGTGAGATCTCTTCCATACATACACTTACATACACATCACAGTGAGCCAGGATGAATCCAAGTCCTGAAGCTAATCAGCCAGAACCTTGCGCAAGTCTACACCGTTCTTCAGGTGCTGGTCTTTTGCTGCCTCATATGACGGAATGTCCCCCGCCTTACCACAACAAGTCTACGACATACACATACACATACCCGTACTTGCATCTCTGCTGACCTGACTTCCCTCCCTCTCTCTCGCAACACATCCAAGCCAGAAATCTCGTGTTGTGGGGTTTCCAGCTCTTCTTAGCCGCACGGAGTTATGCGCCCGGCGGCGCGCCCAGCTGCCAGCCCAGTTGGGCGAGCGGGGGAGAGCGGATGACCCCGGCAATGGCAAATGCGAGATTTACGAAGAATGTTAAAAGAGAGTTTGCAAGGGCATGTATGCATGCGGTCCATGGCTGGTTGAGCTGCTTACGCCCAGAAAGCTAGGGTGAATGAGGAAATACTACAGGGTGGCTTCCCACCGAAGATCTACATACATGGACCAACGGTTATGCTTAGCCGGGCTATACTGTGGGTGCGCTAAGGTAAAGGCTGGGCTTTATAACCGTTTTGATTCGGAGGTTATTGAAGATGGTATACTAGGTGTACAGTCTTCGATTTCCTCTATTCGTTCTGTCGAGATGAGATGGAGCTAATGACATTGCCGTCCTGTATGTCATACAAGTGAATTTCTCGGAGAGACCTTGATTGAACCAATCAATCAAGGTCAATTCTTTGTGTCGTCTGCATCTGTAACAGCTAGTCTTGCACTCTAAAAGTTGCATTCGGCATGCGTGATCAGACATTGTAGCTCCAAGACAACAATTACCGAGAAAAAGCCTCGGTTGAGAAGAGTAACACATCTTTCCGTTTCTTGGCAAGAAAAGGTAATCACCAAATAGGAGCCAGGGAGTTGGTTTCAGTCAATTCATCCGTATTCGTCGACTTTCTTACTACAGCCTTATCCCCAAAGCGGCAATTCATCACCCAGAACAACGCTACATATATTCCCAAGTACCACCACTGCTTCTACCCAAGCCCTCTGTACCAAGCCCTCGAAAAGCTCGCCATGATTACTCCTATTCCCATTTCAGTACTACCAGAGACTAGACTAACTACATCACCATCATCATCTATTCCATACTTTACTTTACTTTACTTTACTTGACGCTATTATCAAAACCCACCACACCACACCAACCCATGAAACCCCCACCCCCTAAACCCAAACAAAACCTCCAAGAAACATCCCACAGCCCATACCCTCTTACCAAAACACGTGGGAAAACCATATCTTCCACATAACTAGCTCTTTTCGCATTCCTGCACCCCCGCCTACCGCCACTCCTTCCCCTCCCTTACTTTCCCCCCCCCTTTTTTTTCTTCCATTGAAAACAAAGAATCCTGTCCATCTCGATCCCCACACATACACATACACACGAATTGCATAACATACAAGTCAGAGAAAACCGGTATCCCAAGCGTTTATCCAGAACGCGATTGAGCACTTTTTGCAATGTCTATACTTAGTCTCGAGTACTTGCTGGTGAGAAACCATGCACATATCTATGCATCTATCCATCCATCCATCAATAATCCATATATGTCTGTATAGCCCACGAAAGACCCCAATCTCAACTAGCCAAAACAAAACAAAGTAAACCAAAGCACCCCCAAATCAAGCCATGTACCTGTGCGGTGTTGCTAATAAAGAAAAAGAAGAACACAGTATTTCCTACTTTTCTGTTTCTTTGATTTTTTCTTTCTTGAGAAAGATATGTCTAGTGCAGTTCTATCATGTAGGTAGTACTAAGAGGTTTTACACTTATATCCTCCTCCCCCTCCTCCTCCTCCTGCTCCTCCTGCTCCTCTTCCTCCTCACCATCACCAGCTATTTCCATGTAATCAAAAAAACACTCTAAGAAGACTGGGCCATACGACATCAAACAAGAAACCGATATACTGCACAAAACAACCAACACAACACAGCACAAGGCAAGACAAGATGACATCAGACGAGACCCAACACAGTAAAGTCGTTTTTTTTTCTTAAAAAAAAAGGTTTCTTTCGAGTGGATGTGGTATATTCAGCACAGTACAGTACATCGATATCCGTTGGAAAGCAAGCTGAGAAAGAAATGAAGAAGAAGAAGAAGAAGAAGAAGATGCAAGATGGAAAGAAGTATGTAATAGCGACAACAAGACCGCAAAACGCCGCGCCGAGTATGCAATTGATACCAAACAGGAAAGAAAAAAAGAAAGGAAAAAAAAGAAAGAGGACTCTATGTGTTTCGAGTCCTCCCCCCCCCACCCAACGCAGCGCAGTGCCATATACATGGCGCTTGATATGCGCTTACAGCAGCACCATCATCCAGATGCCGCAACCCAAATGTAGCCGGAATCCCCGCATTACCCATACCCCATATCCATCATGCTCCATATGCCATATCCCATTTCATATCGTCTTCACCCTCTTACCAACGCAACGCAACGCAACCCAACTCATACAAATGGGATCAACCCAACCACACCCACCAAAACAGCAACACGACGGCGGCAAAAAAGCCCAACCAAGCCTTCCACCCGACGCCCGTTTTCTCCGCCATGCGCAGCATACGCGTCATGGTACCTTTAATTTTGAGTCTGGAAGTTTCAAACTGGTCGTTCATTTTCTCGGCGAGCGTGGTTGAGTCGCGGATTTCGTCGCCGATGAGATGGGTTAACTGCGGGGGCGTTGTTAGTTAAAAAAAACGTCTCTTCACTCAGCAAAGTGTACACGGCACTCAGCAAAGAGCATGGCAGAAACGAAACCAACAAAAAAACGCAGCAGCAGCAGCAACGAAAAAGAAGACGCAGAAACAAGGGAAAAGAGAAGGGAGAAAGGGGAAAAACATACATCCTTCAACATCTTAACTTTACTCGTCAACACACCCACATGCTCATCCGTCTGACTCTCCAACTCATCCAGCACCGCCGCCGAGTACTGGCCACGCGAATTCAGCGTCGCAGATCGATACATAGCATCGCCATCGCCCAATCCAGCGCCACCATACGGCCCTCTACTGCTTCCCCCCGGATACAAACTGCCATTACTATTTCCGGTAGGATACGCGCCGAACGCCGCACTACCATTGGGAGACGAAGACGACGAGGGGATACCGTAGCCATAGCTTGCACCACCAGAGCTACTACCGTTGTAGGGCGATGCGCGGGCTTTGTTTTTTGATTTCGAGGGCGAGGCGCTGCGGTTGTACGAGGAGAAGAGGTCGTCGCGCGCGTCTTGGCGCCCGAAGCGGTTCGACATTGTGCCTGTTTCGCTGCGCTGCTGTGTTGTCCGCTGCGCTGCCCTTGCTTGTACCCTCTTCTGTCTGTCTTTCTTTCTTTCTTTCTTTCCTCTTTTCTCTTTCAATTCAAGCCGTAGTATCTGTACTTATTCGCAGGCGCAACGTCGCTAAGTCGTGATCTCTATCCGCAATCGAGCACGCTGCGCGCGCGCGGGGTCTGGGGGGTGCTTCCGGGGGTGCTAATAATCAGCGGGAAGAGGTGGGTGTGTGTGTTGCCTAGAGCAGGAATTCGGGGGCCTAAGAGTAACAACACAAGGCGGAAAAAAGGACACTTGTCAATGTGGGTATTACTGGATAACTTTCTTGTGCGCGGCGGCGGGAGTTGGGGACGAGAATTCAAGGGTTGGTTGGTGGTTGCGAAAAGCGGGTTTCCCAGACTTGGCCTCGGAGCTTAGGACGGTGCTAAACGCCGGTCAAGTGCCGCGGACATGGGGGGTTCTCTCTCTTTTTTTTCGTGTGTGCCTAGGGAACGAACACGTTGTTGATAGCCCACAGCCACAGCCTGCAAAAGTTAACGGCCCACGTGTTCGGTTACCTACTGTCAGTGACGCAAACAAGGGTAGCAAGTAGCAGGCAAGCAAGCACTTGAAATCAGAAATATCATTGTTCATGAACGTCTTTTTCACTATTTCCAACCCCCGGGCAAGCTACTGACTGATCTAGATGCAGACCCCCCTCCCCCACCTGAGTCTGGAAATCCACACACAGGAGACACAAAGTGCTAATCTCCCCCCCCCCCCCAAACCGCCGCCCACCCTCTCCAATGCGTCTGTACAAGTACAAAAAACCCATCCATTACATATGTGCATTCCTCATTCCAAAGCGTAAAGTTGCAGGCTTTTACATACGTGGCGCACAAACATGACGAGACGTTGAAGGTCTGCCCGTGCTAGAGGTTGAAGTTGTAGACGTGTTTCGTAGCGTCCATTTGATCCGTATCGTCCAAGTCCCGCATCCCCAGCCTCAACTCAAAAGGCCAGAGTAGATTTAGTTCTTGAGGCCAATCTTGTTGAGCAGGCTGCCTGTCTGTCCGCTAACCGTAGCGTGGTTGTCAAAAACCTTGAGCAAGCTCTTCCACACCTGCCCAGGCTCTTGGCTTGCATCAATGGGCTTCCAGATACCCGTCTTCTGGTAGTATGCGACAACGGGCGCCGTCTGGGCGTGGTAGGTTGCGAGGCGCTTCTTCAGAGTCGCCTCGTTGTCGTCGGAGCGCTGGATGAGCGGCTCGCCAGTGATGTCGTCGGTCATGGGCGCCTTGGGTGGGTTGAAAATCTTGTGGTAAGAGCGGCCGGATGCGGGGTGGACAAGACGTCCAGTGATACGCGAGACGAGCAGGCCGTCGTCGATTTGCAGTTCAATCGCGTGTTGGAGGGGCTTCTTGGTTGCGGCAAGCATGCCGTCGAGCTTCTCGGCCTGCGTGACTGTTCGTGGGAAACCGTCGAGGATGAAGCTGTTCAGAGTGGCTTTAGTATACGCTCCAGACGAATGCGTCAATCAGAGACTAGAGCAGAACGTACCCCTTGGAGCACTCCTGGTTGGACTCGAGCTCCGTCTTGATCATGTTGACCATGATCTCGTCGCTGACCAGGCCGCCGGCATCCATAATCTTCTTCGCTTCGCGGCCGAGGGGTGTTTTTGCCGCCACCTGTGCGCGCAGCATGTCTCCTGTGGCCTGCATATCGTCAGCGCTTCTTTTTTCCCCTGTATACCACGCAGCAAGCGGGCGCCGTGAATGGTGCACCACGTACAAGATGGCATGCGCAAAACTTCTCCTTGATCCGCGGTGCTTGTGTGCCCTTGCCTGTCGTCTGTGTAAGCAACATGCCACAATTTGGCTACCCTCGGCAAACTCTCTCACCAGCACCCGGCGGTCCCATGAGAATCATTCTGACGCTTTCCTGCGCTGGCGATTGACCGCCATGGCCCGACAGCTTGTGCTCCAGCTCGGCAATGCGCTTCTCGAGGCGGCTGACGGTGCTCTTGAGGTCATCGACCACGGTATCTGGTATGGGAGCCATTGCGCCGTGTTGTGGGGAAAATTGTCCGCGTGGGATGGAGGGACAGGGAGAAGAAAAAAAGGTGCGCGATCCGCTCAGGACAGAACACGGGTAGTCGCGCAATGGCAATGGACAGTCGCAAGTCTGGGTGAGGTGGAGTTGGACGGCGCTCGCTGCTCGGTGCTCGGTTGTCGGCAGGTCCAAGCTTCTCTGCGGGAAAATGCTCCCTTCTCCCGATCCTCGGTGCCTGTCACGTTTCCTGCTCGCTCGCCCTTTCTCCCGTGTGATGTCAGTCCAAGCCCGCCCAGTGCCTAGGCGGAGAAAGCTCGGCGCCGCCTCTCAGCGCCAGCCCACACATGCCATCACCACTTCGCCCGCTTGTCCATGTATGCGCGCTATGCGCATGTCCTCTGTCGTCGCCCACGGCCAATCGGACAACTGGCCCGTGAACACGCGGGGTCACGGAGCAGCATATGTCGTCGTTTGTGCGCTGCATGGCCAGAAAGGAGTCGTATCACTATATACATGTATGCGCAACCTGTCCACCACCACCTAGTACTCGCTGCCAAGCACCTTCTTCAGCCCCTTCATCTCCACCTCGTACTTCTCCACCTTGCCCTGGCTGGCCATCAATTTGGCCAACAAGTAGTTCACTCTGCCCGTAGTCTGAGCTGGCTGGCTCCTCAGCTGGCTCAGCAGCAACAACTCGTTTTCGCACTTTTCAATCGTTGCATTCTCAACCTTGGTCAGATGCGTCAGGATAGCCAAGTCTAGGCGGCTCTTGAGCACCTTGTCCTCGGTCAAGCGCTTGAATGCAGGGTGGTACACGGGCTTGCCGGGCTTGATCATCGACGGTCTGCCGTTTGCGCCGGATACAATCGAAATAAGCTCTGCCTGTTCCAGGGCCTGGAGAACCGATTCGCCGCCTGCCTTGAGCATGTCGTCAATGATAATCTCATTGTATCGCAGAGACTCCTTCTGCGCGAGCTCCTTGATAAGGAACCAGGCTTGCTCAGCGTGCCAGAGACGGTTCCCGTCTTCGTCTTCCGCGCCAAAGATGTACATTTTGAGAATCTCCGAAGCAGACTGGTCAATGATTTCGTGCACGGCTTTCGTGGGTGTCTCGCCAGTCTTGATGCGCCGTGACAAGAACTCGAGATCAGTGAGCCGACCGCCTAGCAAGTCAATGCAGGTATCGAGTTCTCCAAGGTCAGTGCGAAACTTCGACGGCAGTTGCTTGGGCGAGCCGTCCTTTGGCGCAGGCTCGTCTTCGACATCCGCATCAAGGTACGAAATCACAAACCGCTTCGCTACCTCTCGACTACAGTCTGAGAGTGAGATCTGGCGGAACATTCGGTCGGGCATAGCTTTAGACAGAGACTTGCTGTAAGCAACATCGTTTGTGAGGAAGATGACATGCGCGACATTCGTAGTCGCGAGGCGCGCAGCCCATTCGGCGATCTTGTCGTAAACGATACTGCCTTCTTGGCTCTTGTGCAGGAAGTTATCAATGACCACGACAGGACGGTGTTCCGGGTGTTCCTCGAGCCACTCGTCATCTCTCCAATGTGCGTCTTTGTCGTCCTTGTGTCGGTTGTCCAGAGCAATCTGCCTGAGAGCCAAGGTTGTCGTGTTCCAGATTTTGCTGAGCTGAGAGTCGAGAGTTTCGGAGAAGCCCGTCTTAACGCCTGTGGCACCTTGCGCAGCCATATCGATCATACCACTGATGCTGTTCATCCAGCTGAAGACGGGCCTATAGCCAACCGACGCAGCAGCCGCATTGATGGTCGCACTCTCGCCCCGAGCTTCTTGAATCGGTTTGCAGTCAATTACCAGCTTGAGTCTCTTGTGCTGTAGCGCCTGGTCCACCACTAGCTCGCGTTTGCCCGAGCCACGGGGGCCTTGTACGATGATGAAAGTGTCCGCAGTTTCCATTAGCCACGTCTGAATCTGTTCGATATCTGCCTTTCGGTCATCCCAGATAGCCTCCATGCCGTCGTCGTCGTCATGCTTCTTGTTTCCGCCGATGATGTCTGTAGCGTAGCCTTTGATCCACTGATACCATACGTTGTCTTGAATATGAAAGTTGCGTGTGATATGAGCCTTGACGAAGAATGTTCGGATTCTATCTTCTCGTTAGATTGCTGCCGCTTGGGACTGAAGAAATACTTACGGGTCAAATACAACAGCAACAAAACCCGCGATGAGAGCAGCCAGAATAGGAATGACGATACGAGGATGATTGAAGATCCAGTCTCTGACATAGCGAGGTTTGATCTTCTGCTCATACTTGAGTCTCAGAACCGTGCCTTTCTTGCCGCCGCCCTCGGCCTCCGAAACCAGATACCCATGCATACAATTTCTCGCCATGATGGCTTTGCCAATAGTAGCATAGTCGAGATAGGCAAACTTTGGAAGAACCTTGGAGTCTGGAGGCTGCATGACAATGTCGCTTAGCTTTCCGTAGGGCCGGAAGAACTGGAAGAGCTGTTCTTGGCTCAACTCGACTGCTTCGGTAGGAGGTGCTCCCGGCTCACCGGAGACAAACTCAACGCGTAGACGGGAAGCAGGCAGACGCATCAGATCTTCCACCCATGGTCTTCCCTTGACCGCCTTTGCTTGCACTTGCTTCCACGGGCTCCACCACGGCTTCACAGGTTGATCTTTCAGGTACTGCTGCAGGGCTTCTTGAATCTCAGATGTCGACGCATTTCCATCGTGAGCGAACTTGACAAACGCTCCCCCTTCTCTCATGCGAGGCAGCACTTCAGCCCCGGTAATGTGCAGATTTCGCTTGGTACTTGCTCTCTCAAGAACAGCCTTGGGGTCTGTGCCGGAGCTGGTGGGGCTCATCAGTTTGTCCAGGATGCGTGGCAGAGGAAGCCCGAGTATCTTGCGCATCTGAATAGGAAAGACATTGTTGAAGAAGAGAATGCCCTCATTCGGCCCAGCGCTAATGTGACCCGTTTTGTCCTCACCAGCTTGCAGGCCAGTGACGTGTCTAATTGAATTGATGCATGGCCTTTGCAAGCCTATGTGTGATGGCCGCCATGTTGCTGGTAGGGACCCGATCCTGATGGCCCGTTAGTACCCCTCACGATGATCGGCATCTAGGATCAAACTTCATCAATCTTACCTTGTTGACCCGTACAGAGCGCGACGACCGGCATAATGCCAGCCTGAGTGCGGTAACATGTTCGCAGCTCGCTGGTCACCAGAGCATGATGCGAGGTGGTCGCCAAAGGGGGCGCGAGTAGTCGAGTAATGCCTGTTGTCTGCAGTCCTCACCAACCTGGAGACGGAAGTGGCGTGACGTCACTAGCCACGAGCCTTGGCATTCTGTATCTGTGGGCAAGCCACACGCCAACAGGCGAAATGAAGCCACAGCTTCTAGGAGAATCAAATCACTTGTAGGTAGTAACACAATTTTGCGAGTACTTTCAATCCTGCAATGATCAAATCGTTCAAACATTGACAGAGTCATCATTTCCCATCAAAACAGCGAAACAAAGCACAGCCAAGTACACCTTTGCATTCCAGAGCAAAAACAGTCGATATCAAGGTGTCATATTCATATTCATATTCATATTCATATTCATATTCATATTCATATTCATATTCATATTCATATTCATAATAGTTTTCACATATTTACACAAATTCGTCGAATGAAAACGCAAAACTAACACAACCAAGAAAAGGAAAACCATTATACACTGCAAGTGCCGGCCCCAGCTGACTCCGCATACTGAAAAAGGTATCGTGCAGGTAAAAGTAAAGTAAACGAGAGTGAAAAAATGCTGTTATAGACTCGCAAGAAACGCCAAAGAAAAATTGCACCCATGTACCCTCCTAAAACACCGTCTTTTTTTTATCGTTTAACCTTGTACTCATACAAAGGTTGTTTTACACAAGTAATAGCAGCTACTACTTCTGCGTCTTCTTCTATGCGGCAACGGTAGTCAGTTGCTCCTTGTGTCCTGTAGAGGCTTTGAGCATGGCCTCGTAGGGTGGGCGCTTGACGATACCACCGGTGACGGGCAGCGAGGTACCATAGCCGGTGAGGAAGGAATCGACATCGCGGGCACATTGGCGACCCTCGTTGATGCCCCAGACAATGAGGGACTGGCCACGGCGGCAGTCACCGGCAGCGAAGACGCCGGGGAGGTTGGTGTTGTAGTGGCCCGGGGGAGTCTTGATGTTCTTGCGGCCATCAAGCTCGACTACGTCGCTCATGACGCGCTGCTCGGGGCCCAGGAAACCCATGGAAAGCAGGACGAGGTCTGCGGGGAAGAATTGCTCACTGCCGTCAACGTGCTTCATGTCCCAACCGCCAGAGGCTGATTTGGTCCACTCAACACGGATGGTGTTGATGCCCTTGACCTTGCCGTTGCCGTCATCGACAAACTCCTTGGACATGACACAGTACTCACGTGGATCCTTGCCCATGTGAGTCTTGACTTCGTTGTGGCCATAGTCTGTGCGGAAGATGCGGGGCCACTGGGGCCATGGGTTGTCGCGAGCACGCTCTGCCGGAGGCTGGGGCAGCAGCTCAAAGTTTACGACCGACTTGGCACCATGGCGGACAGAAGTACCAATGCAGTCGTTACCAGTGTCACCACCACCAATGACAACAACATGCTTGTCCTTGGCCGAGATGTAGGCGTTGTCAGCCAGCTCAGAGTCGAGGAGCGACTTGGTGTTCTTGTGCAGGAACTGCATGGCGAAGTGAATGCCCTCCAGGTTGCGGTTGGGAATGGGCAGGTCACGGGCGACAGTGGCACCCGTGGCGAAGACGACCGCATCGAAGTCTTTACGGAGTGACTCCAGGTTGGGCTGCCCGTCTTCTCCGACAGTAACACCAGTCTTGAAGTTGATGCCCTCGGCAGCCATGAAATCGACACGGCGCTGCACAACCTTCTTGTCAAGCTTCATGTTGGGAATACCGTACATGAGGAGACCACCAACACGGTCAGCACGCTCAAAGACAGTGACAGTGTGGCCGGCCTTGTTGAGCTGATCAGCACAAGCCAGACCAGCAGGACCGGAACCGATGATGGCAACTGTCTTGCCAGAGCGGACCTGGGGTGGCGAAGGGATCATCCAGCCCATTTCGAAACCACGGTCAATGATGGCACACTCGATGGACTTGATACCGACAGGGTCCTCGCTGATACCAAGAACGCAGGCTCCTTCGCAAGGAGCAGGGCAAACACGACCAGTGAACTCGGGGAAGTTGTTGGTCATGAGAAGACGGTTCAGAGCGTCGCGCCATTGTCCCTTGAGAAAAGTTAGTCATATCAAATAGAAGTAATAGCAAGGAGATACTTACCCTAAAGACCAATTCGTTCCACTTGGGGATGATGTTGGAGATTGGGCAACCAGTGTCGGATTGGCAGAAGGGAACACCACAGTCCATGCAACGAGCGGTCTGGTACTTGAGTTCGTCCTCGTTGAGGCGCTGGCTCAACTCTGCCCAGTCACGTGTTCGGGTCTTGGGGTTACGGTATTTCTCAGAGCGGCGCTGGTACTTCATGAAACCGCGCGTCTTGTCGAGAACAAGCGCCTTCTTCTTTTCAGCCTTGGCATCAGTGACGCTCTCTTCAATGTCCAAGAGGTCTCTCTTCTTCTTCTTCTTGGCCTCGGCATCGGCTTCCTTGTTGCGAGACTCCTCGTGAGCGTTGCGGACATGGTTGCCAGCAAGAAGAGCAAGAGGGTACTCATTCCTCTTCTTCTCGGCAGCCTTGGCCTTCTCCTCCAAGAGAACACGCTTGTAGTCAACGGGCATGACCTTGACGAAACGTGACAGAGCGCGAGTGAAGTCAAGAAGAATGCGTGCCGCAAGCTCAGATCCCGTGTAGTGGTGGTGGTCCTCGATGAGGCCTCGCACAAAGGCAATCTCCTCTGGCTCCTCGATTCCGGATAGCTCGACCATCTCTTGGTTGACCTTTTGCTCAAAGTCCTTGTGGATGTCCAGAACGTAAGCAATACCTCCGGACATACCAGCAGCAAAGTTGCGACCTGTTGAACCGAGAACAAGGACACGGCCACCAGTCATGTACTCACAGCCGTGGTCGCCGACGCCCTCAACAACCGCCGTAACACCGGAGTTACGAACGCAGAAGCGCTCGGCAGCGATACCTCTGAAGAAGCAGGTACCGCGGGTGGCTCCGTACAAGCAGACGTTACCGATCAGGACGTTTTCTTCAGCACGGTAGACGGCGTTGCGTGGGGGGTAGATGATCAAGCGACCTCCAGAAAGACCCTTGCCAACATAGTCGTTAGCATCACCCTCAAGTTCGAGAGTAACACCAGGTGCCAGGTAGGCACCGAAGGACTGTCCAGCGGATCCACGGATGTTGACGTGAATGGTATCCTGGGGCAGACCGGCCTCGCCATAGCGCTTACTGATGTGATAGGAGAGAGTAGCGCCCAGTGCGCGATCGGTGTTGACAACATCGCACTCAATGCGCGCAGGAAGGCCCCTCTCCAGAGCAAGTTCAGACTCAGCAATGAGCTTGTTATCCAGACGGACGTGAAGTCGGTGGTCCTGCTTGCGGACGTTGAAGGTGGCGACTCCCGGACGCAGGGTGTGGGCCGGAGTCAAGATCAGTGAAAGATCGATATTCTCCGTCTTTGCAGTGCGAAGATCATCGCGAATGCGAAGAACTTCGCAGCGACCGACCATGTCGTTGATGGTGCGGAAACCGAGTTTTGCCATGATTGCCCTGAGCTCGTTCGCTACGTAGTAGAAGAAGTTGATCACGTGCTCTGGGGTGCCCGTGAATTTCTTCCTCAACTCCGGATCTTGAGTAGCAATGCCCACAGGACAAGTGTTCAAATGACACTTACGCATCATAATACAGCCCATAGCGATCAAAGGAGTGGTAGCGAAACCCCATTCTTCAGCTCCAAGCAGACAAGCGATAGCGACATCGCGTCCAGTCCTCAGCTGACCATCCGTCTGAACGATAACACGACCACGCAGATCATTCAGAACAAGCGTCTGATGAGTCTCAGCGAGACCCAACTCCCATGGAAGACCGGCGTATTTGATTCCCGTCCATCGGGAAGCACCTGTGCCACCATCGTGACCCGAAATAAGGATGTGATCAGCCTTGGCCTTGGCAACACCGGACGCAACAATGCCAACACCAGTCTCGGAGACGAGCTTGACAGAGATGCGGGCGCGAGGGTTGGAGCATTTGAGGTCGTAGATGAGTTGCTTCAGGTCCTCGATGGAGTAGATGTCGTGGTGCGGCGGAGGACTGATGAGACCGACACCAGGAGTGGAATGACGCGTCTTGGCAATGGATTGAGAGACCTTGTGGCCGGGAAGCTCACCGCCCTCTCCGGGCTTGGCTCCTTGTGCCATCTTGATCTGGAGTTCATCGGCGTCGGCAAGGTAGTTGGCGGTGACACCAAAACGTCCGGACGCAATCTGCTTGATAGCAGAGCGCATGGTATCACCGTTCTCCATGCGCAGACTGCGCTCAGGATCCTCACCACCCTCGCCAGTGTTTGATTTTCCACCAAGACGGTTCATGGCTACGGCAAGAGTCGAGTGCGATTCCATGGAGATGGATCCGTACGACATGGCACCAGTGACGAAACGGCGCACAATATCAGTCCATGGCTCGACTTGGTCGATGGGAATGGGAGCGCGGTCATCAAAGTTGAAGTCGAGGAGCCCACGGAGGGTGCAGTCCTTGATTCGCTCGTACTCGGCAATGGAGTAGGCTTCGTATGACTTGTCGTTCTTGGTGCGGACGGCGTCCTGGATGTTGGCCATGGCAGTAGGGTCGTTGACGTGAGGTTCACCTCCGTCACGCCAATGGTACTCGCCAGTCTCAGAAAGGCCAGGTACCTCGACGATGGGGCGTGTTGGGTAGCCCTTTTCGTGGAGAGCAAAGGCGTCAGCGGCGATCAGCTCAAAGGTCATACCCTTGATACGCGAGGCAGTTCCAGTGAAGCAGCGGTCGACAACCGAGTCATCCAAACCGAGAGCTTCAAAAATCTGGGCACCCTTGTAGGATTGAAGTGTCGAGATACCCATCTTGCTCATGACTTTGAGGATACCACCGTCGCAAGAATGCTTGTAGTTGTCAATGAGCTTCTCGGGAGCCATGGCCTTGCGAATAAGGCCCTCGCGGTGCATCTTCAGGATGCACTCAATGGCAAGGTAGGGGCAGATGGCATCCGCACCGTATCCGACAAGAACGCACATGTGGTGGACCTCGCGAGCCTCGCCAGTCTCGACAACAAGAGCAGCGTTGGAACGCCACTTGTTGCGGACAAGGTGGTGGTGAACCATACCAGTCGCCAAGCAAGCAGATACAGCAACACGATCAGCAGAGGTTGCACGATCGGTCAGGACAAGGATGTTGTCACCGGCCTGAATGCCCTCTGTGGCTGCTTCACAAATGCGGTCAAGAGCATTCATGTAGCCATCGATACCCTCGCTCTTGGGGAATGTAATGTCAATGGTCTTGACCGTCCAGTCGCGGTTGATTTTGTGGGTATTGTTCATGGCCTTGAACTCTTCCAGAGTCAAGATGGGGGATGGCAAAAGCAGACGACCGCACTGCGACTCGTCCATCTCCAAAAGGTTGCCCTGAGGACCAACATAGGCCTCGAGCGACATGACAATGGCTTCACGAATCGGGTCGATGGGAGGGTTTGTGACCTGAGCGAAAAGCTGACGGAAGTACTCGTACAGCAGGCGAGGTTGTGTGGCCAAGCACGCAAGAGGAGCATCGTTGCCCATGGATCCAAGAGCCTCCTTGGAATCGGCAGCCATGGGTCCAAGAAGCAAACTGACTTGCTCAAGAGAGTAGCCAAATGCTCGCAGACGAGGGTCCTCGTGAAGCTTGGTCTCGGTGAGCGCATGGGAAAGGTCGACTCCCTTGTCGCTAACAGACTGGACAACCTTGGGCAGAGTCAAGAGATTCTTGTCGATCCATCTTCGGAAGTCGTTGCGCTGTGAAACGGTCCGCTTCAGCTCGGCGTCATCGACAATTCGACCAGCGACAGTGTCGACGAGCAACATTCTGCCGGGCTGCAGACGGCCCTTTTGAACAACTCGCTCAGGCTCAATGGAGATGGTACCAACTTCAGACGCGCAAACGATGCGGTCGTCATCGGTAATGTAGTAACGGCAAGGTCGAAGACCGTTTCGGTCAAGATTGGCACCGCAGTACCGCCCGTCCGAGAAGGTGAAGAGTGCAGGACCATCCCAAGGCTCCATCATGCACGCCGCCCACTCGTAGAAAGCCTGCTTGGCGGGATCCATGGTGGAGTTGCCCTGCCATGCCTCTGGTACCATGAGCATGACTGCTTCTGGGAGAGACAGGACGCCGTTGATGGTCAGCAGCTCAAGCACGTTGTCAAAAGCTGCCGAGTCGGAACCACCGTCCTCGACAATTGGGTAGAGCAGGTCAAGCTCCTCGCCGAAGAGGCTGGACTTCATGACACCCTCGCGTGCTCGCATCCAGTTCTTGTTTCCTCGCAGGGTGTTGATCTCACCGTTGTGAGCCGCCCATCGCAGAGGCTGTGCACGGTCCCAACTGGGGAATGTGTTGGTGGAAAAACGCGAGTGCACCAAGGCAAAGTGACCCTCGTAGTCAACATTGAGCAGGTCGTGGTAGTACTCATAAACCTGCACAGGAGAGAGCTGGCCCTTGTAAACAATGTTCTTGTTGCTCAGAGAGCAAATGTAGAACCAGTTGTGCAGGCCAATGACGTGTGTAGCCCGCTTTCGCATGACATACAGCTGTCGCTCAAAGTATGCATTGTCGTACTTTTCCTGGAAATCAGCCTTGGGCTCTCGGCCGTCGCCGTAGGCTGACTTCAGCACAACAAATGGCTGAAGAATGATGGGCTCTCGTGAAAACGCCGCAGGACCGAGAAGTGTGGAGTCACGTGGCACCGCCCGCCACCCGAGCACTCTCAGGTCGAGCTGGTCTGCAACATCCTCAAACATAGCCTTGGTCTCATCCAAGATGGTAGAATCGGGCTTGAAGAACAGGTTGCCAGTAGCGTACTGGCCAAGCTTGGGCAGCTTGTAGCCTTGTTCGCGCTCGAACTCCTTGAGGAAGAATCGGTGGGGGATGGAGGTCATGACACCTGCACCGTCACCGTCTCGTGCGTCTGAGCCAACGGCTCCACGATGGGTCATGTTACATAGCAATGACCGTGCTGTGGATATGTTAGTGATTTATATTCGACATGGTTTTTGTATATATTTCTTACCATCAGAGACAATTTTGTGGCTGGCCTTGCCCTTTATGTGGCTGCGTAATTGTTAGCCATTGCTTGCTCGGTGCCCACGAACGATTGGTGTAGTTACTTACGCAGCAAAGCCGACACCGCAAGCATCCTTTTCCAGCTCTGGGTCGTACAGACCCTGCTTCAATGGCAGGGCGCCCGCCCAAGACTTGTTCTCCGGGCCATCCTGATAAGCAAACACTGAAGTTTGCTCTTGTTCAATCTGGGTCTCCTGGGGCAGCTTTGTATCTTCGGTGAACGAGACCCGACCCATTATATCGGCAACAGGCCGAATTTCTGGGTTTCGTTGGTGTTGCTGGTGGGAGCGGTGCGGTATGGAGGGCGGGTAGCGGGGTCGCTTGGGGCGTAGATCTGGAGCAGCTGGTCTAGTCTACGAGATGTATTCTGGGGCAGGCGTTAATTTAGGGCTCGCAAGATAAGGCTGGCGGTGGGAGGCAAATTGTCTTTTCGAAAAAAAAAATCAAGGTAGCTTGGTACACCTAGGCCCCAGCGCTCAGGCTCTAAAAGCAAGGAATACAGGTGGAGGGGCAATACGTGGTGCTAGAGTGGGATTGCAAGCATGAATGGGACTCGCAACTAGCCAAACAAGGGGAGCGGATTTGTCATTACTCGACGTGCGCGGTGGGGAGCGGAGGGGAGCGATTGATGGCTATGACGCTTCTACGGCACCCGGCGGCGAGTGATGGGCATTCAAGCGGCAGTCGCTGATAAGAGAGACAGGACAGCGAATGGGCCAGGGCGGGGTAGCGGGCAGGGCGCGGTAAGACGGATGGCCAACCAATGCATGGGATTCGAGGAGAAGGGGCGGCGGAGAAGCACAGCGTATGGCCGGAGGGGGTGTGGATAGCTGCAGCGGGCGTGGGAGGCAAAGCACTTACTCAATGTCGAGGGTGGTGGGAGGGGACTGGCCTTGGGGTGGCAGGCTCGCAGCGTCGGTGCAAGCAGGGGGTAGCGATTGTACGGGAGAGAATGCAAGGCTCGGGGTGGGAGAGGTCGAGGGAGCGAGATGGCGAGGGAGAAGTCGAGGGTCGCGGCAAGGTGCGAGGGAGGGCTTATGAATAAGAGGGCGGCGGGCTCAGGGCTCGTGGTGGGGTGGATATTTTCCCAATGCGCTAGCAACTTGACTTGAACAGTGTCCAATGGCGGGGCCCGCAGCGCATCGAGGGAGGCGGTTCTGGTGGAATTAGGGCCTGTCCGTCTGGCTGCCGTTGCAGACTGGGGACAGCCTGGTCGTGGGGAGTGGTCGCTTGTGCTTGTGGACCTTATTTGCATATGATGTCTAGATGGGGCCCTTTGTGCCCAGCAGAGCACCACCACCGCCGCCGCCGCCGCCATCACCATCACCATGGCTAGAGCGCCTCTCTCCCGCCACCCGAGTCAATGTTGCTGTTGCAGGCCGCTGTCTGCCCGCCACGCGGAGCCCGCTGCGAGCCTCGGTGTGCCATTTTTTTTCTCTTGCCGTGGCAGTTCACGCCATGGGATGGTGGCGGGTGGTCGTGTGCGGATAGCGTGCCAGAGTGCATGGGAAAATTGGCTTACCCCACGGTTTTTCTGCCGGTCCATGACGATAAGGCGCACGGCAATTGGCCAGGCGGCGGCGACCGCCCTGCAGTCGTTCCTCGGTGGAGGCAGGCCCTGGTCTCCGAAGGTCGGGTTGCAGCTCGTTCCGCCGTTCCACTCGGCCTGTCTCTCTCTCACTCTCTCTCTCTCTCCCACTCTCTCTCCCCCTCCAGCTGCTCCACCGGCTACGCCCCGCGCCAATTGGGCCACCGGCCTCGCCCCGGCCGTGCCACGACTGAGCTGGCGTAATTCCGGAGCGTCATCTGCCGCCTTATCTCGCTCGCCCTCACTGTCGCTCGCTCGCCCGCCCAGCCATGGCTAGGGCGGACCTTCGCGCTACCGCCTCCCTCGTCTCGCCCCCCGTTGGACGGGACGCGGTCTACATACATGTGCAGTGCTAACCCCGCCGTCGCGTGGCGGAAAGCCTCCGCCGTCCGGTTTGCATGTGCTTGCACTGGCGCCCTCTCACCCCATCAGCCTGCCCTCGCCAGCCCTCGCCAGCCCTCGCCCGCCCTCGCCCCAGGCGACAGACGGCACGACGAGAAGGCCGCAATGCCAGCCAGGCCCATGGCCACGACCAATCTGGCCTCTCCCCACCCACCTGGTCCCAGCAATAAGGCCATTCTGACCCGACCCGCCACGCCAGCCCACAGAGCAGCTTTGTCCGCATCATTGCTCGGAACAGATCGGAACCTCCGGCTGGCCAACACGGTCACGAGAACAGGCCAAGCGGCGTGCTACTGGCCAGGCCGATGTCGCCTCGTCCCCGTCCTCGTACCTACACATCAATATTACTCCCTTTTCCGCGGCGGATATTCCAGGCATGCTCCCTATCAAGACTCACCACCTGTACACCAGACCCTGAGCTAGCGCCACTCTTGCAGCTGCCACTCGACCAAAATCTCAGCACTCATTCCTGTACATAATACATTGCACCTCGGCCCTTTCAACCACTCGAGTGGGAGGCCACGACTCTCTTTCCGCTGTGACGCGGTTGCGTGGCCTACTCGCATTCGCATGCCCACGTAGAGCCCAGCGTCGTCAGAGGCGCGCATCAGCCCTGCAATCACCACTCACATGTCTTTTTTGCATGCTTTTTTTTATTGTGCCTCGTCTGACGCGCACCCCAGACTCGTCGGCCTCGCTTTTTCCGAGACAAACCCCACGTAAACTCGCTCCCACACACACTCCCACTCCCTGCTCCTATCAAGCAGGCAAATGGATCCACTTAGTATTGGCACAAGATTGACACCAGATCAGATCCATGTACCGATTATGTGGTTTTTGTCGGATCCAAGAGAAAAAAAAAGAGGAGACCCCACATCGAATCCCTGCTACCCACTCACCCAGGCAAACCTCAGCACAACCCTCTCGATACCACATTATCCACGACTATATTGTGGAATCTCATTATACCCGCCAGCCCTACCAGCTCCAGCTATGACGTGCCCAACTTTGTTTCAATCCACAACCCCGACCACCTTTGCAGTCTTGACAATCGGACCCCGCTGTCCGAACTTTCGGTCTCCGGTGCCCAGACGATCATGATCACGGGGAGAGGGGGATTAGCATTCATCTCCACTATTCATCCTGACGATCAAAAGACTTACCATCACAATACCCAACGCACATAATCCAGCCCCCAACATTGCAATTGTAATATCTGCTTCTCTTTTCCTTCCTCCTTCCTCCTAGCACAAAACGGCTACGCAAGTGCATAAAAAATACCCTGGTCTCTATCCCCTAGAAAGAAAGAAAAAAGACGAGGAAAACAAGGAATCACCCCAGATTGCCCCCAAACAAACTTTCGCCACAACATCCCCCCCAACCGGCCCGTCAGCGGCCCCATTTGCTTGCCTCACTCTGCCTCTCTCTCACTCTCACTTACACACTTACACACTTACTCACATGGCAAGCATATCCCATGCTAGTAGTACATACACATGTACGGGAAACCGCCTAGAAAAGAGCCACGTGACGTTTTCCCCCCACGATCACACCTCCCATCCAGCTGGTCAAAAAGGGTCCATGATGTGCATTTTCCCTGTCGGCTTAGCGCGCTAGACCACGCACGCCCTCCCCACGCATACGCATACCCATGCCCTAGCTACGGTAGTTGGTTAATCCACCCACTTTATACCTACCAGGGCCGCCGTTGTAAGCGCCGCTACACCCAGATAGTGATGTTGAAGGCGTGCCGCGCTATTTGCGCCTAGTAGTCTGTGTGTGTAGCGGACGCGTCGGCTGCATGGCATGGGGTAGTAGATGTACATAGGGTTGAGCACGTGAACAAAACACATGAGTAGCTGTGTATGTGCAAATAATCAACCAAGTAAGCACCCCAATTAAAGCAGACAGGGCAACACAATACCACTCAAAGTAACGCATAGTACCAATCGTAGCAACACTACCTACTAGTCCATATAACCAACCAAGCCCTCCCTTCCAAACAACAGCATAAGTACCCTGAATGAATGAATAAAAGAAGGAGAAGCAAAAAAAAGACACCACCACATTGTATCTCCTCACAATTCCCAAGACAAAAAGATCCATGAACTTTCCCCCCCACTCCCTCTCTGTTTTTCCCCTTTTGGAATGTGGGTTCTAAAGAGGGATACTTGGCAAAGTAGCGTTGAATTCTTCTTCTTATTTTTTTCTCTCTTTCTTTCTTTCCCTTGTTGATTGATTGTATATATGTATGTATGTATGTATGTATCTTTGAAGCTTGTGTCTACATACTGCATAGATGGGTATGTAATGCATGGCTTCAGTGAGCAACCAACGACTAGTATACTGTCACACACACACACACAGAGAGAGAGAGAGAGAGAAATGGTGCAATCCTTATTTTCATTATAATATAACGCTGATGCATGGCTCTGCAGACGTCGGGAGTATCCAATTTGCATGGTTTTTATGCAATTGCAGGCGCTCGGTTGTCGCACGCGCGCGCAAATGCCGCCATATCTATGGATCCGCATTGCCCTCCCATGCCACTAATTCAGCCATCAAGCAAAAAGCGCAAGTGCAGACCCCCCCAACGATGGTCCCACTTCTCATCACCGCCCAATGGCACTTGTTATATGTGTACGTGTGTATGTGTCAAGATCCAAATCCGAATATCGACTTTGAAAGATCCGTTGGTTCGCGCCCCCAAGTAAGCAGTCTTCAATGTCGCGAGTTAGCAGACGCGGCCACAGGGAGAGAGGAAGTGAATATCGGGTCAAAACTGGGGGAGCCGACAACGTACCAAGAGACAAAGAAAACGGTTGCTTGTGCAGCCGTCTCCTAGTCCTTCATCTGGTCATCGGGATCGACGAAATCCTCATCATCGTCGTCCTCGTCATCGTCGCCGAGTTCCTGGTTGGCCTTGGCAAAGTCGATGTTCTTGCCACGCGTGCGGCTGCTCATGATGTTTGCCGTCTCGATTTCCTCCATGTTGTCTTCGTCGACCTCTTCGGCTGTTTCATGCGTTAGTTGCTGTGTGCTCCATTGAATTGCATTCGTGGCGGAAATGAGGCTTACGTTCACCAGCCTGTACATACACCATCACGTTAGCTGTCTTGCGCTGGGAAGTGAGAGTCGCAATGCGTGCACACAACACACCTGTTCTTCGGCTCCAGACTCATCGCTAGAGTCGTCGTCCATAGACTCCTCCATTGTCTCGCCTTCCTGGGCCTTGCCCTTGCCCTTGACATCGGTAGTGGGGTCCTGGACGCCCTCCATCTGCTGATCTGGCTGGGCGGACATTTTCGAAAGGGCTCAAAGGGGGTTCGGTAATGAGTTCTTCAAGAGTCGCAATGAGCAGGGCTGGTCGTTTCACGGGCGATTGAGTGGTTGGCGGCTTCGTGTTTGTGTAGCAGCGGTGTAGAGGCAACAATTCCAGGTGAAGCGCCCTCCACATCTATTCCTTGCGCTACGGTCTAGCCGAAAGCGGGCTGGTCTCCTGGCCAACGCCTGCCGTTTGCAGCAAAAGCAAACACTAGCGCGTCGAGTCTGGGCCTCCAATACGGGCGTGTAGCAACACGGCTTTTTCATTTGGCAGCCTCTGCATCTTGCGCACGCCAGCGTGGTCGCCCGGACAAGCGGAACAAGGCTCAGCAAAATAAACGTTTCGTGTTGGCAAAGCAAGCGACCCAGCCACAGCTAACCGCGTCCAATGGCGGCCATCAAATGAGCAAGGAGGAATCTTCAGAATGGTTTGTTAAAATAACCACTTGTGTAGGTATCGTAAATACATCCCACCAAGCCAAATGCACCGTCTCGTTTCCCATGAATGTCGTTGGTACCATGTGCTTTTTGTAAAGTCTAACGATTGCCCATCTAGTGGTGGAACAGCCTAACGTGCTGCTCAACAAACGTGATGCCCAGTTTCTCACTCGTCTCAAATACTGCAGAATCGTTCTGGCTGCCTGTGGGGGCAGCAATGTATTTAGCTCCGCTCCTGTGGGCCCTGAAGACGTTGTCGATGAAGGGGAAGAAGGCATCGGAGCTGACCGCCACGCTCTCCATCTTGGACAGCCAGTCCTTGCGCTCCTCAGCCGTGAAAGGCTGGGGCACATGGCCTTCCTCAAAGTGCGCCTCAAAGTCCTCGCGCTCAATGCCCGACTCGGGCACGAGGCCTGAGCAAAGCAGATCAATGGCGTTGGACTTGGAGGGGCGCTTGGTGCCCTTCTTGAAGTTTAGGTTCAGCGTCTTTGAGTGGAAGCGCATCCACCAGTTGTCCGCCTTGTCACCAGCCAGGCGAGTGCAGTGGATACGTGCTATCATGTGTTAGTGGCTGCCTATCGTTGAAGTCGGCCAACTTACATTGCTGGCCAGCTCCCAGACCAATGACCTGGCCATTGAGTGCATAGCAGACACTGTTGGACTGGGTGTACTTGAGAGCAATCGTAGCGACAGTGAGGTCGCGCTGAGCCGACTCGGGCAGGGGTGGAGAGCTCTTGGGCACGATGATGGTGTTGAATGTGTCGGAGGGAAGGATCTTGGCGTCGTTGCGGTGCTGCTTGAGCGTGATACCAAAGACAGTTCTGGTCTCCTCTGGCCCCGGAACGTATTCGGGGTCCATTTGGAGCACCAAGTACTTTCCAGCCTTCTTCTTCTTGAGGATCTCCAGAGCTTCGGCGCTGTAGCCAGGGGCAATGACACCGTCGGACACTTCACGGCTGATGATCTTGGCGGTTGGGACCTGCCTTTTGTTAGTCTTTAATCGTAGCAACTGCTGAGTCTACCCACATCGACTTCGGCCGACAGAGCAATCATGTCGCCAAAACTCGACATCCTGTCGGCGCCACGGGCCCTGGCGTATGCCTGTGCCAGTCCTGACGTCTCAATGCCCTCAATGTCATCGACCATGTATACCTTGCGCTCCACCTCACTGAGAGGAACTCCAATGGCTGCACCTGCAGGCGAGACGTGCTTGAAGCTGGCGGCGGCTGGGTAGTTGAGCGCCTTGCTCAGCTCCTGCACGAGCGGCCAGGCGTTGAGCGCATCGAGCAAGTTGATGTATCCTGGGGAGCCGCAGAGCACCTTGAATGGCAAAGGCTTCTCCGCCATGGACACGGTCGCAGGCTTCTGGTGGGGGTTTGCGCCGTATCGGAGCGTCTGGAACTGGGCGCCGTCGCCCGCGTACTTCTTCCTGAAGAACTCAGAGATGGCCGTGTCGTAGGCAGACGTCTGCTCAAAAGCCTTGAGCGCATAGCGCTGCCTGCTGGTCTCGGAGACCTCGCCGTTGTTCTTGAGCTCGGTGAGGAGGTCGTGGTAGTCGTTGGGGTCGCTGATAATGGTGACGCGGGCGTGGTTCTTCGCGGCGGCCCTGAGCAGAGTGACGCCTCCAATGTCGATTTCCTCGACGGCCTCGGGGATGGTGACGTTGATGCGCGCAACCGTCTCGGAGAAGGGGTACAGATTGCAGACGACAAAGTCAATCTTGTCAATGCTGTTTGCCGACAGGTCGGAGTCGTCAGAGTCGAGGTTGCGCGCGAGGATGCCTCCGTGAACGGCGGGGTGCAGCGTCTTGACACGGCCACCAAGCATTTCAGGCGCCTTGGTGATGGCAGAGACGTCTTCGACTGGAAAGTTTGCCTGGCGGATCATCTTGGCCGTGCCGCCAGACGCAAGCAGACGGACACCGCATTCGTGCAGGCCCTTTGCCAGGTCCAGCAGACCGGTCTTGTCGTAGACGGACAGGATGGCTGTCGCACAGTCAGTGGCGCTTCCAGAAATTTTCAAGTATGCTGCTCACCTGTCTTTTGGCCGCCCATGTTGACTGATTGCAGGAGTCAATGGATAGATGGTCGACCCTTCAGAGTCAGGTCTGGGGTATTAAAATGGCGCACGACACTGTGGAGATTTTTTCTGGCCTCGCGGGGCTCAGACACCTCATCACCACGACGAGTATACGCCCCGCAATATCGGCGCCGAGCACGGGCTCGTACTTTTTTATGGTTGATGCGGCGCTGCCCTTGCTTCGCTGCCCCTCCATTGCCATGGTGCCCCCCCGATTGGTCAGAGCTTTTCCTCCACCCTGCACCGCGACATTTCACTGCGCGTGTCGTCAAATCGCATTGCAATTGATGGCGCATACTTGGGGGTTGCAAGATGCATGTGGTGTTTAGTACGAAGACGCCTTTGGCCGTTGTTCAGCGCATTCCTCCATGTCAAGCCAAGCAGCGAATGGAGACGACGCTCACGAGAATGCCTGCGCCTCGGCTCTCGCTCTCGACTCCTCCAAGATACCGGCACCATCTCCTTGTACATCTGTTGGACACTGCGCGTAGTCTCTCTCGCGAGAGCACATGCTTGCTTTTCGGCGCACGAGTGCCTAGAGTAACACTGAAATAAGTCGTCTCCAAAGCCGAAAGGTATCAGGCCGCTTCACCACATCAACCGTTGGAAGCAGCTTACACAGCCAACGCACTCTCGCTCTGACAGCATCATGACGGCGCTTTCCAATACCGAGGACCTCGCCAGCCACCTCCAGTCTGTGCTGCTGGACCTCAACGCCAACCCCTACCCAGACGTCGCGTGTCCACCAAATCTCCCGAAACGCGCTTCGGTAGCTCTGATCCTGCGCATACAGCCCAACTACTCGCACTGGCCCGACAGCTCAGACAGTCCCCTGCCGGCACGGCGCAGACGCTCCTCGGCGGTGAAGCCCAAGGATGAGTTTGACTTTGAGTCCTCGCTGCGCGCCTTCTTCGGACAGGAATGGGTCAAGCATGGCGACCCGGAGCTGCTGTTCATAAAGCGGGCTACACGAATTGGCGACAAATGGAACGGACACGTCGCGCTGCCTGGTGGGAAGCGAGACCCCGAGGATAGCGACGATCAAGTGACAGCTGCGCGAGAAGCGCTGGAAGAAGTCGGCATCGATCTGGGCCCTGAGCATGCCATTGCTGTTGGCAACCTTCCCCAGCGCATCGTCACGACAAGCTGGGGCAAAGTACCGTAGGTCAATTCTCGCGCATACAGCTTTAGCTAACCATGCCACAGACTCATGGTACTGTGTCCGTACATCTACCTCCTGACGTCTCCTTTCTACCCGTCGCAACGCCTGCAGCCCACCGAGGTGGCCTCGTCACATTGGGTTCCGCTTCGCGCGCTCCTCTCGCCTGCGCTGCGTACGCACGAATACGCCGATGTCTCTGCACGTCTGGCAAAGTCGGAGCTGGGCATCAAGCGCTGGTTCCTGCAGGCGATGCTGAGCAAGATGATGTTTGCGGCCATCCAACTCGTGCCAGCAAACTCGACACACTGCGCAACCATTCCAGACTTCATACCCATTGACGAGGCACAGGGTGTATGGAGCAATATCAGAGATGCACTGGCAGGCCCTGGGTCGAGATGCAAGGACCGGAGGCCACCGCTGCTGCTATGGGGCTTGACGCTTGGTGTTGTGAGCGACTTTCTCGAGCACATGCCTCCTCACAATGCACTGGAGCTATGGACGTATCCTACTTTTACCAGCTGGGACGTGCGATTCATCCTGTGGGCCATGTCTTACCGCTTCCGGAAACAAAAGTCTTTGGAAATGAGCACAGCGACATCGAGCGGTTCGACAACGACTAGCAACGACACGACGGAACTACCCATACAGGATTTCCCGGGAATAGGCAGCGAAGCGGTTGGGTCGTTGGAAGAGAAGCCAGGCGAGGTGGGCATAGCTGGACTGGGGGTTGGCAGGGGGTGGGGACAGAGTGGAAAGGCCAAGATGATGGCCAGAGGGGCGGCTGTCAACTCGATGCTTGAGGGATACTACCCGTGCATACGACAGGCGGTGACTACGGCACTGGTTGGCAGGATATGTGTTGCAGGCCTCGCCGTCTTTTTGACGTGGAGAAAGCTGGGTGTGGGTGCTGGATGGGTGTATGGATAATGTCGACGCGACTACGGCAGGTCAGTCTCCGAGTACCTGGATCGCAATCGACGCACTAGGATAGCGCGTGGTAGGTGTACAGCTGAACCAAGGACATGTATGCACGCCGTCGCCGTGAACCGCGAGAATGGCGCAAGAGGAACTTCGTATGATAGCTTATCAAGGCGCAACAAAGAGAAGATATTGCGTGCCCAATTCCCAATGGCACGGTTGTTGAGTCGTAGTGCCATGCGTAGCCATCCAATTGGCCGGTGATGATGGCATCGCCGTTTGTTATTGTCCAAATATCGCTCTTCCTTTTGATCCTTCTCCAAAACCGATGCAGGCGACTGGTGGTTACAAGTTGAAGGACCGACCATGATGGGATCTTTAGCTCCTAAAAAACCCCCATGTAGGCGTAGTGCACTGGCCTCAGCGCAGACGAAAAAAAAAAGACCAAGGCCATGTGCATGGGAAAGAATCCTAGTGGTTCCCCCACAAGGCTTAGTTAGTCGAGTGCAGGAATGGGGGGAGGGTCCGTTGTGAACGCGTGGTAGGAGCCATCCTGTGCCTTTTTTTTTCTGTCCGTGCGATGCACTTGTCCCGGTGAGGAGCATGGAGGGATCGAGGTCAACCGGTCGTCGTGGGTTGGGCGTGGGTGTGTGTGTGTGGGGGGGGAAAGGGTTTGGCATGTGAAAGTCTGGAGTAAGGTGTACACGCACAGCTAGGGGTATAGGTACATGCAGCCAACCGCGCTGGAACCCGTGCCCGTGGCGCCTGATGGTCAGCTAGCTCAAAGGCCCTCCGAGACGGGGCGAGGCTTCTTGGGGTGTTTGCGGCGGATGAGGCGCGTGGAAATGTGTGTCGTCGAGGGTATTTTGGACGAACGGATGCTGCTATTGGGTGCAGGTGAAGGCGCACATGAAAGGGCTGACTGGGGCCGAGGCGCGGGCTGTTATCGGATTATCGGATAGCTGGTTGATGCATCATGTGCGATGATGACGACGATGGCGCTGATGCTCCCGGTGAGACTAAGACTGTATATACGCTCATGCTCATGCTCATGCTCACGCCGTGATATGCTGTATGCTGGTGGTATGTAGCATGTAGTATGGGCTGGGTAGCCGAATCGGGTGGGATGCGCGAGGCCCTCAACAAAGGGCTGGGCGGAGCTCGGTAGTGCCGCGGGCCAATCACAGGCCGTTGGGAAGCGGTGCCTGGCGCGCTAAGCCAGACCCTGCAGAGGCTGGAAGGGGGACTTCGGGGCGAGGGGAGGGCCCCCCCTGGTCATTTGGATTCCGATTTTTTGCGATGGCCCAGCTGGAACGACGGCCGTCCTTTTCTTTGCGAAGCCATTGCGGGCCTCGCGCTGCTGCGCTGTCGCTCACACCCACTCGGTACGTGGCAGCAGGCCATGCACATGCTATGTACAGGGCAGAAAAGGGTGGCGGCACGCGGGCTGAGGGCGTGGGCGTGGGTGTGGTGAGCCACCCCCCCAGCTACACCCAAGAAGGGAGGATTTACGAGTCCTTGTAGCAAGCACCAGCACCAGCGCGACAGCAGGCGGCACAGGGACGGTGGGCCGTCGGTGGGCTCAAACTGGCGGTCTGCCCGCGCTGTTCTTGGGCCTAGCGAGACGCCAAGCGGGCACATTCAAGCCGTGCTGGTGCCATCTGCTCGCGACTTCGCCTGCCTGTGTCCAGTGCGGTGGCAACCCGCCCGCCCATTCAATGGATTGCCATGGTCGTCGTGCCCGGTGGAGCTTCTTGCATTCAACGCTGTTGCTATTAGTCAAGCCTGGCTCTCTGATGCTGCCCCATGCATGAGCCAGGCGAAACGGCCTCGCTGCCACTGCCATTGCCTCCAACGCCCGCCGCCCCCCCTGGCCTGTTGGCTTGGGCCATGCCCACCCCGGTAGAAGTGGCTACAAATTCCATCGACACCGCCTTGGGACCACGCTTGCTCGCTTTAAATTCTCCCTCTGCCCTACTCTGCCCTCCCCCTCCCCTCCCTCAATCCCTCGCTCTCGTTTGCTTCTTGAGCCATTGAGCCGCCTGCACTTCTCAGTGCTGTTGCCCAACAACCTGCAGCCCGCGTCCCAACAGTTTGTAGCTCGTGCTGCTGCTGCTGCTGCAACTGCTGCTGCAACTTCTCAGGGCTTTTACCCCCCCACCTACCCGCCCTCCTCTCCCTACCACCCACCCACGCCTCCCTGCCCTCGCACGCAGCCATGGCAACGACAACTGCCCGCTCGCAGAAGCCTGCGACAAAGAGGAACATCACGGCCGACTCGGCGGCCAACTCGGTGTCAGCCTCGCCCTTCGACACCCCGGTAGCCTCGGCCTCCAACACTTCGCTGTCCTCGCTGGACGAGCAGCCCCAAAAGTCCAAGAAGCCCCACGGCAAGCTTCTCGACACGTACGGCAACGAATTCGAGATCCCCGACTACACCATCAAGGAGCTGCGCGATGCCATCCCCAAGCACTGCTTTGAGCGTTCGGCCATCCGTGGTCTGGGCTACGTTGCCCGCGATCTGGCCTCGCTTGCTGCCACCTTTTACATCTTCCACAACTACGTGACGCCCGAGACAGTCCCCTCCATGGCCCTGCGCTCGGTGCTGTGGGCCGGATACACTGTCCTGCAGGGTCTCTTCGGCACGGGCCTCTGGGTCCTTGCCCATGAGTGCGGTCACCAGGCCTTCTCGCCCTCCAAGACGCTCAACGACACGGTCGGCTGGTTCTGCCACTCGCTCTTCCTCGTTCCATACTTTTCGTGGAAGATTTCGCACGGCAAGCACCACAAGGCCACCGGTCACATGGAGCGTGACATGGTCTTCGTCCCCAAGACGCGCGAGATCTACGCTTCCCGCGTCGGCAAGATGGTCCACGAGATCAGCGAGCTGACCGAGGAGACGCCCGTCTACACGCTGCTCCACTCGATTGGCCAGCAGCTGGCTGGCTGGCCCATGTACCTCTTCACCAACGTCACCGGCCACAACTTCCACGAGCGCCAGATCGAGGGCAAGGGCAAGGGCAAGAAGAACGGCTTCTTCGGCGGCGTCAACCACTTCATGCCCTCCAGCCCCCTGTACGAGAAGCGTGATGAGCACCTGATCCTGCTCAGCGACCTCGGCATCGGCCTCGTCATTGCTGGTCTGGTCTGGGTCGGCAAGAACTTTGGCTTCAACAACCTGCTCGTCTGGTACCTGATCCCCTACCTCTGGGTCAACCACTGGCTTGTCATGATCACCTTCTTGCAGCACACCGACCCTACTCTGCCCCACTACGACGCCGAGACATGGACCTACACGCGCGGTGCCGCTGCTACCATTGACCGTGAGTTTGGCTTCATCGGACGCCAGCTCCTCCACGGCATTGTCGAGACGCACGTCCTCCACCACTACATCTCGACCATCCCCTTCTACCACGCCGACGAAGCCACCGAGGCCATCAAGCCCATCATGGGCAGGCACTACCGCTCCGACACCAAGGATGGCCCCATTGGCTTCATCAAGGCTCTGTGGAAGAGCGCCCGCTGGTGCCAGTGGGTTGAGCCAAGCGTCGGTGCCGAGGGCGAAGGCAAGGGCGTCTTGTTCTTCCGCAACCACAACGGTCTTGGTGTGCCACCTCAGAAGCTGGAGCCTTCTTCGTCGACCAAGGGCGCAAAGATGGAGGTTGGCCCGGAGAGCGACAATGAGTAGGCGATGATAATGATTGGCATGGTTTGGACGTGGGCTCCTTTGCTGTCCACGGCACGGCGTTGTGGAGTAACCCTCACGAGGCCGCGCATCTCTTTTTCCTTCTTCTTCTTCTTCTTCTTCTTCTTCTTCTTCTTCTTCTTCACGTCTAGTATTAGACCTTAGACGGCCTGCTTGGCGTAGAGTGCCATGTGTCGACCTGTGCAAAAGACGCAAAGTTTGTACATTGTGCAGAGTAGACGCTCAAGATATAAGACATTGTTTAGTTCAATCCATGAGTGCTCAAGTGTGAATGTGAATACTGAGAACGTGATGACGCCGGTGAGACGTTGCTTGGGTTCCCCGCATCCGCAGTCAGGTGGTGTGAACGTGACCTTGACAGCTACGTGCGCAATTGGTCCGCCGGGTAGGTATCGCAAGAGCATGTCGACATGTCCTGGCAGTTGAGATGAAGTAGCAGCTCAAGCATGGTCGTGACATGCTGCTGCCATCCAAGTCCAAGCAGCCACTGCACCCTCCACACCACAGGGGCCAAAGTCAAAAAGTACAAGTATGTAGCGACGTTGGTAAGGAACGAGATATCATCAGAAACCCTCATCTGCTCCAGCTACCTCGCACGGTGAGTCGTGCTCTAGGACGCGTAATAGAGGATAGCCCGGTAGAAGTGCCCGACTTTCCTACAATAAAATGCGCCCGGAAAATGAGTTGGAGAAGGAAAGGAGGACGGGCGGCGGCCGACGAGAATTTTGTGGCAGGGCGCAGGCGGCGCTTTGACCAATCACGGGCGGATTATTCAAGCGCCAAGGAACACCCTCCCATCATGAACGTCAGTTGGAGCTACGCTGCAACCAGACCAACCGCCATCGCTCAGAGCCTCACAATGCTGCGGCAACACATGCTCCGGTCGCTGAAGAGGCCTGCCCACCGTGCAGCCCTCAATGGCTGCCGGGCCTTTACTGCCTCGGCCCGCCGGCCAGCAGACATTGAGCTCACCATTGGTTTGTGTGCCCTCTCTCAATTGCGGGCGGCGGCGGGATGCTAACGGGCGAGACAGATGGCAAGAAAGTATCAGTTGAAGGTACAAAGACAAGCCAGATTTCCGCGTGTCGCAAAGCCACGGTTCTAACGCTTTGTGAACAGCCGGTTCGGCCCTCATCCAAGCCTGCGAAAAGGCCGGAGTTACCATTCCGAGATACTGCTACCACGAGAAGCTGATGATTGCCGGAAGCTGTCGTATGTGCTTGGTCGAGGTTGAGCGCGCTCCCAAACCCGTTGCTTCCTGCGCGTGGCCCGTACAGCCTGGCATGGTGGTCAAGACGGACTCGCCTCTTGTCCACAAGGCGCGAGAGGGCGTCATGGAGTTTCTGCTAGCCAACCACCCGCTCGACTGCCCCATTTGCGACCAGGGAGGCGAGTGCGATCTGCAGGACCAGTCAATGAGGTACGGCGCTGACCGAGGCCGCTTCCACGAGCTCGAGGGCAAGCGTGCGGTTGAAGATAAGAACGTGGGGCCGCTGGTAAAGGTAAAGCAACCGTCACTTGCAGGGCTAAGGCCGTACTCATGTGCAGCGTAGACGTCGATGAACCGCTGCATTCACTGCACGCGCTGCGTTCGTTTCTCCAACGACATTGCTGGTGCACCCGAATTCGGTTCCTTTGGCCGTGGCAACTCGCTGGAAATCGGCACCTACCTCGAGACGGCCCTCGACACCGAACTGTCCGGAAACGTCATCGATCTCTGCCCCGTTGGTGCGCTCACCTCCAAGCCCTACGCATTCAAGGCTCGTCCGTGGGAACTGTACAAGACGGAGACAATCGATGTCCTTGACGGCTTAGGCTCAAACATCCGCGTTGATTCGCGCGGCCTCCAGGTCATGAGGGTTCTCCCCCGCCTCAACGACGATGTCAACGAGGAGTGGATCAACGACAAGACGCGTTTCGCCTGCGACGCCCTCAGCACCCAGCGTCTCGTGAACCCACTTGTCCGTGTCAACGACCAGTTCCAGCCCGCAAGCTGGGAGCAGGCTCTGGTGGAGATTGGCAATGCATACAAGAAGGTCGCCCCCAAGGGCAACGAGTTCAAGGTTATTGCTGGCCACCTCGTCGAGACCGAGGCTCTGGTCGCCATGAAGGATCTCGCCAACAGGCTTGGATCGGACAACCTGGCGCTTGACCAGCCCGGTGGCAGCGAGCCCATTGCCCACGGAATCGACGTCAGGTCAAACTACGCTTTCAACTCCAAGGTTTACGGTGTTGAGGAGGCTGATGTCATTCTTCTCGTTGGCTCCAACCCCCGATGGGAAGCTGCCGTTTTGAACGCGCGCATCCGAAAGCAGTGGTTGAGGACCGACTTGGAGATTGGCTTCGTTGGCGAGGACTTTGAGAGCACTTTTGAGTACGAGAAGCTCGGAAGCAATGCCCACGATCTCAAGAGTGCGCTTTCTGGCGCGTTTGGCAAGAAGCTGGCTGGCGCAAAGAGGCCCATGATCATCGTGGGCAGCGGCGTCACTGAGCACGCCGACGCAAAGGCCATCTACGAGCAGGTTGGCTCTTTCGTTGAGCAGAACAAGGCCAGCTTCCAGAACGAGGAGTGGAACGGTTTCAACGTTCTGCAGCGAACTGCTTCCCGCACTGGTGCCTACGAGGTTGGCTTCACCGTTCCCTCTGCTGAGGTTGCCCAGACAAAGCCCAAGTTCGTGTGGCTTCTTGGGGCCGATGAGGTCACCGAAGCCGACATTCCCAAGGATGCCTTTGTTGTCTACCAGGGCCACCACGGCGACCGGGGCGCACAATACGCCGATATTGTCCTGCCTGGTGCCGCATACACTGAAAAGTCAGTCACATATGTCAACACCGAGGGCCGTGTACAAATGACACGCGCTGCTGTTGGCCTTCCCGGTGCCTCGAGGGAGGACTGGAAGATTGTGCGCGCAGCATCAGAGTACCTCGGTGCGGAGCTACCCTATGACGACGTTGAAGCACTGCGAGACCGCATGGAGGAAATATCGCCTGCTCTCAGGAGATATGACCTGGTCGAGCCTGCGTCGCTACCCAGCCTGAGCCAGGTGCAGCTGGTTGAGCAGAACAAGGGTGCCCAAGCAACCGGTCAGGCGCTCAAGAACCCTATCGAGAACTTCTTCTTCACAGACGCCATATCGAGAAAGTAAGTGGCCTAACCCTGAAACGCCTCAGTCGCATAATACTGACAGATCGACAGCTCACCGACTATGGCCCGCTGCTCAGCCGCCAAGGCCCAGAAGAACCCCCAGACAAACTTCATGGCGCCCGGTGAGCCGTTCCCTCAGGTTGGCTACGGCCCCCAGGTATCCGCCGCAGCAAACGTCTAGTGGGCAGTCTTTTGTATTTCTGGGAATCGTAGAACAAGGAAACTCGATTGTAAATAGCATTTTGAAGGGTCGAGCACGTGATGTCCAAGACGTTAGGGTGTTTGATGTGAATTACCTGCGCTACTGGCGTCTCGTTCAGTGATCATCTGCCTGATTCGACCCAGGTTGAGGTATTTAACTATGCCTGCCTTGTCGGGTGGCTCAGACATGCCGTCGGCCAAGCCACTAGCCTGCTGTGACCCACGCGTACATGTCTTTTGACCACTTCAAGACGTCCGTATCCCCCACATGCTCGCACTTATATATGCTTTGCGGGCGGCTCCTACGCATTAACCTTTGTTCTCTCTTGTCAGGCTTCCCTCTTACAACTGTTGCTGCGGTTGGGCGCTCCAGACCGCCAGATTACCGCGTCCCGGCGCTAGGACCGTCTTACGGATCGTCAGAACTTTGATAGAGCATCCGCGTACTCTGCGCCACACAGCAAGAACACAAAAGAGGCGCCACGGTCTCTATCGTCGTGCGACAGACTGGCGGTGGAGCACGAGAGGGGAGGAGAGGGCGGCCAAGCTTCGCCATCAAGCTTTGCCGAGAGATTGGCAGTGCAAGAGCCGACATAGCCGTTATCAAGGGTCCGAGGGTCCTGTCACCGCAGCAGCCATGCCTACGCTCGAGGTCAACAACTTCAATATTGTCTGCGCAACGCTGGGCGGCTTCATCACGCTTTTCGGCCTGGTCAGCTATTTGATGAAGGAGAAATTTTACCTTAGTGAAGCATGTGAGTCCAGGTCCCCAGCACTAGCCCAATGGTCAATGACTCAGTGGCACAATGTCGTCACAAGCTCGGTGCATATACTTATCCATTCCGCTCTTAGTAATTTCTCTTATTGCCGGCCTCGTCTTCTCGCCACATGGCACCAATTGGATCAGACCAGACGACTATGCATTCAATAGTCCGCAGAATTTGGATACCATTACCCTCTACTTTACCCGCCTGGTCCTGGGTGTTCAGCTTGTACTGGCAGGTGTGCAGTTGCCTTCAAAGTACATGAAGACAGAATGGAAGAGTTTGTCCCTGCTGCTCGGCCCCTGCATGACCATCATGTGGCTCGTAACCAGTTTGCTCGTCTTTGCCATGGTTCCGCACATTAGCTTTTTGCAGGCGCTGGCTGTAGGTGCTTGTGTCACGCCCACGGACCCTGTGCTTTCCAACTCGATTGTCAAGGGCAAGTTCGCCGATGCAAATATTCCCAAGGAGCTCCAAAAGATTATTGTTGCGGAATCGGGAGCTAATGATGGTCTGGGCTACCCATTCCTCTTCCTCCCGCTGTATCTTATCCAGCACATTGGCCATGGCGGTCAGGGCTCGGATAATAGCACTAGAGTTGCCATGGGCCTCTGGTTTGGCGAGACCTGGGGTTATACTATTATTCTGAGTGTGGCATATGGCGCGGCAGTAGGATGGGTTGCAAAGGAATTCTTGCACTGGGCCGAGGAGAGAAAGTATGTTGACCGTGAAAGCTTCTTGGTGTTTGCCATTACCCTAGCTGTAAGTCCCCACGACCTATTTTCAAGGAAGAATACTAATACATTCTCATAGCTCTTCATTGTCGGCACGGTAGGAATGATTGGCAGCGACGACGTGCTTGCGTGCTTCATTGCCGGCAACGTCTTCACCTGGGACGACTGGTTCCGCCTCGAGACCATGGACGACTCTTTTCAGCCCACCATCGATATGCTTCTCAACGTCTCGATTTTCATCTGGCTCGGCGCCACGTGCCCCTGGAGCCTTTTCGCCAACTCGCCCGTCATTCCCCTCTACCGCCTTGTTCTTCTAGGAATTCTCGTCTTGTTGCTACGCCGCTTGCCCATCATCTACGCTTTGCACAAGCAGATTCACCAAATCGAGCAACGACGACAGGCGTTGTTTGTGGGCTTCTTTGGTCCCATTGGTATTAGCGCCATGTTTTATCTCTTTGTCAGTCTCGAGTTTCTCGAAAACATCAAGGTAGACGGCGAGACCAGGGAAGACGCTGCGTATCTGATGCAGGTTATGAAGGTAGTCATCTGGTTTTTGGTCATTTGCTCAGTTGTAAGTTTTTTGTTGAATTCTTCCTGCTCACTGATACGAGGTCTAACCACTGAACAATAGATTGTCCATGGTCTTTCCATCCCCATGGGAAAACTGGGCTTCCACATTCCACGCACCCTCAGCACCGCCCTGTCCTTTGGCCGCACCACGTCCTCCGTCCCCAACGATTCGCAGCCTGCCTTCCACGTCCCAGACTACGGCACCACCACCAACGCCGATCCTCGTCTCTCACGTGGCCCGGGCTTTTCCCGCAGCACCGGCGACTCGCTGCCCACGCGTGTCGTTAGAATCGGAAGAAGCCTTATCAGAAGCGCGACCACCACGCCGACGGCATCGAGGGCACCCAGTCTATGTAGACCTGACGCCAGAGTTCCCATGCCTATGAACGATGTTACTGCCACCACAGCAAACAACAACAGGCAGGATGCAGATGGCGCTGCCAAATCGAAAGAGAATGATGATAATGGCGCTGAGGAACGCGTTATTCCTGGTAGAACGATTAGATTCCATGACGAGCAGCCGACGCAACCGCAGCCTGAGACTGCGGTCAAGGTGGATGATAAAGAAGAAGAGGAATGAGTGTGGAATCGTTTCAGATGGTGGATTTATGTGTGTTTTTACTTCTGTCTAGACGCTGTATCTGCATGATACATAGGATTGGCGTATGTAGGGTCTGCTTTTGATTTTGAGTTTTCTTGTTTACGAGCTGTTGTATACCACGATATCCACATGGATGGATACACGCAAAGCATGACGATGATTACCACGAACGAATTCAACTCCAAAACATTTAAACATACTGAAAATTCATGGCCTCTCCCCCCCAAAACAAAACACAAGACAAGACAAGACAGATTTCACACCGCACCCACACTCCCCTTCTCGCCCTTCTCCCTCGCCGCAATCTCCTCGACACTAAGCACAGTGCCCTGCCTCGCACTGCACTCCAGCTCCTCTCTCCTAACCGCACACTTTGCACTATACGTCGCGCGATCCCGCCTACATGCGGTATCCCAGAAGATATTTTCGCCCCAGCACCCCACGCCCACGAGGTCCACGACCAGCACACTCAGTACCAAGCCCGTTGTACTGGCGACCAGCGCTAAACTATGCATGCGCGCAAGCGGCAGGACTGCAATGACAATGGCTACGGCGCAGCGATACACCAGCCGCATGTTCTTGCGCAGCCGCTGGTGCGCTATCTTGCGGTGCACGTGCGTTTTCGCCAGCGCAGAGAGACACAGCAGGGCGATGCCGAGGCTGCAGGTGTAGAACCACTGCAGCGCGAGCGGGACGTGCGCTTCGGATTTCGCGACGAAGCTTGGGTGCAGCGAGAGCAGCGGTGTGTTGGGTGCGTCGTGGGCGCGCACCAGGATGGCGAGCGAGGACGCCGAGAGCACGAAGGACATGGTGAAGGGGACGTGGAGGGTTAGCCAGGCCATTGCTGTTGTTGTTGTAGTACTTATTAGTATTTTTTCTTTTTCTTTTCTTCTTCTTCTTCTTCTTATTTTAATCCCCCTTTTCTGGGGGCATTCATTCTTGCTGGGAGAGTGCTGGGTTATCTTGCTGTTTTTTTTGTTTTTTTTTGTTTTTTTTACGATGAATGGATTGTAATGGCAAATATGGTGCTTGAACAGGAATAAAGAGAAAGAGAGAGAGAGAGAGAGAGAGAGAGAACGCACCAGAAACAACATGCCGTCTAATAGCATGGGTATGCAGATTAAACGAGTCGATTTCAAAGTACAGCCAGTTGAACACAAAAGCCTGCATGAGGCCCAGGACAGCTTTCCCGAAAAACGCATTTATCCCCATGGCCACGTTGCTCTGGTACAGCAGACCGAGGACACAGGAGCCAAAGACGAGGGTGACAAAGGCGTTTGTGCGCTCGATTCTGTGCTCGATGTTTGTGCCGGGGAAGAATTCGAGGCTGCTCTTGATGCGCTGCGGGAGGTGTTTGCGCAGGGGCGAGTGGTTGTGCTGGAGGAGCAGCATGGCGAATTGACCGAATAGGTCGAGCACCAGGGCGACCCAGATGAGGCCTTGTTTGGCGGGCTCGTCGACATGTATACTGCCGACCCAGAGGGCAAACGGGACCAGTGGAATCACGCTGTATCCAATCATGCTGCCGCGGATCATGGGGATCGTCCACGCGTACCAGCACAGGCTGAGCGACATGAAGAGCCGGGCGGCCAGGTAGAAGGCCACGAGCGGCGTGTACGTGTGCTCAAAAGCCGACGCCATGTTTGTGGTGAAGCCCAGCAGGCACGTCAGGATGAAGAGGACCGAGCAGCGCCGCAGCACGTCGTCCGAGTCGAACCACGAGATGAGGACGCCAATGTCGGACCAGAACTTCCAGCCCATGATGAAGGTAATCGCGAAGCGCAGCAGCGACTCGCCCGAGGGGTGCTCGGCCGCCGAGTCGCCTGTGATGGCGATGATGCCCACGTAGAAGAGGTCAATGAACAGCTCGTACGACGCCACTTCCTGTGCTTCTTTGGCGCGCCACAGCAGGCCCTTGTGAAAGTACTGCCGCACAATCGGGCGCTGGTAGAAGCGCATGGTTTCGCCCTTTTTGCGCTCTGCACGCCACACATCCTTGTCGAACAGCTCGCTGCCCGACGAATGCACAGAGTCGGCACCGCTCCCGGCATCGTCCTTGGTCCGCAGATGCGCAGAGTACCCGTACTTGGAGAAGCTGGCGTCGAGCTGCACCGCATGCTCACTGACCATGTGCAGCTCCGTGGAGAGAGCATCGAGTTCGCGGATCACTCGCTCGAATTCCTGGGCTAGGTCGCCGTATTGCTCCTGCAGTTGCTTGTGCCGGTCTTCATGGTGGGCGTGGGTGTGGCGGAGTGCCTCGATCTGTGCCGGCCTTGTGTAAACACGTCGTATACATGTGCTCGCTTGCTCCCGGCGGAGAAACACTCACATGTTCAGGCGACCCATGTACAACCAGTTCAAACCCCTCTTTTTCGTTTGCAGTGCTCAGTTTCCGCCTCATGCTGTTGGCCTCGTCTGGCGAACTCGCAATGTGTACTTTCCGTCCATCTGACCGCAGGAATTGCCTCAGTCTCTTTCCTGTGTGGTGGCCTAGATGCGGATAGTGATGGTGCTGGTGTGCTGTAGTGTTGCTTCCTGGTGTGTGGGTGTTTGGAACCAGGGTATGTGGAGTCTCCGTCATTGTTCTACCTACAATTGTGACAGTAGTGTTGACCAAGAGGAACTATGCTGTCGCTGAACGGCATTCTCAGTCCAACCCAGCCCATTTAGGCGTTTTACTACTGAGGTGCAAGAATGGTGGCTTGCCCCTATCGATGGTGGCGTGTATGTGATTGGTTGGGTGTATGGTCAAGAAGGTGAATAAGCCGGCGCTAGGTATAGGTAAGCTGCGGGGCCAAAAGAATCCCATGCTTATTCGCTTGTAAAGATGGGAGATAGTGCTATGGAAGAGTGCATCAGTGTTGATATGCAAGTCGAGTCCACGAAACGAGTGGCACTATCGACGTGGGCACCATGCATAGGTCTCACCGAGCGTGTAGTACACACGAAGACTGGATCTACTCTGCACATGTCTGTCGTGTAGATCTTTGTGCTCAAAGAGGATATTGCTAAAGTCGCCGACGCGGTACAGTGGCAGCGCCCAGACTTGGCAGTCGTTAAAACAAAGATGGGTAGTCATGGCGCGTCCGGCATGCATCGTTTGGGAACAGGGTATATTATCTGTCCAGACTTCTGTGTACCCCAGCACACTGTCTCCGAGGAGCTCAGCACGTGGCTGCAGGCAGAGCCATGTGCTCGAAGCACCTGTAATCTATCGTTTCTTGGCTTGTCCAGCAGAGCTCTGTGTAGTTGCGCTTGCGCTTCCCGAGTCCGTCTTGCCAGCCATCCACGAGGCCAGGTCGAAGTTCTGTAGCTGCTGGGCGGTGTTGGTAGTGCCGGAGCCCAAGACGCCGTTCTTCTGCATTTCCTCGAATTCCTCCTTCATCTCCGGGTCCACTAAGCATGTGTCAGTAACCGCGTCTACCCGCTCAGTGCTCCTGCCACTTACTGTTCTCCATGAGTTTAGGCATGCCGAATATGAGACCCATGGACACAACAGCCATGATGATCATGGGGTTCTTCAGGAACGACAGTGGCGAGACTGTTCGCATATTAGTGACTCCATTCGTGAACTCGTTCTTGGTGCGTATAGGCAAGACTTACAGCCCTGTCTTTCCTGGTAAAAGTATTTGGGGCCCACTGGTCGGGCCTCAATCACAAGCCCGTTTCCACCTTCTCCCCGAATCTCTCCCTTGTTGTCCCATTCGTTGCCCAGGAAGGTTTGCCAGGCCTTGATGACCTCCTTCATCTCTCCGCTGCCCTCTACTGCCTCCTCCAATGCGACATCAATCCTCAGCGGCTCAAAAGCATAATCGCGGCAGTGGATCGTAGCAAGGTAGCTCCCTACGCTAATGTTGTTGAAATTGAATGTGTTGGAGCGCGTGAGGTAAGCATCGAGGGGCGGACCCGAAGACTGTAGGGTTGCGTGCGTCGTAGAGGGCAGGGTGGCGGGGTTTACCAGGGCCGTGTTGGGGATTTGGAGGAGCAGGCGGGCGGCACTGGTGAGCGTCGCAAAGGATGCGAGGGCGGCGAAGGAGGTTTTCATGGTGCTGTGAGTTATGGGGCCGCAGAGTTGATGATGTAGCTTTCGTCAAGTCGTCAATGGATATCGCGGCTCAACGCACGGGCCTCCACTCATGCATGCGAAGCGTCTTGGATCTTGGAAGCACTTGAACGCTGTTTTCCTATTCGGGAATAGTGTGGTTTGCTCTCTTAGTGTTCATATGCCCTTGAAGGTTAAACAAATCATGGTTTTCACGAAGCATTGCCAGTATGGATAAGCGATCGCGTCAGATCAGCTACTGCGTAACTGGAGTACTATGTATGCCATTTGCGGTTACCTGTAAGAATTCAATCTAGCCGTCTCTACAGAAAATATGCCAGATCTATCAACATTCTAGATTGTATTCACAATTCGTCGCTTTCTGACCAGCATCCAACTTTTGACTGTACCACCAAGGATTGCTTTATGCAAAAACAAGTCTCGCTATATGTAATGATGCCTGCAAATGCCGAAATTTACGTTTAATCAAAACACCCTCATCAGACATAATGACTATCAACAGTCCCTCGTATAGTCCGAATACTGCCGCCATTTTTCTCCATACTTGAATACATAGATTGGCACGACTGACAGTACCAAGCTCAGCGCACCCAAGCAGGTGAAGCCTAGCCCGTAGCCCAGGTGCTCAGTCAGCGGACTGGTTGTCAACGGCAGGAATGTGCCCATGAGGCATCTAGTAACAATGACGCCAGTCAGTGCCGAGGCGGAGTACATGCCAAACGCATCAACCACATAGTTGGATAGCGGTATAACCGTGAGTAGCAGAGTGCTGCCCATGAATACGACGGATAAGAGAAGTAGCAGTACAGGAAGCCGGTATTCGGCAATCCAACCGTAGGCCGTAACTGCAAAAGGTAGCATGATTGCGCCAAACATGGAAAGAGGCAGGCGATATTCTGGTTTCCCGTTTTGGCTATCAGGGCCGCGGAGCTTCACGTAGATTCGGTCGAGCGCAAAGTTGCAGATGAAAACACTGCAGAAGGATCCGATGCCTGATTATACGTCAGCTTGTATAATGAAACAACAAAAAAGATGTTACGTACTGAAAGATATAAAGGCAGACCCCGTCTTTGCAAGTTTGAAGCCGTACCTCTCCATGAGGATGTCTGGCAGCGATATGCTCAAGACATAGAAGAAGCTGAAAGCGACCGAAGCGAACAACGAGAGGAGCAGAAGAACACTGGATCCAAAGAGTACTGCAAAAGGGCGAGTCATCGAGTGCCATAGTTTCACAGCATTCTCGTGCCTGTCCTGGGGTTCGGTAGTCTTGTCGGCTCCACGACCGAGCCTCGCTTCTCTCTTTCGCAGAATAGCCAGCTTGTATGTCTCTCTGAAGTAAACGAGGAAGAGGAATTCACACAGGATGGCCAGTCCGACAGCAATGACCAAAATACGGCGCCACCCCATTGTCTGCGCAATCACACCAGAGATGGCGGGTCCGACGGCCCCTCCGATGAGTGGTGCAAGCATGATGAGAGACATGGGCGAGCCGCGTTGGTCGTTTTCGAATATGTCGCCAATGATGGCGGGGTTGAGAACATTCGAAGCAACACAGAGACCCGTGAGCATCCTAGCAGCGATGAAGATTGTGCTATTTGGGCTGAAGATTGCTATGAAGCTGGCAGCAATGAATCCGATATTGCAAACGTGGAACACAGGAGAGCGTCCGACGAGTTCAGACAAGGGTGCGATTAGCAAAGGTCCAGCAGCTTCTCCGAGTTCCCAGATGGTGACGAGTAGTGCACTGTTGGCCGAACTGGTGTGTCTCCCGTCCAGGTCTTCAACGATTGTGGTGGCCAAAGGCACGACGCCAATGCATGTAAACGTGCTGCGAGAAGCAGTCAGCTTGGATTGCTTCGCTGAAAATTTTGTCTTGCTAATGTTGGCCTACTCACACTGTGAAGGCCATGAAGGCCAGTAGCATGACGTTGCCCCATTTATAACCCCAAGACCAATTCCGGGGATCTTCAGGGTCCAGAGGCTCAAAATCAAGAGCGTCGTCTCCCTCATTTACGCCATGGTCGTCCTGCTGGGTGCTGTCGTAATCATGCGAGATGATGCGGAGCAGAGGCTGCTCTTCGTCGGTGATGACCATTGGAATTGATTTGCAGAAACACGCTGCAGAACCAATGCAAAGAAGGAGGCTTTGGGGTCTGACAGCTTTTCACCCTCCGACTTATCATAAGCGGAGTCAGGCGGCGGCATGTGACAAATCACGCCTTAGGGTGTACTTTGGCGATTATGGGGTCTATTCTTGGCACGGCCGAACCGTGCTGAACGGAGCAGTTTGCGCCTTTTGAGCCGCCAAACTCCGCCCCGTCGCCTCCATTGGCACGAGTGGGCCAAACAGGGGTGACTCGATTGGGCTCATATATTACTGGATTAATTTCTGGCCACGGTCTAGTTGCATAACCGCCACAGATCCACAGCCCGTCTTATGCGCATTTCTACACCAACTCCCACAATTTAATGTCTTCTTTCGGATTATGCAGCAACAACCTGTACTTTGTCCAACAACACCTCGTCAGACATGCGAGATCCATCCGTAACTGAACTCGTCCATGTAGTACAGATGTCCACCTTGATCTGGTCTACTGTGGTCGTAAACCTTGTCTCGACATAGTCATATGTAGGCACGCCATTGTCTGCTTTAATAGGGCAAAGTCTGCCTCTCGATGCGTCCGAGTCGCAAATACTGTTCTGAAGAATAGCACGGCCGTTGTTGATAGCTACTGCTACCGTCACAGCCTCCTGGTAAGGGGAGGCTGTGTTTGCGTGCGAGATGCGGCCAATGTAGGCAGAGAACTTGTAGGAGCCCCTTGGTTTGGAGACGGTTTGGCTGACGCAGTAGCCACGAAGCGAGGCGGTATTCGGGCCTGACGTTGAGATTGTGTAGGCAGATGAGCCTTCGAAAGCGTAGTCGGTGGCAGAAATGGAACCCGTCAGATAGCCCTGCGGAAAGCCAGCTCGAGAACTGCCTGTCCAAGCACCCGAAGCTTCAAATCCACCATTTACGAGGACATTGTCACCCAAAGCTCGGGGAGCCGGGCTAGAGAGGACATGGCCGGGAGATGGAAGCACTGCCGCGTTTGCAAAGGCAGTGAGCACTGAAAGACTGGCGACGAAGTTGTAGGAGTTTGAAACATGCATCTTAAGTAGTGATGTAAAGATGCCGGTGCTCAATAGATGTCATGGCGGCCTTTCCAGAGACAAGCAGGCTGGCTTTAAATACATGGCATGGATACCTTTGCCATGACTTCATCTCGATATCGCGCGTTCCAAGAGATTCGGGGTTTCATCTGTCAATAGTCTTCGCTTGCATGCGAGTCTATTGACAGAGGGCCTGACTCGTCTACAGCCAGCTTCGAACATTTACTGTGGCTGACATAGTGTGAACCGGTACCAAATCGCGAAGCGAGGGGGCGTTGGACAGCGTATTCTGCATAGAGATCTAACGCTTAGTATCGATATGCCCCGCTACTGGTTGGTTATTTGATCGATTGCGGCCCAGCTTCAGCCGGCGAGTAGTGAAGCCATGTGGGGGTACGAGGCGCCATGGTGGTATTGAGGTAAGCAGCGAAACTCATTCGATAGCGGAGTAGCATACGGATGTCACATGGGCGGGCCAAGGCTTGGACTGCGCCAGGCACAGGGCGGGATGGTGTGTGTGAGAGCTTGTCTTGTTGAGTGCGGTGGGGGGAACGCTTGTTCAAAGCGCGCTAGGCACATCACTTTACGCGCTCGCGTCTACCGGACGGGCGCGTTGCACTCTGAACAGCAACCCGTGTCTCTCTAGCACAATGTCTTCGGTCCAGCCATTGCGTGCTCGACAAGCCCGTATGTATCTTCTCACGTCACTACAGCCCTGCATTTGTTGATTAGCCCCGCAGATGCTCCTGGCGCAACTTACCTCGCATACACGCCCAACGGGAAGAAACTCGTCACTGCCGGCGTCGACAATTACTGCCGTGTCTTTAGCACCGGATCCGACGATGAGCCGGTCACTGTCGATGAATGCCAGGAGAACAACACCGCCGTCGTCGCTGGCGTACGTGGGCTTCCAGAGTCGAGTGTCCATCAAGAGACTAATCCTCCGCACAGAATGGCTTCTTTATTACAGGTTCCGAGGACGGAACAGTGAGCCGATTCTCGCTCGACAATGGCAAGTTTGAAGAGATACTTGTCAGAACCACACTGCCGGTGCGAGATGTAGCCATGAGCCCAGATGGCAATTGGATTGCTGTTGCCAGCGAGTACGTCCAGTGCCCTCAATACTTCAGTACGTGATGCTAACATGGCTAGTGAGCTCGTTGTCAACCTTGTAAGCGTAAAGAACAAGTCCATGCGAACCCTCCGCGACCAGCCTCGTGCTGTGAAGCACGTATCTTTCGACAAGACCGGAACTCAGCTCGCCGTATCCTGCACCGATGGCCAGGTCTACATGTACAACCTAGATGGAGAGCAGCCTGAAATGGTCAAGAGGATAGAGGGCATGATCAAGAGCATGGAGACAGAGTCAGAGTCCAGTTCGAGAGTGCTGTGGCATCCTGACGGACGGGCATTTGCCACGCCAACTGCCATGCGCCAGATGCAGGTCATGTCAACCAGTGACTGGGAGCGGCAGCGAGTTTTCAAGACAGGCCACGCTGCAGACATTACCGCTGCGGCGTGGTCGCCCAACGGCGCTTTGTTAGCAACAACATCGGGCGATCTCAGCCTATGCCTCTGGGACACCAAGACTCAAAAGCTGCTCAAGAAGTTTGACCATGTCAAGGCGACCATCCTGGCCATGGCATGGCATCCAACCGAAAACATACTCTCCTACACCAACAATGAGGGCGAACTCTTTATCCACACGGACATCGTCCCGGAAGAACACCTCCCCTTACTCCAGAAGCCCACTGTTTCAGCACCCTTTTTCCACGACCCATCAGAAGGCCGAGCAGGTGTTCCTCAACCAGCCAAGCTTACCGCGGGCAATGTCCAGACGCTTCCTGGACGCCCCCGGCCAAGAAGCGGGACACCAGATTCGCTCGAGGATATTCTAGGCCCTGAGTTCCAAGACGACGAAGCCCAGGAAGATGGCGATGAGGAAATGAACGACTTTGTTGTAGACGACGACGGCGCAGGCTATGCACCCGCCATGAATGCAGCCAAGAAGCGCACAAACGGACACCTTGCGAACGGCGTCGAACCAGCGTCCAAACGGCGCGCATACAGCTCTGCTCTCTTTCGTCCCCAAGTCCACGAGCCTTTCCAGCCAGGCAGCACCCCCTGGCGAGGCAATCGCCGATTACTATGCTGCTCGTTGACTGGATACGTCGAGACAGTCGAACAAGAGGGCAAGCATCACACAGTCAGCGTGAAATTCTACGACGAGCACACGTTCCGCAACTTCCACTTCACCGACATCTTTCTGTACGACAAAGCGAGCCTCAACGAAAAAGGAACGCTATTTGCATGCCAGCCCAACAGCACGGGCGAGGGGAACCAAGCCATGATTTACTACCGACCGCACGAGACATGGACAACGCGCACAGAATGGCGCACCAACCTGCCGACAGGGGAATCCGTGACTGCAATCGCACTCTCAGATTCGTACGTGTGCGTCACCACATCCGCAAACTACGTCCGCATCTACTCGCTCTTCGGCCTGCCCATTCGCGTGTACCGCCAAAAGAGCTCGCCGGCAGTAACATGTGCCGCGTGGCGCGACTACATCCTCACCATAGGCAACGGGCCGCTGCAAAACGACCTGAGCACACAGCTCCTCTACACAATCGAAAACATCAAACACGACATTGTATACCAGGACTCTGATATCCTGGCCCTGCCCCCCGGCACCACACTGACGTCTGTCTTCTTCTCCGCAGAAGGCGATCCCTACATCTACGATTCCGACGGCGTCCTCCTGACGCTGCTGGGATGGCGCAACACAGGACAGGCCCGCTGGGTGCCCATGCTGGACACGAAGCTGCTCTCGCGCCTTGCCGCCGGGAAAAAAGAAGAGTCATACTGGCCCGTGGGCGTGGCGTCCGCACCCGCGGCAGACAGCACCGCCGGCAGCGCGCGCTTCCACTGCATGATAATCAAGGGCCGAGAGCAGTATCCCAGTGCGCCCGTCCCGCACCTGTCGGAATTCGCCTTTGAGATCCCGCTCGCGAGTGCGATTGACAAGCGTAGGGGTGCGAAGAAGAGGAGGGGAGACGATGTGGACGAGGAGGAGGATGACGAGGATGAGGATGAAGCGGCGAAACCTCAGACTAATGAGGATAAGCAGCTGGAGCATGAACAGGCTTTTATCCTTTCTTCGACGTTGCACTCGCAGTTGGCGTCGACGCTGCTTCATACGCGGCCGACGTCTTCGCAAAAGGCGGCGCTGGGAGCGCTCGAGGTGGCGATTGATCGCGCCCTCTTGCAGTTGCTTGGCTTGGAGTGTCTGGCGGGCGAGGATCATGGCATGAAGGCGCTGGAAATCGTGAGCTTGATGCGCGATGCCAATGGCAAGATGCTCGATCTAGCGGGCAAGGTTGCTTCGCGATATGGACGCGAGGTGCTGGGCGAGAAGATTAGGGAGCTGGCAGAGAGAAAGGCACTGGCTAGGGACGACGACGAGGATGAGCTGTAGATGACATGTCAATATCATGATTGAGCGTTCACAAGCACCAAGCGCATGTCTTCACAAATGAATTCAGCTCCTCTGTCATGGCTGCAGGTCAAAGAGTAAAGATGCCATTGAACAATTTATTGGCCATTACTAAAGGTAGTAACATAGAAAGAGGGCAATTGAACCCAAATTGCTTGATGTCTCGAGAGCGCACGCTAGCAGCTCTCGTCAAAAGTCGAGTGCTTGTCAATGTCAAAGTGGTCTATGCTCGCTTGTGTCGGGTGAGAAGAAAACAAAAGCAGGCGCTTCGAACAAGGAACATGCCCATCAACAATGCAAAGCAAGACATCTTAGTACTCTGCCTCGACACCCTCCTCGTCGTCGCCCAGGCTGTCGGCGGCAACCTCCTCGTAATCGCGCTCAAGAGCAGCGAGATCCTCACGAGCCTCGGAGAATTCACCTTCCTCCATACCCTCACCAACGTACCAGTGGACAAAGGCACGCTTGCTGTACATGAGGTCGAACTTGTGCGAAAGAGCGGACCAAGCCTCGCTAATGGCTGTGGTGTTGGACAACATGCAGACGGCGCGGTTGACCGAGGCGAGGTCGCCGTTGGGGACGTTCTGAGGAGGCTGGTAGCAGATACCAACCTTGAAACCAGTCGGGCACCAGTCAACGAACTGAACGGTGCGCTTGGTCTTGACCTGGGCAATGGCGGCGTGTGTGTCCTTGGGGACAACGTCACCACGGTACAGCAGGCACGTGGCCATGTACTTTCCGTTGCGAGGGTCGCACTTGACCATCTGGTTGTTTGGCTCGAAGCAGGCGTTGGTGATCTCGTTGACCGAGTTGGCCTCGTGCGCGGCCTTGGCGGCGGAGATGACGGGGGCGTAGGCAACGAGAGGGAAGTGGATACGAGGGTAGGGGACCAAGTTGGTCTGGAACTCGTTCAGGTCGACGTTGAGGGAACCGTCGAATCGCAGGGAGGCGGTGATGGAGGAGACGACTGAGAAGCAGTTAGCCAATGCAATGTGTAGGAAGACAGCGTGGGCAACATACCCTGAGCAATCAGACGGTTCAGGTTCTCGTAGTTGGGGCGCTCAATGCCAAGGTTCCTTCGGCAGATGTCGTAGATGGCCTCGTTGTCGACCATGAAGCTGCAGTCGGAGTGCTCGAGCGTCGTGTGCGTGGTGAGGATCGAGTTGTATGGCTCGACGACCGATGTGGCGACCTGGGGCGCTGGGTAGACGCAGAACTCGAGCTTGCACTTCTTGCCATAGTCGACCGACAGACGCTCCATGAGCAGGGCGCCAAAACCGGAACCGGTTCCACCGCCGAACGAGTGGAAGACGAGGAAACCCTGCAGACCGGCGCAGTTGTCGGCAACGCGGCGGACCTTGTCGAGGACCTGGTCAATGAGCTCCTTGCCGACGGTGTAGTGGCCACGGGCGTAGTTGTTCGAGGCATCCTCCTTGCCTGTGATCATCTGCTCGGGGTGGAAGAGGGAGCGGTAGGCACCGGTGCGCACCTCATCGACGACATTGGGCTCGAGATCGGCGTAGATGGTACGGGGGACATACTTGCCCTGGCCTGCGCAGTGTTAGTAATGCATGCTATGCGCCCTTCTGCTGGGCCATGGACTGCTGCCTACCCGTCTCCGAGAAGAAGGTGCTGAAGCCGTGGTCGTCGTTGACGGCCTTGCGCTCCTCAGTGAGGTAGCCATCGGGCTGGATGCCGTGCTCGAGGCAGTAGAGCTGGAGGCGAACACAGTCAGTATCCGTGCAGACTGGCGGTCAGGCGCACCCCTTCGGACGCCCTCCTTTTCGCCCGTGTCGCCATCGTAGGCGTGTCGACGGCGTGCAAGGGGGACGTTGATAGCTACTCACCTCCCAGCAAGAGTTTGCAATCTGGCAACCGGCCTGGCCGACTAGACGCGTACAAAGTCAGTATCAACAAATAAGCCGTCTTGGTGCCACCCCTCGGGGCGGCGGTCCGGGGTTGGGGGGGCGGAGGAGCGCAGGCGGGACTCGGACATACCGTTCAGACTGATAACTTCTCTCATTTTGAACTAGAAACGGAGTAGTAATTGGGTATCGGAATGGGGTGGGGGTGAACAGGAGAGTGCGTCCGCGAGAAAGTCGAGGAGCAGCTGGGCGGTTGAGTGGAGCAGATTGGGTGGCGGGGAGAAGCAGTGTTGTGTTTGTGGAATCGAACTTTTAGGCTGCACAGCGGCCGGCCTACCACGGGCCACGGCGCTAACCACCAACCCGCGCTGCTATGCACCTTACACTAATGCGCACACATATAATCACCACCACGACACGCCACGACGCGACGCGACCACGGCAATCAATTGTCCACGACGGGTTGCCCCGAACAATGCTCGTCCTGCTGTGGCCCACGTGAGGGAACGAGCCGCCTGTCCTCCGCCTTTGCCCCTGTCGTCCCGTGCCAATTGTCCAAAGATGCGCCTCTCCGCCGCCCTGCTGCTCTGCATCGTCACACAGCCCTGGACCGCCACAGCAAACGTCGAGAAAACAATTTTCCTGGGCCCTGCTGCTGCTGCTGCCGCCCTCTCCAATGCGCGCCCCGACCTAGCCGGGCTCGGGTTGCAAGTTGTCTCGCCGGCCACCACTCTTCTGCCTCTACAGGTTCCTGTTGCGTTTCCCACCGAGTCAGCGCCCCACGGCCTCGAGTCCTGGTATCTCCTGCGCGGCCTCGACCACGGGCGCAGGTACGAGGTGCGCATCTGCTGGCCAGCAACAGTGAGCTACTTTCCCTTCCATTTGCGACCACGGCCCAGTCCTGACCAAGACCCCAGCAACCAGCAGACTTCTGGCTCGATACTTACCCCCTCGACCGCGTCTTCGATACGCCCGACCTGGCTGCGTCACTCTCACGCTACAGCCAGCACCGTCAAGACTCCAAGCTGCACGCCTGGCAAGACTCCGACGAAGCAGACCCCAATGCCCAAGAGTCTGTGCTGTTACTTCGTCTCCAGGCTGCAGCGTTCTACTACTCGACCAATCGCACATTGATGCATCATCCGCCCCCGGTCCATGTCGATATCAGTACGTTCTTGCTTCATGCTTTTGCATACCCATTTCTTACGCCTGTAGTTCTCGATCCCTTCGTACTGAACGTCTTCCCGCAATCCCTCGGGCCCGTCGCCATATACATTACTCTGGTCGCCCTTGGAGCCTACTTCCTCTCTGCCTCCATCTACCGCTGGCTGCTCTCTATTGCCGCAGATTCGCCCAGCAAGCCCCATACCGAGTGAGAAAAAACACCCCGGCACACCCAACAGTATCCTATTCCCGCTGTGGTTGGCTACCAACGCTCCAAACCCGCAGTGACTGCCCTGGCCATTCGCCGCATATAGGCCAACACGCGAGCATGTCTGCAGCCGCTCCTCCACCGCCACCACCACCGCCTCCCCCACCGGGACCAGGTCCCCCTGGAAATCCCTTTGACGACCTTCCTGCCGAGCTGCTCCTGATCATCTCTGAATACGTAGGCACTAACAATCTCATGAACCTTGCTCTGGCCATGTATCCCACGTTCCAGCGCCACAATCTCTCTCCCAAGCTCTCTCCAACCACACTCGCCCACATGCTGCGCCTATCCAGAACAAGATCCATGGCCTCATCACGCTATCCCGACGCGGTAATCCGAATCCCCACTGAGCTGTGGCTAAACATTGTGCGCTATCTCGAGCCAGCCGACATTCTCTCCTTGATGTTCACGCTAGGAACAGTCTTTGGTCGCCCTCTGGCGGGTCAGACGATGCAGAGATTGCGAGTGTGGAGCCGGAGGTCGCGCGAAAAAGGATGATAATCATCATATTGTATTGGCTGCTGAAAAAATTCGCCATGCTAGGGCTTCAAAAGATCCAACTTATGATGAACCCAATGTCGTTATCAATGACTACTTCATTCATGAATTCTCGAATTCTCTCTCTTATCTGGTATCATTGCTGGAAAGCATCCCAGAAGAAGAAGAAGAAGAAGATATGTAACAAACGCCACGCTATGCATATAGAAGCCTCCCCCTCGTGTCGAGCGCCAGTAAAAAAAAACTGCCATTTACTACTTTTTTTCAGAAACCCCATCCCTTTGAACCATTTGCAACCAGTATCATCTCTGCACTTTTCAATCGTCTCTCGGAAACTCGTCTTGGAGCCCAATCGTCACCTTGACATTCATGCTGCCGAGCTCCTGGATCAAGAGCTTGGCAGCATACGGCATGGTGATTTTGCGCACAGCCTTTTCGCTCTCGCACAGCTTGCAGTAGCCACTGTAGCCCATCTGGCCGCCTGTTTGTGAAATAGCATTAGTATATTAAACAAAAAGCAGCAGGAGGAGGAGGAGGAGGAGAAGGGAAAAAAAAACTTACAATTCTCACAAACATCAACATTATGCGCATCAGAACTAATCATCAAGCGCTCGAGCAAAAGCTGCGACGCACCATAGGCAATGAGACAATCACGTTCCATTTCTCCGAGACGCAAGCCACCGTCGCGCGCGCGCCCCTCTGTGGGTTGGCGAGTGAGAATGGCACGGGGCCCGCGTGCACGCGAGTGCATTTTATCCTGGACCATGTGCTTGAGTTTCTGGTAGTAAATGGGGCCGAAGAAGGTGTAGAACTGGTGGGCTTCGCCCGTGATGCCCGAGGTGAGGTAGTCTTTTCCCGTGTAGGAGAAGCCTTTTTCAACGAGGATCTGCGACATGTCTTCGACGGTGGAGCCGCCAAAGGCGGTGCCGTATTCTAGGGTGCCGTTGAGGACGCCGGCTTTGCCGGAGAGTAGCTCCATCATTTTGCCGACGGTCATGCGCGATGGGAAACCGTGTGGGTTCATGATGATGTCCGGGCAGATGCCTTGGTCGTTGAAGGGCATGTCTTCTTGCTGGACGATGAGGCCAGTGGTACCTTTTTGGCCGTGGCGAGACGAGAACTTGTCGCCGAGTTCCGGACGACGAGTCTGGCGCATGAGCAGCTTGATCAATGTCGTTCCCGCTTCGTTCTCGGTGATGCACGCCTTGTCCACGTAGCTGCAGTCGGGCAGCTTGTACTTTTCCGGCTTGTCTTTGTACACGTTGGACGCCGGGCCAGCGGTATCTTGGGGTATCGACTTCAACAAGAAGGCATCGCCCGCTTCAAGCCGAGCGCCCACTTGCGCGATACCATCTTGGCCAATTGCTTGGTGGCTGCGGTTCTCAACGTCGAGTGCGCCCGCGTTGATGCGGTCAGAAGTCCCGTTGGCATACGTCTTGAGAGGCGTAACGTGCTTCTTGAACACTTGGCAGCGACCAAATCCACGATCGCACGACGCCTTGTTCAGAATGAGCGCATCCTCAATATCGTAGCCAGAGTACGACATGACAGCCACGGTTGCGTTCTGTCCAGCTGGAAGCTTGTCGTATTTTGTGAGCTCAATGGTACGCGTCTTGACCATGGGTTGTTGTGGATAGACCATGAGATAGAGCAGAGTGTCTATCCTGTTAAACTGGTTATAGGCAATAGCGCCTATCGCTTGTTTACCCATAGCGCATTGGTAAGTATTACGCGGCGACTGGTTGTGGTGAGGATAGGGGATGAGGCCAGCGACAGCACCCAAAATGGTAAAGGGCTCGATCTCGAGATGAGTGGTATGCTGGTTGATATCGCTCTCTTTAAGCGCAATGTTGGTATCGTTCTCCTCGTTGGTATCGAGATACTCTACGAGGCCCCTTGTCAGAAAGTCTTCAAAGTCCATGGTACCCTTGCGAAGAGCCTTCAAGTACCGCGAAGTGACCTTTGAGCGCTGGTTCTCCACGATGATCATTGGCCTACAGATGCGCCCTTCGTCAGTAGCAATGTGAACTTCGCAATGGTCGTGATCGATATGAATGCTGGTGAACTCGGAGATACGGCCCATTCGTCGGAGTTTCCGGAAGTTGTTCAAGAAGCGCTTTGGTGTGTCTGTGACAGCAATCGGTGTACCGTTGAGACAGACACTATATACACCCTCGGCATGAATCTCCTCTCCTGTCTGAAAGCAGATGTCCTCCGCACCCAACATGAACACAATCTTTCGGACCGGGTCGTCGTCGTCTTCGGTGGTGATGTGCGTCATAAGCGCCAGGTTCTTGACCAGACCACAAGCCTCTCCTTCTGGGGTATCGGAAGTGCAAAGCATACCAAACTGCGATGGCTGCAGCGCTCGAGGACCAGACACCTTGCGAGTCTTTTCAAACTGCGAACTGATTCTCGTCATCATACCCAGTGCAGCAATGTAACTCAGTCTACTCAGAACGTGCGTGACACCGGCCCTCTCCATCTTGAATCGCTTCAGACTCCAGTTTCCGGTAGCAATGGCGCGCTCGACACCCATGGTGATGTGATTCTTGTGGACGCTAAAGTGAGAAAAGGCATCAAACTCCTGTGCTCGAACTGGCTTTTTCAAGACCTTGTCGATGCTCAGCTTGAAGTCGTGGTTGAAGCGCTTGAAGTGGTCTTCGAACAGGAGAGACAACATCTGTCCAGAAAGCTCCAGACGCTTGTTGCCAACATAGTCGCGGTCATCCACGAGCTTCGGATCTTGCATCGCCATCAACACTCTGCGAGCCATGAGAGCTACGTAGAGCGCCTTTGGCCGGAAGTTCGTGCCTTCTACTGGTACGTGTGGAAGAACGACGTTTGACAGACACTCAATGGCTTCCAGATGGTAGTTCCTGTTGCGCGAGGTGCCAAGTGGCTTCTTGACTAGCCGCACGCGATGGCCAATGTACTCGAGCGCCCTCTCTTGTGTATGAATCTGCTCTCTCGCACAGGCCTCGAAATTGATGGCAAAGTTGTCCTGGTATGCGCTGTCTTCACCCGCAATCAGAAGCAGGATCTCTTTATCCGAATGCACTCCCAGCGCCTTCATGACGAATACAATCGGAATCTCCTCCGAGAGCGTGTTGTGCCGAAGGTACATGAGTCCTTTCTTCTGAATGACATACGTCTTTGTCCGCCTTTCGTGGGTGGAACTCGTAACGCTAGCCTGCATGATTCCCTTTGCGCTTTCGACAATGACTCGATTCTTGTTGAGCTGCTCTTGGACCAGGATAACCTTCTCTTGTCCACGCGTGATAAAGTAGCCTCCAGGATCCAGTGGACACTCTTCCATGACAGCCATCTCACGATCACTCTTGCCAGCCAGTACGCATTTATTACTCTTCAACATGATGGGCATCCTCCCAATCTTTATGCCTGTCCGCTTCACCTTGGCGTTTCCTCTGGTGTATATTATATCCACTACTATGGGCGCAGCATAGGTCATGTCACGTAACCGGCACTCGTTGGGCGTAACGGTACTGCGGTGATGTTCGAGATCATCTTCTTCCTGTCGGTTCGGCGACAAAACACGAATGTCCGTATACTCGAGGAGAAATTTAGGGTCGAAGTCGCTACGAACGAAGCGGTTGGCTTTGATGATCTTCTTCAGATCCACGTCCACAAAGTGGTTGTAAGAGTCGACGTGCTGCTTGACGAGACCTTTGGTCTTCAGGAATGCTGGCAACAAGTTCCACTTGTCGCGCGCCGTGTTGATGGGGTCGGTCAAACTTTTGCCATAGTAGAAGGGCTCGAGGAGAGCGGAGAACTCGTCTTTCGCGTGGGTATGTGGCGCTCGTCGTTTTCGCGTTTGTTCTGTTGATGTGGAAGCTCCTGGGTTTAAGTCTGTCGCATCGTCACCAGTAGCATTCTGCGCGTTGGCGCTCTCAGCATCAATATCCATAAAGTCGTCGCCATCCACCTTTTGGACCTCAGATGCGCCGGGCGCAACTTTCGCCTTTGTCGCCCCGCGCGGGGCAGCTTTGGGCTTGGGTGCCACAACTTCCTTTGCGCATGTTAGTTTCACATAATTAGCTCTATAATAGTCCTTATACCTTTTTGCCCACCATGGTTGCGACAGGAGAGCAGGTCAGCGAAAGTTGGTGGTGAGTTAGCAAGTCCGTTGAAGCTGCTGCAACAATTTAGTGTTCCGCGAGTCAGTTGAAAACGGCTTCTGACTAATCCCGTAGCTACGGACGGCGAACACCTTAACTTTACTAGTCAGAGAGAGACTCTGAGATTGTTCGACATTATTAACTAGGTGGTGATGCGAATGCTCTATACCTCTTTTACAGTAACTCTGCAATACGTATCTTACTAAACCAAAGAGAATAAATAATGAAACATCCATCAGGGCACGCTTAGACATATTAGTTAGAGGTCTTCAAGTACCACAGTTCTTAAGTGTAGTTAAGTACGCCGTTTTAGTATTCCTTACAACGACAAATACACCTAATAGCAGTAGCACAAGCTTCTCTACATAGACAGAAACCAACCAGCCAACCAATCAACAACACTTTCCCTTCTTTGCACGAAAACTCCAAAAAAAAACCCCCCTTATCCATACGCACACTTTGTAGGACCTGATTTATGTTCAAAATACACAGCAAATGCATGAGGTTACAGGGAATCAAAAGAGAGAAAGAGAGAGAGAATTTGGGGAAAAAAAAGGAGAAAGCTCGTTAATCCACTCATTTCCAATCAATCAATCAAGAAAGGGAGAAAAAAAGACCCCCAGACTCACACGCTCACACACCCGCACTGTGTGGCTAACCCAGGTTCCTTTGCATAATTCCAAAGGGAGTGTTCTACCATATCGTACAAAGTTCATCCATCCAAACCCTGTCTAGCCCAACTTCGGGGAGTTGCAAACCGGTTTCGCATATCTCTCTTTGGTAAACACCTCGGTCTAGAAGGCGTCGCGAACATCAGACTCGCCGTTCAAACCTCTGAGCGAACTCTCCGCCAGATCGACCTTGAGTTGAGCCGTCTCAGCCTCACGCTCAAGACCGTCCCACTCTCTCAGTTTCTGCCTCTTGGCGTCCTCTTTCTTGTCAATTAGCTCTCTAAGCTTCTGTGCTTCAGCCTCCAACTTGAGAATCTTGCTCTTGTCATATAATTCAGGAGCTTTTTGACCTCCTGGGATTTCCTTGGGCAGGTCGGCAAGGTGGTCGCGGAAGCGCATGGTACGGGGATATGTTGTAGCTGTAGAGTTGCTCGAGCCGCGGAAAGAGGGAGCGAAAGGTGGCGCCCCGCTAGGACCACTGCTGGTGCCGCGAGGCCCTGATGGTGCACCACCGTAATAGCCTCCTCGGGGACCTCCACCCCACGATCCTCTGCGTGAAGAAGACCCAGAAAAGTCACCTCGCCCTTCATATCCACCGAAACCGCGACCCCCACCTCGTGGCCGCGTCGGTGCAGCCAATACAGGATTGGTTCCTCGAGGGTAGGTGGGAGGCGGCGCTACCGAACTGGATGGGCCTGCTGGGGGCGATATTGCGGGCGAGGGGTAGCTGCGACTAGAAGGACCTGTGGGAGGAGCCCTGGTAAAGTTGCCATCGCCATTGCGGTAGGCAGAAGACGGTCCTGTTGGAGGCGCAAAGTCTCTATCGCCACGCGGTCCAGTCGGAGGACTCTCTCTACGACGTGGAGGAGATCGCTCCCGCTCCCGTTCCCGCTCTCGTTCTCGTTCTCGTTCTCGTTCCCGTTCTCGTTCCCGTTCTCTTTCTCGTTCTCTCTCCCTCTCTCGCTCCCGTTCTCGCTCCCGTTCTCTCTCTCGCTCTCGCTCCCGGCTATAGTCTCGGACTCGTTCAGGAAGCCGCTCACGGTACGGCGATCTTGGTGCGGAAGCAGGCTCTCTGGCAACAGGCTCTTCCACAAGCGCAGCGCGGCTAGGGTGAATAGGCGGTGGTGAAGAGCGACGCGAGGTAGCCGTTGAATCCCTACCGGAAGCCTCATTTGAAGTGTATGTTGGCCGCGCTGGAGAAGGAGACCTGCGACTCCTCCAAGTATCAGCGGTATATGGATCAGCACGTTCGCGTCTTGGAGAAGGTGACCGGCGCCTGTAGTCGCGCGCTGGAGAGTATCGACGTGGGGGAGGGCTGAGGACTGGTTAGCGGACTGTCAATTGAAGTGGGCAGTTTTTGAATGTACCTGCTGAGACGAGAACGCGGTTCGTCATATCGGCTTGAACGAATAGGCGAGCGCATCCCGCGACTCCTCGCTGGCGACACATCGCGGTCTCGAAGGGGTGGTGATCTGTCGCGTGGCCGTGGGGAACGAGTGTACGAGTCGTACTGGTCCCGATCCCGATCCCTTCGTGGTGACCTTGCCCGGTCACTTCTGTAGTCGTCGCGTCTGGGTGAAAATGCTCGACGCAGGGGCGACCGAGGACGTGCCCTCCAGCTATCATCGCGACGCGGGCTTCGTGATCTTCTGCGAAACGCAGGCGAGCGACTTCGTGGACGGGACGAACGGCCGCCAGGAACGTAGGTGTCTGCCGAAGCTAGGCCACGGCGGGGTGGGGAGCCACGGCGAGGGGAAGATGCGCGACGGAGAGGAGGCGAGCGGGCGCGATAGCTGTCTCCGCGCGGAGAGCGTGGGCGTGGCCCAGGGGAGCGTGGACGGTATGTGTTTGAGTATCGGTCATCCCTAGTTGCGCGTTAACAGTTGCGCTGCGGATAACTCTTACAAGTCAGAGAGATTCATGAGCCATCCATCTGTGCATCTGTGGCAGAGTGGTGTTAACCAACCTTCGGTCTCGGTCTCGATCTCTATCTCTGTCTCGCTCGCGGTCTCTGTCCATTTCGCAATCGAAAGTGGCGTGCTCGACCTATCGCGGATATCAGGGTTGGGCAATTAGAATGACTAGAATCGATGTGGGCTGGCGGCTGGGAATCGCGGCAGTTGAATTGTGGTGAGTGTTTGGCGCCTCGTGTGTTGAGCCTGCAAAAAGTGAAGTTCGAAGCCAAGCCCACTGCGACTGGACGCGTTGGACCGTCACGTGCGATGGGTTAAATGGGGCTGAAGGCGTATGAGCTTGGGCCCTTCCAGCGCAACCACAAACGCCCAACAATGGATGCCTTCTTTGGTGTTTCAGTCATTTTCTTTTTTTTCGGGCATGGTATCCCGCAGACGCAAGTGGTGGCCGTGCGTGCGTGTATGAGTGTGTATGCGATAGACCCAGCGTTTCGTGGCAACCACTTTGCCTCTCTTCCAGACATGTCAGAATCCAATTGGTTCTTTCAAAGACTTGTTGACACAGCTGCCGCTAATAACGCTCCTACCTTGGGTCGAGCAACAGCCGAAAACTCACAACAACCGGCTGCTTTGTTTCACCCCTTGCCTGGCCGTTCGCGTCCTCGGTTTGCCAGCCATGGCGTGGCGTAGAATCGTTCCATAATCAGCGTGTCATGTCCCGTCCATTACTCTGCCTTGAACATTAAAATCTTGATCTTGATTATGCTCATCTGCGGGCACTCTTGGTTTCCGCCTTTAACGCCGGTTCCCAATGCTGACTTTGCCGAAGCCCTAATGACCCGTGACATCCGTGACGCCAGCTCGCTCTTGGAGCTCCTGAAAGTGCAATCCTGATCTTTTGTACAAAATGCATGTCCCCTACAGACTCTTGACCATGCAAACTAGCGCCTAGTCTTTCGCTCATCCTCTCTCTTGGCCCTTTTCCTGCTTTCCTGGTTGATCATATCTGCTAGATCATCTTGGTCGATACTTTGCCATTGTCCCTGTGCCTCAGCCCGCTGCCTAGACTCGTACTCTTTCTTCAATGCGTCCCTGTCCAACTTATCACTGTCTCCCAGCTGATCAATGTCGACAGAGACGTCGACGTCTCCAGCTTTCCGCTTCCTCTGTGCATGTCCAAGAGCATCGCGCTTCGCTGCATCCAGGTCATAAGCATGCTCGCCACCAAAGAAGCCAGTCGCAGATATGTTCTTCTCGGGAAGCACTGTGTAGGCGCTCCGTGGCGCTCCGGGCTCTTCCGTCTCAATTCCTTTGCGCTGTTTCCGGAGCTGGAATTCTCCACTGATGCTCTCCGCCCCACCAATCTCAGAGGGCATGGCCGAAGCAGTAGTCATGGAGGTCTGTATACCACTCGCGTCTTCATCTCCTTCCTCCTCTTCTTCCTCGTCATCTTCCTCCTCCTCGTCACTCTCTTCGTCCTCGCTCTCGCCCTCGGCTCGAAGTGCTCCCCAGATACCACGTTCAACAGGTTCACCAACGTGTGTTGGTTGCTGTTGCTCCTCCAGTATAGCGGTTCCGTACAGATCCCCGCCAAACAGTGGCTTACCAGCATCGTCAGTAGGTGGTTTACCCCATTGACCAGGCTGAAATCCCCAAGAAGATCCGGGAGGGATCGGGGCATTGACACCAGGTACGCGCAGATTGGGATAGGACGGCGGAGGGCCAAAACGCTGCATATTAATGAGCCATGGAGGCGGGTGGCCGGGTGCCATTCCCAGTGCCTCCCGAAGCTCCTCACTCAGCTCGCCTGGCTTGAGGTTTACGAGGTTGGTTTCGAATTCCTTACCCTCGTAGTAGACCTCGCCATATCTGGTCAGTTCTGGCTTAGTCTGCCGCCTGAAGAAGGCATCGTAGAGTTTGGCGTAGTCAATGTCCAACTTGCCAAGTTTTCCTTGCACGCGCTCACGCTGCTTCTGCCTCATGGTCATTTCAGCCTGTTTTTCTAAAACCGCATCTCGCATTTCTGCAATACCCGTCTCCTGAATAAACTTGGGCAAAGCAAAGGGCGGCTTCTCGATACCTCGCTTGGACGAGAGATACTCGCGCTTCAGTGACCAGTGAGAGGGTACGGGTATGACGTTTTTCGCTGCCTTGATGGATATTAGCAGCTGGGGGTCAGAGGATGACACGTCTGTCCATTCGACCAGCTCTGGCCGGGGCACTAGCGCCTTGAGTTGCGCAACCGACAACTTGTTCATCTGCTTTCTCTGCTTTTTGGAGAGCTTGGGCTTGCCATCGTCGTCCTCCTCATCCGGGATGTCGTCGTCGGAGTGGTAGATTTCAGGCTTCTCTTCGTCCTTTGTCGCCGCTTCCTCCTCCGTCGGCTCCCTGAACTTTTCAAACACACTCTTGTATTCCTCGAAAAGCGGGTCGTCGAAGTTGTACTGGTTTTCAATATCATCGACGGAGAGGAGGGTCGCGGGCTTCACCGCCTGTGCTTCGTTATTTGTGTCGCTTTCGGGTGCGGGAGATTCGCTCTCACGCGCAGAGTCGCCGGCGGTCGACGGTGTCTCCTGCGGTTGCGTTAGCAAATTGGCCAATGTTGCGCGATGCGATGGGCGCCAGAGACGTACAGAGCGTTGCTGCTTCTTCTTTGCACGGCGATAGGCGTTCTTGTTCGCCTGCTTCTTGCCTTTCGCACTTGCGCCCGACATGTTGGCGGTGATGACGCGGCGCGAATCTGAAGCCCTCGTGTGGCGGCAATAAAATGCGCGATGTCCTGCGCGTAGATAAAATGCACGTTATGGGGGGCGAGGGAGAAGGGTGGGCGAGAAGCGGACGTGCAGGCTGAAGTTGCTGAGCTCGCGCGGAAAGATTGAGCGGCCCGTCTTGGCGCCGCGGCTCGCGTTCAGACGCAGCTCCCTGCCTTGCTTGACATTGGTAGGCATGCCTTTGCAACCAACAGCATTTACCGATAGGCAGTCTACCTGCCTGGCTCAGACCAATTGCCATAGAAAAACATGCATGCATAAAAAACTTTCATCCTCAGACTTGTTTCATTGAGCATCGCTGGCACACATCTTGTGGATTGGAGACTACACCGAACCAATGGCGCTTGAGCAAGCCTGCTAGGTGAGCTATTAATCCCTCGCACTTTCTGCCCCATGTTTCCTTTGGCATGTGATACTCTCAGTTTCTGCTTTCATCTTGTCTTGGTCTAGATATCTCACGATCCATCATCACTGGCAAACTACGCATGCAATCAGTCTTTGTCTTAGCCTCAGTCCTGTCAACTGAACTTACCTTGACTGCCCAGAAACCTCTAAAGTGCTTCTTCTGGCCCAGTTGATTGATTTCCTCAATCTCTTTTGGTGTCAACTTGAATGTCATCGCCCTCAGGTAATCGCTGAGTCGCTGCTCCTTGCTACTCGTCGTAATTGGAACAATGTCCTGGTCGATGCACCACCTGAGGAAGATTTCATTTTCGCTCACGGCGTACTTTTTGGTCAGACTCTCCACATATCCATCCACGAGCCCGGGCTTTGCCTTGGTGGCAGCCGTCAGAGGTGCATATGCGGTAGTGGCGATGCCATTTTGCTTGTGGAATTCCAGAAGCTCTGGGTGCTGGAGGTAAGGGTGGAATTCGATCTGGTTGCAGACTGGCTTAACCTTGGCCGTCTTGAGAACGGTTGCCAGATGGCTGGGCAGATAGTTGGAAACGCCAATGGATTTGGCCAGGCCTGAGGCCTTGACAGCTTCCATGTCGGCCCAAGCCTTTTGGAGATCGGCCTCTGAATTGCCAAACCAAGGTTGGTGGATGAGGTAACTTGGATCAATCAGTCACGCATGGATATATCATCGTTGCAGGAGTCTTACAGATCAACATAGTCTAGTTGAAGTTTCTCCAAGCTTGCCTTGATTGCACCAGCAATGTCGTTGATGTTTTCATTGTTCACTTTGGTCGTCACGAAAAGCTTCTCGCGTGCGACACCGCTCTCTTTGATGGCTATTCCAAGCTCGCGTTCGGTCTTGTATACTGTCAACCAACCGTTAGAGAAGCTCAATTTCAGTACCGGGACAGGAATGCATACTCTCTGCTCCATCAAGATGTGTGTACCCCAACTTGATAGCCATTTTCACGGCGTCAACGGTCGCTTGATCGATCTTGCCATCGTCATCACGCTTGTACCAAGCAGTTCCGGTGCCATAACCCAACATGGGAATTGAGGCGCCATCATTGAGTTTCAACTTCGGAATGGTCACGTCGAGGTTGGCCATTGTTGCAAGGGTTCGGGCGTGTGATATAATTGAGCGATTGGGATAAGTGATGAAGATATGTGGAGATTTGATTCTATAGCTGATCGGTGAGCAATTTCTCAGAAGCTTGACCATGAAGTGGTTTGTTCAGTTGGATGATTGAGGGGCTAAGTAGCATGCGGGGTCGCAAGTCCCGGATTACAAGTCCGGGTCGCAACGCGTGTCCGTCAATGCCGATGGTGGGGCCTATCGCATTGGGGGAATGCCGTTAGCACCATTTCCGCAGCTTTAGCATTAGTCTGACTGGGAGCAGCTCCTGTCATGAAGCGTATGATTTGCTTGCCGTAGTAGGTATTGGCATGGATTTTGGGAGCTGACAACGATAGGCTGCCAACCGTAATGCACGCAGGATCGGTTACTGAATCCGGTACAGCGTGTTGAGGGGCTTGTTGATTGTCTATGACAGAGCTTAATCATTATTCGAATAAAACAGAAAGTAGTGATACATGCAGCATTCGTGCTTGGCGACGCAACAAACAAGCGAGAAACTAGAGCTCTCTAGCTAACCCTAGGACCCTACGTATGTACATATAGTAACTTCATGGGATGACTGATACAAAAAGAATGCCGATGGACATGAAGCGCGGTTGCACTCACAGGCCAATTCACAAACAGAATAATCCCAATAAATAAAAAAAACGACCTGCTAACACAGTGTAGCGCTGCTGAGCAATCGGTCACGGGTAGACGGAGGAGGCCGATTATGCTATGTCGTCTTTTCGTGCTGTGTTGAAACGCGCTGTAGTGAAACAACTACACCAATTAGTAGTTTCCAGGTTGCATAGTCAGAGTTGTACGTACCAAAATCCTCAAGGCTCCTCTGCTTCTGTTTTCGCTTGAGTAGCTTCCCGTGCATGAGACTGTCAAATCTTTGGCTTCCTTGCAAGACGTAATAGACACCTGCCATGATGCAAAAGATACCAAAAGAGAAAGCCCAAACACGGACAACGGCAACGATGTTGGTTCTTCCACCAACAAACCATCCGAATATTGTGAAGCATGTCGCAAGGATGTCTACGACAAAGATAGCGCCCGCCAGCTGCCATGAAGGGATCGATGACCAGAAGGGACCATTGGCGCGAGTGATGAAGATGAGCCAATTTTCTGTCAATGTAATCTCGAGAAACAGAATAGGGTCCCGTTGTCCATGGTTCTGAACGATGCCACCGCTGACGCCTTGCTGCTCACCGGTAAGGTAAGGCAGCATGGTTGTCATAGTGATCCAAGTCCCCACGGCAAGAATGACACCAAGTAGGATCGACATGCCCCAGAGCTTGGGCAGATTCCATTTGACTGGAGTTTTGCTGTATGGTGCATTGTCGTAGGCAATAGCTAGCGTTGCTATAGCACTGTTAGCGTAAGAAGATGGATTTGTGCACAGGTTGCTTACCAATGTCAGCAAAGATGGCAATGAACACGACCAGCTGGAGGTTTAGTGATTCATTCAGAATGGCAATCCATAGACCGAGGAAAATTTCAAGGTGAAGCGAAAGGGCAATGCGATACACAACGTAGGCATACATGCGATGGAAGATTTGCCGCGATGTCTTCAGAGCGTCGATGATGGCTGAAAGACCAGGAGCGAGAAAGACGATATCAGCAGCTGAACAAGCAGCGTCCGAAGCTCCCTGAACGGCGATACCGGTGTCTGCCTTCTTCAGGGACGGCGCGTCATTCACACCATCACCCGTCATTGCAACAAGGTAGCCTCTTTGTTGCAAGATCTCAACAACATTAAACTTGTGCTGTGGAAACACCTCAGCAAAGCCGTCGGCGCCTTCGACGAAATCATAAAACTCGGAGCCGGGCATCTCGCCACCGCCACTGAGACCAAGCTTCTCAGCATCGAAAATATTTGTGCCTAATGCAGTGTCAGATTGGTCCACGTGTCGTTTGTTCTAATTGCGCCCTTACCCAGGCCGAGCTGTCGGGAAGTTTCTCGTGCAATCCCAACGGCATCCCCAGTAAGCATCTTGATAGACAGGCCCAAGGACTTGGCTTCGTTGATAGTTCGGTAAGTGTCGTGGCGCGGAGGATCTGAGCAAGGCATTATGCCGAGAATCTCCCATCCTTCCTCTTCCCGCTTGCGAGCGACACCAAGCGAGCGAAAGCCGCGCGTAGCAAACTCGGCAACCTTGTTCTTGTAGGCCAATTCGACATTTTCAGGAATGGGATGGTCTTCCTCGACAGTGCGAAGGACAAATAGCGGTGCACCTTTGACGCATGTTATGCGTTCACCCTGGGGAGACTCCACAATGGCTTGTACCTTTTTGGATACGGGGTCAAATGGATGGAAGTGAATGACCTTGTACTTGCTCAAGACATGCTTTGCGCGCGGGTAGTATCGTAGAGACTTGAGAAACGCCTTGTCAATGGCGTCGATGCCTTTCTTCTTACGTGAAGCGGCCAGGCAAGCGGTTAGCATCAGATCTTCCGGGTCGACGCCGGGTACGGTATATGGGTCGGCCAAGGAAAGTTTGTTCTTGGTCAGGGTTCCGGTCTTGTCTGAACAGAGTATTTCGACCCCGGCAAGCGACTCTATAGCAGAGAGCTTTTGGACAATGGCCTGCTTCTTGGCAAGGTATGCAGCACCCACTGCCATTGTTGTTGTTACAACGGCAGGAAGACCGACAGGCACTCCGACGATGGTGATGGCGAGTGTGAAGCGGAGGATTTTAATTATGTCGTTTGACCTGTAGAAGGAACTGATCCAAACAACCAGGAGGGATACAATGACAAGGACCAACAGTATAGTGCCAATGTCGTGCAGCACCTGGGTGAAGTGCCCCGACCCGCTGGATGCGCTGGCGACAAGCGAGGCAGCTCGGCCAACAAAGGTCGAGTCGCCCGTAGCTGTGATGACGATGAAAGCCTCTCCGCGTTTTACCGCCGAGGAAGCGTAGCAGGTATCTCCTCGGTGTTTATCGACGGCCAGTGATTCGCCCGTGATGGACGACTGGTCGACTTGTATGAAGGCATTTTCAGTAACAATGCGTCCGTCGGCCGGGACAATGACACCTTCTTCCACCTGCAGGATATCGCCGGGCACGACATCAGGAGCTTCAATCTCGACCAGGGCGCCATCGCGCAACACGGTGGCCTTGAGCGCGAGGGTTTTCTTCAGCTCCTCGACAATGGAGCCGGCCTGAAATTCTTGGATGAAGCCAACACTGGCATTGAGGAGCAGCAAGCCGCAAATGACGCCAAAGTCCACCCAGTCCTTGAGGCCCGCTGCGAGGATGGCGGCCGCCTCCATGACAAATTGAATGGGGCCAACGAAAAACATGAAGAATTTGATCCAGTTGTTGGTCTTCTCCTCTGGGGGGGCAGGTCAGCAAGCAGGCGCAGGCAACGAGTGAAAGGAGGCGATACCTTTCATCTTGTTTTGGCCAAACTTTTTTCGGCGGACGAGCACCTCGGCGGACGTCAGGCCAATGCGCGTGTCGGTCTGGAGAAGTTCCTCTGGGATGATGCGCGCGCCGCCGGGCTGTTGGATTTCCTCCTCTTCGTAGTCGGCATTGTCGCCGTCCTGCGACTCTAGGTCCTCGATGAGCTGGTCAATGTCCTCGTCCTCGTCGTCCTCGAAATCCAGGCCGTGCGTGGGGATGCTCTTTTCCTGGAAATGGTACTTGTCGTAGGGCCGGCCATTGGATGCATGGATGTCGTCGCCGTGCGGCGACGTTCCATCGGTAGACTATGGGCTGTCAGCCTCCATGGGGATACGTGGCTGATGTAATAATCATAATAGCCTGAGACGGGAGCCTACCTCGGACATGGTGGTGACGGTGACAGTAGACGGCCGGCTGGAGGGAAGAATTGACGGGTTCCTGTTGCGGCGTGATGGCGGAGCGCCTGTCCAGTCTAGGATGCGGCCGTCGCCCGCGCAGGCGCGCGCGCCTGGTGTTGTCGGTGGGGAGGGACGCTCAAGGCTGCGATGGGCGCGGGGGGCTGTGGCCTCGGTGTATTGAGGCGACGCTCTGGCAGCGGTGCAAACCCCACGGGATTGCACAAGAGACAGAACATGCTAATCAAGAACGGGGGAGGCTAATCCGTTTGGTGCAGTGCCGAGGGGGGGCAGATCACGTCAAGAGCGGCGGTGCCAAGACGGAGGCCCAGTGGCGTTTGGTTTGGCGTGCTGCCCCTCTCTCGCTCTGGCCAGGCGGCGCATTGCCCGTCGCCTTCAACGGCGGCCTTGTTACTGCTGCGACCACGGTACGCTGCCCATTGCGTTTCAACACCTCCATCCATGTTGCCTGCCGCTGCTTACTACTGCTACTAGGGCCTGGTCGGCTGCCATGCGCGGCGCAATAATCCTTGTCCCACTGCTCAACGTCGCCCCGCCCCAGTCTCATCATTGGCAACCCCCCCGGCCAGGGCACATGTGCATGTACGGACAGTATTGCCTGCGCAGACGGCCATGGAGACTTTTGCTTCGGTCGCAGCTGACGGCCCGGATGCTTTCTTTTTCTTCTGCCACAAGAGCGGGATTAAACGCATGGCCTGGGCGGCTTGGCTAAGACCAGCTCACCTGCAATACACGTACAGCATGACTGCACTGCACTGCAGCCTATCCTGTGCCAAAGCCAACCGGCTCGCCGACCATGTGAGACTGGCAGAGGGGGCATGCTCTTGGTAGCAGTAGTGCCACCACAAAAGGGTCCCGTGTACCTCGAGATGCATGCATTCCGACCACCACGGCGAGGCTACACTGGCGTCGTTATGCCTTGGTCTCGGCAGGCGTAGTGTATCTACACCTACACATACATGTCTACGCGTGAGGACTGACGGCGCAACACGGCGTACCATGAGCACTTTTCCCCCCATGCTGCTTCCAAGGACGTTCCTTGTCGTGGAGCATGGCGCCGACGATCCTTGGCGGCGGTATGGTATGATTGGCGCATGTTGACTGAAACCACAGCGAGTTCCTTGGGCACGACGACTGACGACGCCGTGGTGGGTGGGGCGGATGCACGATCCAAATCTGGCTGCATGCTAGTGCTAGTACGACGTCTCTCCACGTCTCTCGCATCCCCCCCCGTCACGTGCAACATGGGCACGTTTGAACACCCGTCGTCCTGCCACGCGAGTGCATGCACGGCCATCGCTCGACCCCAGGGCAGCAGCCGGTGACTGATCATGTATTCTAATATGCATCCTAGTACTTTTCCAAGCATACTGTGAGAATAAGCAGCTTACACCTTTCAACATGTCCGTATGCGCCCCCACCCCCTCCAGAGAAACAAACAAAGAAAAAAGCCCTTTTCCAAAAACCACACAAACACCATCCTGCGCTTTGGCCGGGGCATCGCATACCCCATCAAGTAGCCATACGCCTAAACGGAGTCTTTTGTGAAGCCACCTTGCCAGGGATCCTGCCCCTAGTCGTCACAACTACCGTGATGGCTGTCCATGCGCCAACAGAGTAGGTAGAAGTGCAACATGCCGTCGCCATGCACAATCTCGTCGTCGACTTTGGCGTTGCAGTCGAGAATGAAGGCATGCTGCGTTCCTCCCGCATCTGTCGTGGTCCGTCTCCAATGTAGATCAACTTGGTAATGTACCAGACATCCAGAGAACAAACAAATCAGCAAAAGTCGACTCGCGCGTCTGCTTCATTTTACAAGTCGTCAATGTCGTAGTAGTCGTCAAAGCCGTATGGGGGGCGTCGCAGCTGGGGTCTCGCCCACCCATTGCCCACGTCATCGTCATCCTTCTCACTGTCTGGCGAGGTCCAAATGATTACTTTGTTTCGCACTCTCCACGTCCTCTTGTTGAATCTGGCTTTCATGTCGCGCTCTTTGCCGTAGCCGGGAGATTTCTGGCCAACATCTACCTTGTCGCCACGCCTAACCAGCACAAGCAATGCTCTTCGCGCACCAGCGCCCCTGGTCAGTTCTTCGTCGTCGACCCGGCCAAAGTCGTCGAGTTCGTGCTCCTCTGGGTTCTGCTCGAACGGCTCGCGCCTGAGCGGGTCAAGCACGGAAGCGCAGTCGTCTTCGTCTATGGCCCTGAACACCTGCACAGAGGATCCCGACCCGTCTCCGTCCCGGCCCACCAGCCTCTTGTTCCAGGACCTGGGCTGGGGCTGGCGACGGATATCGCCCGTCTCGCGGGATCCATGGCTCCGCGAAGGACTGAAGCCAAGCATGCGCGAGCTACGAGTGATATAGCGGAGCTCTCTCCATCCATTGCCACGGTTGACCAGGTTGGTCAGCGCATCGTACTCTGGCGCAGCCGGCGCAACGGCAAAGATGGTCAGGCAGTCGAGGCGGAGTGCGGGGAGCAGCTGGAAGATGGACTCGTGGCGGTACATGAGGTCATCGAAGCCCTTGAGATAGCGCATCATGGGGGAGCCGATGAGGCGCACATGACGGATCCTGGACACGGTCGACTCGGGCAACTCGGCCAGCTTGTTGAGCATCGTCTGGGGGTCCTCAAAGTTGAAGAGCACGCGCTGCATCCAGAGGTCGCGTGTCTCGACGTTGATCTGGCGGCACACGCGTAATAGGGCCAGCGAATGTGGGGCAGGCTTGAGGTACCGCTCGCCATGGCGGGGTGTGTAGCGCATGCCGAACGTCAGCCTCGTCGAGTTGAAGACCAGCTCCCAGATCTCGTCGCGGAGCTCTCGCGGCAGCTGCAGCAGGCGGCTCGAGTCGTTGATGCCCCTGTCATCACTCATCGAGATGCGCTTCGAGGTTGTCGGGCGGGTCTGGTTGTACCAGCGATAGCGGCGGCCGCCCTTGGGCGCGATGAAGTAGTCTTCGTCCTGGATCATCATCTTGACAAGACGCGGCCGTGCATTGAAATCCAAAAGGCCATGGATAGCCCGCGCTCAGCCATGGGGATTGGCCGGTTGATAAGTACCGCCCTGGTGGTGGTGGTGGTGGGCGCCAAGCAGCTCCCGACTTTACCGTCACACGACAGCCGTCCTAGTCGCCTGGCAATCTCGACTCAGCCACCTTCCATCTCCACCTCGTTGGGACGACTACTCCACTCTGCTATCTTGACTTTGCCAATACCGTCAAAATGCCGCGCCCGGCCCCGACCATGCCGCTCCTGTCCGTCATGTTCAGGTGCCTGGTGCCAATCACCCTCCCGCCGCCCAGGTCCTATTAGTGGCTTTGCACCGCGCGCACCCGTCCTGCCACGACGACTCCCATACACCATCCTGAGACCCGACCATGGACCCAGCACCCGCCCCGGACCCCTCACCGACAACCGCGTCCCATTTCTGCATTAACCGCTGGTCTGGATATCCCTGTCCTCAAAGCCCCGCCAAGCATCTCCACACTCAACCCAGCTGCGCTGTTTACACCTACGTACAGCGCTATGCCTCATTCATGCCGGTACGCCGTAAGCTCAGGATGCATGTTTACAACCGAGCCTTCCACCGGGACAACTCGGGTGCCCTTTTCCATGGTCTCTGCACCGGTTTTCCGCCCTATGGTGCGGTCGTGTGCGTGCTCCATGGCTCCATCCAAGCCCTAGTGTATTCATAGATCGATATGCTGTCCCGGCCCCGTGGGTGCTCCGGAGCCGCATCGTAGCCTCTGGAGCCGAATTTTCCCATCCTGGCTGTAATCGACATTGTCGGGTCAGCCTCCAGTGCCACACGGCGTCGAGAACAATGCCTTCCGCCTTACCCTCTCTTTCCGGCATGGCGGCCAGACGTACTGGTACCCTATGGCCGCCCCGCTGCATATACGCGGCCAGAATCAGTACATGGTTGGATCCACTCACTTATTGAAAGCCTCTTACTAAGGCACGGAACCACATAAGTCTGACACGGCAACGCCGTCGACTGACAGAATACCCGGCATGGAGGAACTGGCCTGACTCGACTCTCGCCAAGCAGCACAGTGTGTCGGTATACTCTTTGCGGAATCGCCCATTCCCCCGGTTGCATACGCATGTGCGATATCCAGAGAGTTCGAGAATGAAACGCAAGGTGGTAGGCCGCACGGAGCTCTATGCAGGATAGAGTTGAGCACGTCACCATCACATGCCACGCAATCTCAGCAAGTGCATGGTTCGAAACTACCTCTTGCCGTGTCCTAGTACTCTTGTCTCCTCTCGCCATTCTCCGGAATAAGCTTCAGGCGGTTACACCATGTACACGTCAAACTGCGATTTGTCAATCACTCAAGCGTCGCGAACTAGGATCATGGTCTTGCGCCCATCGCAGGGATACCACCAGAGTGGCTACCGACCAAGAAAATAAACCAAGAAAAATACTAGGTACAGCAGACAAACAGGCATGTAAAGCTACGACCATGGCAAATGACGTCTTTTACTAGTATGCGACTAATGCAACAGGACGATCACGGACCGGACCACGACCGGACCAAGACCTAAACCTTTGCACATCGTCACTAATAAGTTATCACCACCCGTGATTAGCCGACATGGATTCAAACAGAGCTTGTTCCTGTGCAAGTACACGTAGTGCACCAAGAGCTGAATGCGATGAAGAAAAGGAAAGTTGACCTCTTGGCTGTGGAAACACGGGCTGCAGTCGGTATTACTAAGACAATCGAGCAGCTGCAGACTGTGTGAATAGTGCAATCAGTGGTATTGCGTATATCACTGCTGGTTTAGATACCCGAGACTTTTTCCTCAACTATAGGCCAGTAGTAACCAAGCAGCTGCATGTGATCCGCTTGCCAAGACTGTGGTAGTGGCATACTTGGATTACGGTACCAGCGGGAGGGCGGGAATAGAGGGAATGAGCCATGTTGGCGGGTAAGCGTGGCAGGTTCTTGCAAATTGAAGACGACTTATTGGTGGTGATCGTCAGGCACAATTACAATTGCAATCATCTAGAGCCGTGTAGGTCTAGCTTGATTCTGCGTCCCTCGAGTGCCAATGTTCGCATACTGCTACCAATACCACACACATGATGACATCATCATGTTCACACTTTCACTTGTTCACCTCCTTCGTAACCGACTGCCCACAGCCCACGGATCATACGGATGCGTTCGAAGGTGCTAGTAATACTGCAAACGTGGACCGTGGCTCAGCAGGCTTTCGGCACATGATGCATTCGCCACGATGACGCACTCGCACTCGTATGGTCATTCTCACCCGCGGCGGTGCAGGGTATTACCCCATCACTACAACCCCGCGATCTAACAGACTTTGCGATAACCTCTGCATCACCTACGTCGAGCCAGACTTAGAGAACCCTACACCGCTGAATACACAGCATGGCGGAATTCGCACCTCCACAGGTACGCATGTCCCTGCAGCATGACAACAGCAACTTGCTCGGCAGCGGATGGTCACGGCTAACACTGCGCGCAGGGCCCTCCTCCGCCAAAGGTGCCCGAAGGCTGGAAAGCCGTCTGGAACACACAGTACAGCGAATGGTTCTACGTAAACATCTATACGAAACAGTCACAATGGGAAAAACCAACTGAGCCCGTTTATCCTCCTGGCGAAGCACCCCCTCCTGGCCCCCCTCCAGGTGCCCCTCCTAACCAAGCTGCATCTCCAGTCGGTGAAGCGGTAGGTGGTGTCCCTGCAGGCGGCAGCGAAAAGGGCGCTCTTGGCAGTAACAATCCATATGCGAATATTGATGAGGACGAGAAACTCGCAAGGAAACTTCAAGAAGAGGAAGAATCGCGCGCCCGCGGAGCCTCGAATGATTATTACAACCAGCCGGTCCAGAGCCAACCGCCACAGTACGGTGGCTATGGCCAGCCAAGTCCAAGCCCGTTTCCACAGGCGCAGCAGCAGGATAGTTATGGCCAGGAAAGGGGAAGCAAGGGGAAGGGCTTCCTAGGCAAGATTTTTGGAAAGTCCAATGGCTCGTCACACTCGCCGTCCCCACAAGGCTACCAGCAACAGCAGTATGGCTATGGACAGCCAGCCTATGGCCAGCAAGGCTACGGCCAACCTGTTGGAGGATACTACGGTGGAGGTGGAGGCTATGGGCGACCGATGGGTGGCGGCATGCCTATGGGTGGGGGCATGGGTGGCAGACGTCCCGGTGGAAGTGGTATGGGCGGTATGGCTCTTGGAGCCGGAGGTGGCCTGCTAGCTGGTGGTCTCATAGGCTCAGCACTGGCAGGTGACCACGGCGATACCTATGTCGAGAACAATTATGGTGACGATGGCGGTGACATGGGTGGTGATATGGGTGGTGATATGGGCGGCGATATGGGCGGGGACTTCTAAGCCCTGTTACGAGGATTCGGGTTCTCTCTTTCCTTTGTCCGCATGTAGATACCTAACCAACTTTACATATGATTCTGTAGTAATGTATTTGCTCTCCTTGGAGAAGACTGTACTTGTATTGAGTACTTTGACTGAGTACCTTATCGAGTACTCTGCAGCCTTCAGCGTCGGCACCACCGACCTATGACGTACCTGTGTAATCGGTCCAATACCCACCGAAAATGCCAGACGATCAACACCACACATTCTGCTCACCAACCTCTTCATGCTGAGAGCCTCTTCGCGCCTAGCAACCACCATGGCAAACGAGCAGCAAAAAAGAAACATTGTCATTGTTGGTACATGTCATCGGCTTCCGCTTTGCACAGCAATCCCAGGCTGATTGAACGCTTTTCCAGGTGGCGGTATCATCGGAGCAACCACAGCATACTTTCTCTCACACCATCCAAACTTCAACCGAGAAAGAGACTCAATCACTCTCCTCGAAGCAACCAAGATCGCCGGCGGTGCATCCGGAAAAGCAGGCGGCCTCCTGGCCCTGTGGGCGTACCCCAGCTGCCTCGTGCCCCTAAGTTACCGGCTCCACCAAGAACTTGCCGCGAAGCACGATGGCGCAAACCGCTGGGGCTACCGCGCCGTGCACTGCGGGCAAATCGAAATGTACGGTGTTCTCGCAAAGCACAAGAGCGCAAACACGACCAAACAAGAAGACTCGGTGAGCCTGCAAAAACGAACTCAACATGCAATCAGCTTGCTGCGCGCTGCCGGCGTCCCCAAAGACCTCGACTGGATCGCGGCCGACGGCATCCAGACCTACGAGGAAATGGGGACCCCAGCTACAACAGCACAGGTCCATCCGTTCCACTTCACCACGGCCATGGCGCAGCTGGCCGAAGAAAAAGGCGTGCGGATTCTCTACGGCACTGCAACTAGCATCGACCAGGAAAACGGCAGCGTGACATCAGTCTCGTACACGAGCAAAGACTCGTCCTCCTCCACCTCTTCCTCTTCCTCCAGCGAAGAAACATGTAAAATCACCGCCGACACGGTCATTCTAACCGCCGGCCCCTGGACCCAAGCCGTGTGGAACGCGGCCCCGATTTCCGCCATGCGAGCGCACAGCGTCACAATCCGGCCCTCGAGACCCGTTTCCGCATATGCGCTTTTCACCGCAATCGACATGCCACGCAGTGGCAATAGCAAGCGCAGCGAGACAGTCACACCAGAGATCTACGCGCGGCCCAACCAGGAAGTCTACGCGTGCGGCGAAGGCGATTTGGTAGTGCCCTTGCCCGCGTCGACGCATCTCGTTGAATGCGATGAGACGCGCTGCCAGGCTATTGTCGACCAGGTCTCGGCTATCTCTGAGGAGCTGCGCGATGGACACGTCACGGCCAGACAGGCGTGTTACCTGCCCAATGTGAGTCGTGGAGGCGGGCCTCTGGTCGGCAGGACGAGCGTAAAGGGCTTGCTCATGGGTGCTGGGCATACGTGTTGGGGCATTCAGAATGGGCCTGGCACGGGCAAGTTGCTGAGTGAAATCGTGTTTGACGGCGAGGCGACGAGCGCCGATATTGCGACTTTGGATCCGAGGAAATTTGGCGTCTGAGATAATTGCTCGTGTGCAGTTATTAGTGGACTGGTTGTATGTAGACAGAATCGAGCTTCACAATGACTACCAAGTACTCACTCCCGAGAAACCCGTGAGGCCAAAGTCAAAGTTGAACTCTCGCAAATCAAAGCGCACAAGAACCAAGTTCCATTTTGGTTTTTTGGCCTTTCTTTTTTTTTTGCAGTGGACCCCTAGGAAATCAGCAACAAATTCCTTCCTTCGCCTAGCTTGCCGCGCGACTCCAACCCTAGCCTGAAAGCCTGATCCTATTCTATTCTATCAAGAAGATAACTCAAGCCCGCACTTCCTCCCGGACCCCCGTGCAGCCCCCTCCCTCGCCGGTTTCAAATGTCGTCCAAGTCCTCATCGTCGGCCTTGCTCTTCTTTCCATCACCGTTCAGCCTATCCATGCGCACATCCTCGTACCTCCTAGAGTCGTTTGCACTGCCACTCATAGCCATGGCCTGGCGGCCGGCGTCGGAGCTCTCGAGGAAAGTACGGAGCCTTTCCTTGCCGACCTCCAGACCCTGTTGCGAGGCGGCGTTGGCCATGCGTGCCATGGGACCCCATAGGTTAAGCGTGTAGGTGACGTAGGCACCGATGCCTAGTAGGATGAGAAAGATGAAGTATACGGGGTTGCGGAGAACTATAATGTGTCAGTACCGTTATCTAGATTAATCAAGGGAGCAGTGAAGATGCATACCGGCCACTATCTCGTTCCAACCCAGCGCAAGGAGTAAGCCGTAGAAATATAATGGGACTTGAGTGATGCCGCCAATCGCACTACGCTTGGCTTCAACATAGACCCCATCTGCGGTCTTCTTGAAGCGGACAAGCAGATCGGCCTGCTTGGCGTCGGATAAGATTGTCATTTCTTCTTCCAACGTCTTGCCCTCTTCATCGTCAACGCCGCCAATGGGCGTCAGATCGTCCTCGTCTGCTGGAGTTACAGAAGCTGGTGCTTCTCCGATCCAGACATCGAGCGGCGGAGCCTTTGACGTCGCCGCAAGCTTGAAACGGGCGAGGAGCGGGATCACAGTGATTGTGGACTCGCGCGCCTTGGTGTAGATACCCTCAATGTCGTCTGTGGGTCTCCATATTCTCGGCACACCGTGATCATCGTAGCGGAACTTGTCTTCAAAGTTTTCCCGGAGCTTCAACAGAATGTTGCCCTCCATGACTTCCTCGTCGAGTTTTGCACGAAGCACAGCCCAAGACTTGCGCCGTAATCTCCACAGACCGACTTCCACCTCCTCGGGACTAGCATCGAAGCTGGAAGCTCGGTCGGTGAACCGCTTTTCGGCACTGGAGACAGTTTCCGTGAAGATGGTCCAGACCCGATCCCAGAGATCCTTCTCTGATGGAGGTCGGTCGCCGTTCTCAGGCGCGCCAGAACCGCCTCGGCCTGATCCGAGCTTGTTGAACTCTAGTCCAACCGACTCGTCCAAACGTGAGCGTACCCAGCGTTCGATCCGAGTGGCTAGGCGTCTCATCTCTTCCTTGCGGAGACGGCCAGAGACATCGTCCAGCTCCTTCTTGTAGTTCTTCAGTTCATTCTCGTAGCTACTCCAGCTGGCGCCCTCAATAGCCATTGCCTTTGCATCCTCCTCAAATTGGGAGAGTGCCTTCTTCTTTTCTGAATCGACAATCTGAGCAAAGTCATATGAACCTCCTTTCTTCTGGCCGCTCTTTACTGCAGCACTAACGGCTTCGGTAAAGTTCTCCACGCCAGCTTTGTGAGCAGACATGAGCTGCTTTTGGAACAATGCCTTCAAGCGGGTATCAACCTTGGCCTCAAGCTCTGCCTGCTTTCGCTTGTAGACGCCCTTGTGGTATCGGCTGGCATTGGTATCGAAGTCCTTGAGGACCTTTGTTCGCGCTGCGTTCATGACGGATCCAAGGTCAGGGATGACAGAGAATGTCCCTGCTCGAGCAGCTTCGGCCTGCTTGTCTTCTAGGGGCGTGATCTTCTCGTCAAAGGCAACGAGCACCTCTCTCGAAATTTCATCACATCGGAACTGGGCTAGGAGCTCTTGCTGCGTTGGCAGATCCAAGTCCTTGTTGTGCACAATCTGATCCCAGACGCCCTCTGCATAGGTAGAAAATCCATCGGCAGGTATCCGGCGATGGTACTGAGGTAGGAAAATAGGTGCGGTTGATTCGTCAATGAGCCCACTCTTTCTTGGGTCACTGTACCCTTCTTTAAACCTTGCGCTGAGCTGCGTGACTGCCTCGTCAAACTTTTCCGGCTGCAAAATCTTGTGTGGCAATGCAACAAAGGCAAAGTCAAAGTAGTCTTCTATCCGCGAGCTCTCGAGACCGTTGGGTTTCGAAATGGTCGACCACAGTTTGGACAGGTCTTGTATTAGGGTATTTTGTAGGTTCTTGAGAGGTGTGGTGCCGATGTGGTCGCGGATGACGAAGAATAGGAGAGACTTTGGAGTGGATCTGACAGGGCGGTCAGCACGAGACATGTGGTGCAAACACGGTCGAGAGACTCACTGGCTGTCCTTGACAAAGAGCTGCAAGTTGACTTCAAAAACGGTCTTGAGCAGGCCCATGTTGGCGCCCTGGTACAGTCCGACTTGGTGTTCCCAGATGTTGACGATGAGGACCTCGCTCGTGGCCAGGGCGAAAAGAGCACTCTTGCGCTCAAAGTCCTGGTCCTCGCCTCGCTCTCTGCCGTCGGTACCCTCGACGTCCATGACGAGAATGTTCTCGGCCATGCTCGAGCCGCCCTCCTCACGCTTGTTCTTGCTCATCCAGATTCCCTTTGTGGTTTGGCGACGCTCCTGCTCCGACATGACGCCAAATTGGGTGCCGAAGAGGTGGTTGAGGAGCGTAGACTTGCCCGTGGATTGCGAGCCAAAGACAGAAATGAGGTGGTAGTTGAAGCCAGCGGGGATGACTTTCTCAACACTGAGGTACGACGACAGATTTCCGCTGCATGGCGAGTAGACATTAGCATTGAGGGCGCCCCCAAACACCGTGGATCGAGCGACACGACATACTTGAACATCTTGTCCTCGTCAATGACCTGGATGCCATGCTCGTAGGACTGCTTGTCGGCATTGTCGCCCACGCCTGCAAAGTGCGAGTTCATCATGAGAGACGGTGAGGTGTGGTGCTTGACGTTGCTGGGGCGGCTCTGGCCGTTGGGCTTGAGCTGTTCGTCGGCCATGGATACCTGTTTTGCAGTCCAGCCACGGGCTGCACGTGGGCACGGGAAGAATGCTGTGGTGGCAGGGTGGTAGGAGTGAAAGCTGGCCGTTGATGTCACAGGCCGACCGCCTACTGGGGGGGCCGCCTGGCGCCATTCGCCCCTGCACCCTAGGCCCGACGCTCGCACTCGCTTACCAAACTCGCCGTGGTGGTGATTGCGGTGCAAATGACGGCCTGCCGCATCATGTCCTCCGTTTTGCTTCTGCCTGCACGCCGCCACGGGCACATGCGAGCCTGTTGCTCTCCCCAGCTGCTCCGTGGACCACGCGGGTCAAGAGGAGGCGCCGAGGAGGGAGGGGGGGGGCGTTGTGCGGGCATGACCACTACGCTAAGTACCGTGGTCTTGGCATCGACGTGACACGAGCACCACGGCCACAAGACAGCATCACAACCACAAAACACGTACATATGCGAATACGCCCCAGACTAGAAATTACGATACCCCTTCCCGCCGCTGACCATATCCGCACTGATCTTGCCGATTTCCTCGCTGTTTGCAACCCACGCCTTGGTCGCATCCCGCCACACTCGACTGCCAAACTTGCTCTTGCACCAATCCAGCAGCCTCTCCGCCTCGTCTCGGATCCTCTGTTCAATCTGCGCCCCCTCTCCGTCTCTGCTTTGGCCTTGCTTCTGTCTTCTAAACGCCTCGACCGCGTCGATAAGCCACCCAGGGTGTTGGCCGCCGTAGACAAATTTGACGAGCGAATCGGACACGTGCGAGTTGCTACCGACTTGCTCTACAATCTCGGAATCTAGTCTTTGGCCTTCCTCCTTGCGCTTAGGCTGGTAGCCCTCGCATGCGTCCGAGACGTCGCTTATCCATGCGCGTGCGTTGTTGAAGTCGCCTTCAGCGCGATGCAAGATGCCGTGGAGCAGCATCCCCTCGACAGCTGGCGGCGCCTGCATATGTCGCACCAGAAAGTGTGCAGATGGCAAGTCGTGGTTCAGGATATGCAGCAGAGCTTCAATCGTGGGATGAACTTGTAGGTCTGCAATGATTGCCGTGAGCTGCGCCTCCTGGGGTTTCTTGGGTGCATGTGCAAGACATGTGGTTGACATGAGCTTGTGTGTTATCGAGTCCAATTGCTGTGCAACATCCGAGTCCATTGTATCATCAGAGGCCGAAGGTGAGTCGATACTAGCACGTACGAAAACCAAAGCAGAAAAATACAGATGACAGAGCGGCAACATCCAAGGCCATATGCACTGTAGAAACAACTCGTTAGCTCCATCGCAAAGATCTCTGACGTGCTTCATGCACGGTGCTGCATCCATCCAGAAGCGCAGACGTCATGGATCGTGGACCCTGAAATTCATAATCTTGCATTCAGAAGCATGCATGTTTGGAGACCAGCGAATAAGCTCAGTAACCGAAGAGTCTATTTGAGCAAACTTATTTCCCTCAAGTGTGTTCCATGCTAGTAGTACGCGCCGCTGCTTAACCGCCCAACTGCAAACATGAAACCTAGTCATACAAAAAGTCGTTGATATAGGGTAAAGAAAAGACGATGACAATGCTGCTCCACAACGCCTGCAAATGAGGACCAAGGTCCTGGACATGTGAACAAAGCCCATCCGAGCGTCGCCGTGCTTGGGCGGGCCAAGCTGTTCGAGAAAGATGAGGAGGTACTAGTCTTTTTTGTAGGCCTTTTCCTTGTTCTGATACTCTTCCCTCTCTTCTTTCTTGTTGGCAGCATCCCGGTGCTACTTGGCCTGGTGCTCCTTTCTCAGGGCAGCGGCCTTGCGCTCCTTCTGGCGCTGCTCTTCAGCCTCGACCATTTCTGTGTCGTCCAAGTCAGCTTGTTGTTTTGCACATGTCGAATGAAAGCATCATACCTCTCCACTGGTCCTCACCAGCGTACCTCTCATGGTGGATCTTCTTCTCGATAACGTGCTTGTGTTCAGGGTCGTTAGGATCAATGATTTTAATAGTCTCCCATCTTCCCTTGCCCTTGGCCGCATCTGCTCCCTCAATAGCAAAGCTGCCGAGCAACGCAGCCAGTGTGCCACCCTGAGCATACATACGCGCCTGCACCAGCTTCTGCGATTTGCTCAGGTAAGGGTTGCGGTTGACAAAATGCCATGACCCGGCCATGGACGCAACCCAGAAGCCAAAGAGGAGTGGGTATCGGTTTTCTGTCGCCCAATCCTTCGCGCGCTGGAGCGGGGTTCTGTTGGATTCGAGAAGGGCTTCTCGCTGCTGTTCACGCTCGATCTGGCGTTTCTTTTCAGGGGTGTGCTCGATGTCGTATTGCGCGGACGCTCTGTCGGCGGCGATGACGGCTAGATTTTCGTGGTCAGACTTGAAGTTTTTTTTGGGACAGAAGAAGTGTGGGTGGCTTTGGACATACCGACAAAGGTTCCGGTTGAAGCCACAAGGAATGCGCGGAATGGCACAGTGAGGGCTCGGAAAGAGTGGTAGCGTCTGCTCGCGGCGAGGACACCTGCGGCACCTATCGCTGTGCCAATAACACCTCCTATTGTGCCGCCCCTGACGGTAGCACTGGTCTTGGTTAGCAGAAGCCAATGATGGTTATTCTTTGCGTGTGCGCCACTTACTTGTAGTGCGCATCCTCCTCTTCCTTGGTGAGAACCTTCATCTTGACTTGTGTGGGTGGGCTATGTGTGTATGTGTGTGTGGCAAGTGTGAATTGGCGGGTGAGGCTACGAAGAATAGAATGCCTGTTGCGCGAGGTAAGAGGGTTGTTTGTCGCGGGGGTTAGGTGTGCTTGAAAAATGTCCAAAGACCCCTCCAGCGGCGCACGGCGACTTATTAAAAGATGGTGCAGCAGTCAAGCCTACACCATGGTGACGTGGCCGAGCTTCCGGCATCGCTAGGCCCTGTCCCTGTCCCGCCCGAGAGCCCTACCACTACAAATCTGCTGGGCCGATTATTCTGCGCGCCCGCAGATCAGGTCATCAATGCATGACCTCACAAACACTCTGTTCTTACGCCGCGACACAAGCCACAAGCCGCCGCCTCTAGACGGCTAATGATGAGTAAGGCCGTATAAGCCATGCCTCTGGTTTGTTGCATGTCGGCAACGCGCCCTCACTCGCATGTTGCGTGCAGCTCGCCGAAGCGGCATCTCCATAGATGCCGCCTCGTCGCCGCCTCTGCACCTTTGGTCACCTTACAATACTTAGGCCCGAGATTCGTTGCTAATATGCGCCTACTCCATCGTCTAGATGCTGTCCAGAGTGCCCTTGCCTCCAGCCCTATTCTCGCTGCATCTGTGCTACCGTCTGGACAAATCTCCTTGATGCCCCAGGTGTCGCTCGCTCGTGCGAGCACGTCCGAAAAGCCTCCGAACTCCGTGCAATCTCCAACCTTCCCCGAACTTTGGCAGCCCCAGTCCCCGAACGCTGCCGTCTGGCGGCAACATCGGGGTTTTCGTCCTCTCGGCCATAATATCTCATGCATAATCCCATTATTCGCGCGTTGCATACAAAGAAAAATGCATACATTCTCCCGTAAACACTGCCATTATCACACTACCATTATCGTCCTGCCATTAAGGCCCCATTTGGCCTGTTTTCGCTCACAAGCCTAATTATGTCGGCACAATCCAGCTCGCTGTTTCCTATCCTTTCACCATTCCCTTGCTAACCTGCCCAAGTAACTTCCGACTGATGAAAATGCAATGCTAAACAAGAAAAGACATATACGCCCATAACCCGTGTTCACCAAGTGATGCTGTCCCAAGCAAAAGCAAGGAATACGTACTTATGCTCATCTTAAGCCAATGGATCTGACAATCTTTTCGACATTGATCTTAGCTTTTGGGCATATCCACGATACCTTCTTCGAGATTGAGAGCGAGGGTGTACAAGCTGATAATACCCAACGGTGCCTATGTGGACGAAGACATGTAGGACCCCAGACTGACATCTAGCGGAAAGCACCAAACGTGGGTCGCGATGTCGGGTTACCGTAGCGTGGGAGCATGCCGGCTGGAGGTCCAGGGCGCGTAGTCAGGGCGGGGTTGCAGCAGAGCATAGCGACACGGGAGCCGTACTTGGAGCCACGAAGCGACACCATGTGCTTCCGAATATGGCCGCCTACAAGTTCGCGATGCTGGGGGCTGCTGTTGGTCAAGATATACTGGATGAGGTAGTTACCGAACTGATCCCCAGCAACTGTTCTCTCGTTAACATTCCTGCATCATCCCACATTACCGTTTCACTTACTGTCAATCAGAGGCATGCGCGGACGATCAGGGCGCGCCTCACAAACACGGTCGAGATAGCGGTCCAGAAACTCACTGCCACCAATCTTCAGACACTTCTCAATCACCTTGGAGGCGTATTGGTCCATGCTGTACTCGGTGCTAAAGCGAAGGATATGCTCGATGGCGCGACTGCGATCCGCGGGGGCACCATGCTCGCAAATGTGCTGGATGCACCAGTTTCCAAATTGTCCATGTGCAATCACGTCGATGCTGGCCAAGACCTCGTTGATACAGGGACGCTATCAAAAGTCAGTATGGCTGCCAAGCTGCGCACATGAAAAATTACCTTGTCCTCTTCAAGGCAGTTCTCGAAGATGTTCTGTACAACAAGACTTCCAGTCTCACCCAAAGCCACCTCATGCCACATGCCACGAAGCGCCTCGTTGACATAGCGCATGATCTGCGGCGGAGAGTCGCTCCAGCGAAGCTCGAATAGCTTCTGCCAAACATGGCACGCATAGCGGTGGATGACAGTCTCGGGAATACGACGGAGCAACTCGTGTACCATGGTTGCCTTGTATTCCTCGGGTACGCAGTCAAAGGCTTTCTGAATAACGTGGCAACCAAAAGCATCCATGCTGAGCGCAAGCGTGTTACCACGAATGGCTTGGGCAATAGCGATTACCTGCTCATGGGTACCGTGCTCGAAGCAGCGCTGGACCAGGAAATTGCCAAAGCGGTTGACCATCAAAGCGTATGCCTGAGAAATGATTGCTTCGACAATCTCGTACTTTTGCTCAGGGGTGCCTACTTTGAGCTTCTGCTGAAGAAAGATGGAAGCCTGTTGATCATTATTGCAGATGATTTTGTCAACGATATACTTCCAGTTGCAGCTCATGTTGCGATCCAACAGCCGACGGTAGTTCATGGGCTCCACCGGGGGAACGTACTGAGGAGCGCCAGTTTCGCTCTGGGCCTAAGTCACCATCAGTCTGTGATCAAAATGCACGAGATTGCCGACTTACCTGTGAATTCCATGGAGAAGAACCCATACCGTTGGGGAAGTTGAATTCACTCGCATCCGCAGACAGGTTGCTAGTCATGGTGCCAATTGGTGCCGGATGACCAATTGGATACATCGGCGGCAAAGTGTACTGGCTGTATCCAGGATCAAACGCAGAGTTTGGGCGACTAGGCGGGTTGCTCAAGCCGCTGCCCATACCTATGCCCATGTTGTTGCTAGTGTTGGCGTGCATGCTGTTGGACAAGCCGTTACCCATTCCAGTGTTGAAGCCATTGGTCATGCCGCTGCTACGGAAGCTTTGGTCAACCGGAAAGTGAGTGGGTTCATTCAAGTAGCCAGTGCGGCGATAGCCAGTCTGTGTGGGCTGTGGTCGGGACTGCGCCTGAGTCTGAGGTAGGTATGGAGGTCCGAAGCTGTTGCTACCCATGCCACCAAGACGAGCAGATCCATTGCCCCAGCCATAGTTGCTTCGGGTTGAGGTATTGAACTTATTCTGCAGGTTAGCAAGTGTTTGCTCCGTGACGTCACCTGAGTAGCTGTAATCAGCCTCCGATGACTGGCTGAGGTGCTCCATGGTCGACCGGGCTACGTTTTGGCTGTGCATTTCTTGATTGACGCGGTTGACTTCGTTGCGAGCTTCTTGCAGTTCAAGCTTCAACTTCTGCAGCTCGACAGCCTCCACGAGGACGACCGAGTTGTCCATGTCGGAGGGTGGTGTGGGCGCAAATTCTTCCGTGGCTGGAGTGATGGGAACAGAGCTGCTGGAGGAGCTGTACGGGTCTTGGGCAGGAGAGCGTCCGTTGAGGCGCTGCATCAGCGATTCCACAGCGGTAGAGTCCTCGCGCATCTCCATGTGGGGCTTCTATAGAAGTAAGCTTGATGTTTCTGACAGGTGACCGCAATGTTTGCAGAGGATGTCTAGGAGGTACTGACCTTGTAGCCGTCAAGCAACTCGTGCTGCTCCAGAAGAGATCGACTACCCAGTGCAGAAGGTCCGAGTGGCCGCTTCAAGCCCTGTGTGTTGGAAGTCAACGTTGAGCCAAACACACGATGGAAAGAAGATGGGTATTGGCTGAGGCTCATGCTGCCTACCGCCTGACCCAAAGCCTCTGGCGAAGTGTCAACTCGGAGATCCCCTGGCACCGGGAATCGAGCGGGGCCCTTACGGGGCGTAGGAGAACCGTCGGAAGCGATGTTGAAGCTCATGGTAGCTGCACTGGGATGTGGGCGTAGATGGTATAAATCCGAGAGGCTCGCGTAGTGTCCAGGGTTAGATGGTGAGAACAGTGCGGCTCCGAGGGCAGCGAGAATCAGATCCGAAGTTATGGGGCAAATGTGCAGATAAGATGCAGAACAGAGGTCCGTTGGCGCTCGTCTGGCGTCGTATATGACCAAGGTAGATACAGAAGCGACGACGAAACAGCTCAAATGGACGTAGATTGGTAGGTCGCAGAGGCTGCCGTTCAAAGAGAAAGGGCTCCAGCAGCAAAAGAAAGAGGATGAGGGTAAAGAGGAGAGAGCGGCGAGGGAGAAGCGGGGTGACGGCAAGAGAAGCTTCCAAAACAAACGAGGTGAGTGTGGCTCCAAGGCAAGTGAGTGCTACTACACGGAAGGCGCGACGCGTCGGCGTTTTCGGCATCCGCCTTCACTCCAGCACATGGCCGGATTCGATATGGCTTATATAATATACAGATAAGAAGACTGCAGTATCTGCTGGTGGCTGCGTCATATTTGGACCGTAATCATGCCAAGTACGTGCAGCCGCTTTTATCATGTACAGAGCTCTTCACGTACGTTCTTTCTCTACACTCAAACCTACACATGTAGCCCGTGATATTAGCAGTGTATGCCTAGTCCCAATCCTCTGCCCCATATGTGTCGAACTCGCTGTCTATAACGCTGCACGGGGCGACCTCCCAGTTTGAGTCGAAGAAGCCCATCGCGAGTGTACCTTGGATGCCTTTCCACTTTGCACTTTGTCCAAAGACTACAAAGTCTGGCTGTCCCACACCTGTTAGAAGAGGCACAAGCCGTGCAGCTTGCTGTAATCCCTCCTCATCAGTACCCCAAAGCACTAGTTCAAGTCGTTCGTCTTCAAGCGGGTGGAGGAATGCGACGCCTCGAGCTTCCTTCCCGTACCGATGTTCTTGACCTTGATGATCGCGAATCACGACTCCAGACTCATCAACATGTATAGGGAAACTGGACTTGACAGTCTTCAGGCTGGAAGCGACGCCTAAAGTGATGACATTTCCAGAGTCACCTGGAGTGATGGGGTCCAATACGGAGTGAAGGATATTAGTATCCGCTAGAAAGTATTGGTGAAGGCTAGAAGAAATCTGCAAAGCAATGTGCAACGTAGCCGTGGATCCAGAATGTCGAATAATAAAGGCGCCACGTGTTCGAAGCAGAGCAGTCATGGAGCCCAACTGACGACCGTTCCGTTGTAGCTGTACCGCCCCTTTTCCGATTGAACTTGGTCTCCAACCATCAGTCGACTTGTAGACACTGATCGTGCCCCCTGCTGCAACCGAAGACTCTGACAGCTCTACTCTTTGCTCATCAATAGTTACAGACTCCGTCCAGAGAGCGAGGTCGAATTCAAGGTCTTGCACATTAGAGGTCCTGATAATGTTCCCTCGGACACTGACCCTTCCGTATCGTCCTGGGTCCTCTAGGTGTTTGACTCTGATCCCGCTTTTACTCTCCATGTCCCCCGGATCGCCCACCATGACGGTGAATTGTTTTAGTCTCCGCAGCAAAATTTCTTCGCTGTTGGTCTGCTTGTAATAGAAGCTTACCAATTGCGATGTAGTCATGACACCTTCCCACCAGTGGTTGAAGCCAGCGACCTCGTTGTACGTCGAGCTGGTATTTTCCAGGTACAGCTGTTGTGCCAACAGGCGAGAATGAAAGGCAGGTACATTGTTATCGACCTCACCATGCTGCTGTTGGATCGGAATACCACGTGCATTTGACATCAGCATCTCATGACGGTAATTGTTTAGAGATGCACTGATGGTCGCTTTACGTTTTGGGTCTGCACTCTGCCACAGCTCATATGAAACGTACTTCTCAATGCTGGAGTAGCCAGAGACTGGAGCCGCAGCAAGCACCTTGTCTGGACGGTGAGTCAGGGCGAACCATGTCCCTTGTCCACCATTTGAGTGACCTGAAGGTATCCATCGGTTTGTATCGATACCATGGCCTGTCCAGCTGTTGTCTTCAATCCACCGCGGAATTGCTGAGATTGCTGCTTCAACATCAGCAAAACCCCAGCTGTGCCAGTCGTCACCGGACCACGGTGTGACACCTGTGGGAAACAATACCCAGGCACAGAGATCCGGTAGAGAGTTCAGAGCACCATATACCATGGGGTTGTCGGCTTCTAGCCCTGATCCGTGAAATTGCAACAAGATTGGTAGCTTTGATCGCCCTGGTTCGCATGTTGAGTTCTTCGCAGGAGGCCGAAGCATAGCGTACGAGACCATCCCACCTGGATGGAGATATGTAATCTTATGGGGCGCGTAGAGGGCTACGTGATTCAGGGGTTGAGAAACACTGAGTGTCCGAGAGTGAGCACTGCGGGCCGTCTTATATGTGATGTCAAGTTTCACGACAGAAGCATTGCCCTCTGCTGGACGGACGTTCAAGACGACAGGTTTCGTCTGACCAGCAACAATGGTTATGGGCAGGGAATGGTAGCTGTAAGATGCTGCAGAATCCTGGGAGGTGAACTGAGCGTCTCCATTCAACAGTGTTTGAGCATTCAAGCCCGATTCCCTGAGGGTGGAATGAGAGCTGTCGATTGAGCGTCCTATGCTCACAATTTCAATGTCTTCCTGCCCAGTGTTCCTTAGGTATACCGAGCCAATTGAAGAGACGAGCTTCCCACCAATAGCATCGGACATCAGAATGCCAGGTTTTGCAAGTTCAAGAGCACCAGTCACTTGCCGTACATCGACTACGACATCAATCGTGGGTTCCAGGATGCCTCCAAAAGCTCTTACATCGCGGACTAGACGGAGGTCAACCCTATGCGAGCCAGGTGTAAGATGCATGACAGAAGGTGCGTTCCGGTAGCTATAAAAGTCGCCTCCAAAGTAATGCTTGTCGTCGATCCAGTACTCTAGGATTGCGTCGGTGTGTAGGATCACATGCTGAGTTTCGTGACCGCCAACGACTATCTCACCACGCACCCAAGCCTGATATTGGACGGCAGCCCATCCGTAAAAGACCTTCAAAAAGTCCCAGTCGACGTTGGAGTAGCCAATGCTCAGCGAGGCATTGGCCGAGATAGCACTGGTCAGGGTCTTTGTAGCCTTGGTGATATTCCACGAAGCAGTTCCATTTGATGGCAAGGAACTAGGAAACTGTGCGTTTGGATCGTAACTGAGGTTTCTGAAGCCGCCCGCATATTCTAGTGGATCTGCCCCCCACGTAGCCTCTGGGCCGGCGTTAGCAGGTGACGTGTGTCTTCAAACCGGCAAACTCATCGACGTGCCTCTGGTCCCGATTTGAAAAGGCCCAAGGACGTGCCATGTACTATTAAAGGAAAATAAGGGAGCTTCGTGTGCCCGAGTAGCTAGGGACCACTGTAGCAGGCATAGCAAGAGCACGAACATGGTGGAACTGCTGAACCAGCTCGAAGCATCCCAGGATAACCGGAGCAGGGGGGTTCAGTGCAGCTGCCTCTAGGTGTATAGTAGATGCATGAGGCTTCTTGGGTGGAGTGGATCTTGGCTGACGAAGCGCTGTGGCGGTGGTACGTAGTGGCATGTGGGATGAGTGGTGCATTGGCATTGGCATTGGCATACCGGCCTGCCCACCCCTGCTGGCGCACTAGCCATCCGACCAGACTGGCCCTGCCACTGCTTCGGGACGCGTGGCGACATCACCAGGTACGCTAGCCAAATAATTCTCCGCTAACAATTACGGACCCATTGCGACGCCTGCTCTCAACCACCACCAGATTCTTGGAACAATCTTTCGCGCAGATCCGCCCGGCACATCGTCATCGCTGCCCTTCGCACCGCCCCGCGACGCTGGAAGGTTTGCAGACTGCCACAACTGCACCCCCTGCTTACGACATATTGCCCGCTACCTACACTCTCGTTTCCTTTCCTCATGGCGTAACGAATACATACACGATACCCCTCGACGACGCCTTGTCCTACCGTCGCCATGATGCCCCCGTTGGCGCGGGACCCCAGTCCTAATGCCACCTTCAAGTTCCCCGCCTTCCAGTCCGATCTCCTGCCCGCGCCCGAGGAAGACCAGGGCTATGGCCTCAGCTCGTCGCGGTCGGCGAGCCCCAGCCATGCAGCGCAAGCCAACGGCAGCACAAACCCCGCAGACAGATGGCAGCCGCGCAAAGAGGCGAGGTTCGGAGTGGTGAATGCTGCGGCGCCAGGCCCCTCGACGAGACACGGGCGCCAGAAGAGCCTGAGCGAGGCCTTCAAGACGATAAGGACGCGCAAGGGCAGTGTCAGCCAGAACGCCCACGAAATCGCCGACGCGCTCAAGGCGCCGCTCTCGCCCAAGCTCGTCGTACGCCCCCCCAACACCTCGTGAAGCCATGCTGGAATGCTAACGGACGCAGCTGCTTTGTGGTATCTGGTACATGACATCCATCTTCACAAACATGTCGTCCAAAGCCATCCTCACCGCACTGCCCAAACCCATTACTCTCACGACGGTCCAGTTTGCCTTTGTATCGGGCTGGTGTCTGGTACTTGCTGCATTTGCAAGGAGGTATCCGCGCTTCAAGCAAGCAATGCCCTTTTTGAAGTATGGAATCCGTCCGCCCTCCAAGGAGCTGATCATGGCCACGATGCCCCTCACCTGCTTCCAGATTGGCGGCCATATACTGAGCGCCGATGCTACGTCGAGGATACCCGTGTCGCTAGTGCACACCATCAAGGGACTTTCGCCGCTCCTCACCGTCATGGCGTACAGCATCTTCTTCAAGATCCAATACTCGCTACCCACCTATCTCTCTCTGATACCGCTGACCCTAGGTGTAGTGTTGGCCTGCTCAGCCGACTTCAACGCCAATCTCATTGGCCTCATTTCAGCCTTTGGGAGCACCATTCTTTTCGTGGTGCAGAACATTGTCTCAAAGCAGATCTTCAACGACGCCGCCGCTGCAGAGAAGGATGGCCTCCCCCCCAACAAATTCACAAAGCCAGACAAGCTTAACCTGCTCTGCTACTCTTCTGGCCTGGCGTTCCTGTTTACTCTCCCTCTCTGGCTGTGGTCTGAAGGCTTCACTCTCATCTTTGACTTTTTGCACGATGCCTCGATCCAGCTCTCTGACCATCCTGGCGCGCTGGACCATGGCCGGCTTTTTATCGAGTTTTTGTTCAACGGAACATTCCACTTTGGACAGAACATTGTGGCTTTTGTTCTGCTGTCCATGGTGTCACCAGTAACGTACTCGGTTGCCAGTTTGATCAAGCGCGTCTTTGTCATTGTCTTCGCCATTGTCTGGTTTGGAAAGCCAATGACCAAGGTTCAAGCGTTTGGCTTTGTGCTCACATTCATCGGCCTCTATCTCTATGACCGCACGCACGACTCAGCCAAGGCAGATAAACGCGCCAAAGCACTGCAGTCCAAGGGCCATGGCACGCTGCTGCCTCTATCGACCGATGTCAAGTCGCGGCCCATGTTCACGGCTAGCCCATCTTCCATGACGGCAACTGGCGCATATCCCATGGCAGGCATATCCGAGTCAAGAGATGAGAAGAGAGATGACAGCTTAGGAGCTTCGGGATTTAAACGAATGTCTGAGTCGAGCGGCTCACATTACCTGCCGCCAGGGACCAAGGCAGAGGAGACGTGGCGACACAACGACATGAGTAGCAGTAGAAAGAGCATAGGTGTTTCATGAGCATATTTCCAATCTAGACGTTGCATTCTGACGACATGACCACCATGAAATCGCAATGATGCCAATGAGTCTACTGAGACGTGAGGACTCGCAAAAAATCTAACATGAGTGAGCTGTCATTGCATAAGACCTTACATACACATCAGCCATCGCATTATCGTCTTCCGTCCGAACATGAGAAAAAGATGCCCTCGCGGCAGGCAAAACCAAGCAGAGACCCCGACACCTTTGGCCGAACAGAAGCAAACCGAGACACAAAGCAGATGTAAAGTGAGGGACTTCCGGGACGCCAACGGGGCATTTGCGTGACTCGTGTAGCGCGTTGTATCATAGTATCGCCCGCTATAGGAGCGCCTTCCTTTGCCCTTCAAAACATGCGTGATGCAGCAACAGCCAGCGCCAGGCCGAGTGTGCGAAGCGTTGTTGTTGTTGTTGTCATTGTTCGTGTTGGGCTGGTGGTTTTGTTCTTCTAGCAGCATCCCTTCTTTTGCTCTGCATCGGCTGACTTGCTAATCTCAAGCACTTTGCGGTCGTTGCCAAGGACAGGCCCACTGCCTTCGCCTTGGTCCAGGGCTTTGCTTGACACAATGCGGTAGATTTCTACGAGGCATGTTAGCAAGCGTCACTATGGAGCTACGGGGCGCGGCATGCCTGTGAGAATGTTCTGGAAAGCGAGCTCGACGTTGCTGGCGTCCAAAGCAGACGTCTCAATGAAGGAAAGGTTGTTCTCGCCTGCGTAAATCGATTAGCATGCGTCTCGGGCAACTGGCCCACGCAGCCGTGCAGGCGGCGCCATGGGTATACGCACTCGCAAACTGCTTGGCCTCCTCGGTTGGCACTGCCCGCAGATGCCTCAAATCGCTCTTGTTACCCACAAGCATGATGACAATGTTGGAGTCGGCATGGTCGCGCAGCTCCTTCAGCCACCTCGTCACATTCTCATATGTCTGGTGCTTGCTGATGTCGTAGACAAGCAGAGCGCCGACTGCGCCACGGTAGTATGCCGACGTAATGGCGCGGTAGCGCTCCTGGCCTGCCGTGTCCCAGATCTGGGCCTTGATGGTCTTGGCGTCGACTTGGATGGAGCGGGTGGCGAACTCGACGCCGATGGTCGACTTGGAGTCCAGGTTGAACTCGTTGCGCGTGAACCGGCTCAGCAGGTTGGATTTGCCGACGCCAGAGTCTCCGATGAGCACCACTGCGGGGGTTAGCGGGGCAGTCTAGGGGCGACGACGGGGCGTGGAGGTACCCTTGAAGAGAAACTGCACGGACAGGCTGTCAGTATAGGCTGCGGGCACACGGCTGCTGGCGTATGGAGACTCACGTCATATTCGTCGTTGGCCATTGTTACCGTGGGCGGGGGACGAGATGGAAGGAGGCCGGCGGCTGGATGGTGCGTCGAGGCGTCGGGGGGCGTCTTGCAAACAGAGTGTAGAGGGCGGCCGCAGTATCAGCACAGCGGGCGGAGGGCGTGGGGGACGGTTGGCGGTGGTGGTGGTGTGGTGGTAGTGGTGGGCAGGTGCTGTGTATCTCGCTGCCTCGAGGAGAGTTGCTCCACCCACCAAGCACCAGCCAGCGCCCCCGAGCGAGCGAGCGAGCCCATGCCCATCTTAGGTAAGCGAGACGCTAGCCTCCACGACCCTCACCTTGCCTTGGTACCTGACCTTATCTCACCTGCAGGGCCCGAACATCAACCCTCTGCTGTGTGTATACATGATATCTGCTTGCTCTCACCCGACACGCCAGCACCGCCCCCTCCTCCTCTTCTCTCGCCCTCTCTGCGCCCACCAGCGCTGCGCTCTTCACAGCGTGGTGGCGCGCCATTCTGCATCAAGACAGAGCACTTGCGCGTCGTTTCAGCATCCCATGGCTGCCACTGGCCAATCAAAGCCGCACCCGTGACATGGCCAGAACTGCCTAGGACAAGCACACATCGCCCATCTCCACATCCACCACCACAGACTGCCATACCGACGACATGTCCACCAATTCGGGACAGCTCGAAAGCATTGGTTTTTACATCGTTGAACAAATCCTCGCTGAGCACCGGAGTGTCTGGAACAATGGCCCTGGCCAACCCAGCTTTCATGGTATCAAATATCTGACCAAATGGGACGGTTATCCCCTTCACGAGTGAGTTGGCTATCCCGCCATCCCGCCATCCTCGCAACCCGCGCTGACCTATTTGCAAGATGTAAGCACTGTCTTAACGTTGTTTGAGAGCTTTGCTAGATTGTGTGTTGTCATTGAGATTGCTAACGTCTGTCAGGCACCTGGGAACCTGCGTCGGCTTTTTCTGTTCCAAATGAAGATGGGGCCATTCGTCCTGGAACACCACCCGTCCTCCAAACGTGGTATGAGCGCAAAAGGTCTATGAGCGAATCCCAATTCCAGATGTATTGCCGGAAGAAGATCGATGCTTTTAATGCAGCATGTGAAAGTGCCATGGTAGCTAAAAAAGTAGATCGTTCCAAGAAGCGACAAAAGCCCATCCCGCCAAGGAGACAAGCAAGACCTGTAATATTCGACAATGACGATAAAGATGAGTATGTCCCACCTGTTCAACCACAGAACCAAGCTAGTCGCAAACCTCCGGTACGGCCAGATGCCTCGTCATCCGAGGCAGAGTTGGCGGATGGCCAAATGAGCGCCGGTTCAAGTACACGACCGACGAAGAAGCGACGGAGTTCAAGTGGAGCAAATGACTCAATCAACAATGATAACAACTCGAAACGCGGTAAAGTTCAGTTACCTCGTAGTCTACCCGAAGGCGCTTCACCAACCTCGGCACCGAAATTAGTTGCGCAAGCGGATCAACGCACGTCAGTAACAAAGACGACGCCGCATAGTCCTCCGCAACCCATGAAGAAAGTAGCTTTGCAAAAGGCTAGACCTGAGACAGGACGACTTGGAACGGACGGCAATAATTCATCCGCTAAACCCGCCACGCCCCGTGTAACTGGCCAGTCTAGTGCCAGTCAGGCTACACCCACTCCGGCCATCAGGGTAGTTAATCGACCAAAGGTTCAGTCCCGTAGTGAATGGAAAAATGGTACAAGTCTGTTCTCCACATTACACTTTCGGGGAATGGCGCAGAAGAGGGCGCGTGCTGAAGGTATACCTGATATAGCGGCTCTTGAGATTGTCAACGACGATACTGTTCAGCCAAAAATACCAGGCAGGCGTGAGACTATATACGATCGTCGCGAAAGCAGACACGAACGCGCAGAAGAGCCTGAGCATGCGCCTCTGAAGTCATGGGAGGTAGATAAAGTTCCATTGGTGTGCGCTTCCTGGAGGCTCAGAAACAATTGCCCAAGATCTGCACAAGACTGTTACTTTTTACATCGGAACACAGATGCGAATGGGCGCGATTATCCCGTGGGTGATATGGGAGGCTGGATACCCCCTAGATACCGCAAGCCGCCACTCACGTGCCTTCACTGGTTGCGCAAGAAGGCCGGATGTTACAAGCCGGATGATGAGTGTTCATACGCTCACAAGAATACTGGTTGGATACAGAATGAGAGCAACCCTAGCGCAAAGGCTGTCCGCATTGACCAGAGCGAAGTACCTCAATCAACCTCCCAAACGCCTGTTGTGTCTAACAACAAGAAGCCTCCTCAAGACCTTACTTGTTGGTACTGGGCTAATACAAATTGCAAGAACACGGCCGAAGGTTGCGCATTCCGGCACTATCACACTGGTGTCGTTGCTCGTCCACCACCGGGCTGTATAGATAAGGAATCTAGTAACAACGTCACTCGGCAGAATTCCAACTCCGCAGTGGAGCCATCACTGGAGCCATCACTGGAGCCATCACTAGAGCCATCACTAGAGCCGCCACAGCCTATAGTCGATGAGCCGCATCACCCCGAGACGGCCAACATAGTCCAGCCTCCGGTAGAGACTGAGTTGGTGTGCCTTTCTGATCACGCGCCTGCTCAGCTTTCAACAGATCTGGTCTCCCACCCTCCCGAGCCGCTTCCGCCACCCATTGAGTCTCCAGCCGAAGCAACGTGTGAACAGATACGAAGAAGGATTCGTTCGGTTTGCAAACTTGACTTTGAAAAACTATTCGCCAGCAATAATGGCAAAGCGAACAATCTGATGGATCGACGGGCTTTCTTAGTGTACCATACAGGACAGCATACAGAGGAACTGGAGATTATCACTCGATGGCTGTTGACACATCACGTTCAGGTGTCTGGTGTGCAGTATGCGGGCGCTTGGGAGGCATTCCAGAAGCAAATCAAGCGCGGGGGTTCTGGAGTGATTATTGTGCATCCCGACTTTGAGTATTTTACAGAACTGCCAGGATTGGGCCAAGTTCTCCGTCACCAAGTCCGCATGTGGTCTGTCGGGCTGCAGGAGGCCATCGAATACGACCCGGCCTTGACAGATTCTCCGCCCACATACCGTTACGCTCCTATTGAGATATTCCCAGTTGGTGGCTTCATTCACATCACAGACGACGTGTTTGAGTCGGAGCCGCAACTTGCATTGCGGATTATCCAACTTTTCTTTGACAAGATAGCGAGGCTCAAGCGGCTTATGGACCCGGCAGGTCCTGAGCGGCAGGTCGAAGATGAATTGCTCTGGCGGCTATGTGTGCGGCCAGAGCTGATGGAGTATCTGATGAAGCACTGTGAGGAGCATGAAAAAGAGCTCGAGGCTGGCGACGCCGACATGCAGAGGTTTGTTGGAAACGGACTCAAGATGATGCTTACGCAGACTGACGGTGATATAGCCGCGCTAAACTGTACACCCTGCTGGCCGAAACAAGGTACATTGAGCCAGACGACGGGAGCGAGCCATTAAGTAGCGTGTTTGACAAGTTTCCCATTCTCTCGGAGCGCCGTATGATTGCCGAATGCGAGCCTCTGGACTACTTCAATACGGCGGCGCACAACCAGCAAGAAGCCAACCTGAACATGATCCGGTACTATGCAGGGCTGCAGGTAGATCTGCGGCGCGACTACCGCCACTTTTTCGTTGTGCACACGGAGCCTACGGCGGAGTACGTGCAGCAGTGGAAGGACGAGATTCAGACGATTGCTGAGGTCATGACGCCTAGCAGGTGCGTGCAGGAGCTGCAGAAGGAGGACGAAGTCAGCATGTTTGATTTTTGCGAGCGGTTTATGGCGGCCAAACTGGCAACCGAGTGAAGGAGGAGTTTCTGGCTCAAGGCGTGTGAATATCAACAAGTATGTGAGGAGAGGGTTTTGTAGGCGAACAGCGAGAAGATGGTTGAATAATGTCATTTGTAGACTTTTCCACTTGTCCCGCCGGAATGATTGCATTGGTCTACCGACTTTGCGCTGCCATCTGTGTACCACTGTGAAGTGAATGAAGGAGAAGCGAATTGACATGTCTTATGCATTAATATTCTATTGATTTAATCGTGATGTGCTAACTAAGTATTGCTACATGTGTGCTTGTGAAAAGGCAAATGGGTATATGTAAAAATCCAGCCAAGTCGTCTCAACTCAAGACAAATGTGATGGGCAAAAGCCATATTCCGACGGTCCCTGAAGGGCCATTGCATGGGTTTGCATAAAAGCAGCGCAATGGTACCCTTGCAAGTGTCGTTGTGTGGCGCCCAAAAAAAAACAAGACTGAGCAACTCTGGTGATGAGGGGTTTCACCTGTTGCGCGTGATGGCTGCGGGGGATATTTCAACCGGAGCGCGGCCTGCGATAGATGGTAGCAGGGATCAGGCGGGTTGGTGGCCATGTCTATATAGTAAGTCGTTCGTCTTGCACGACTCGATGTGGAGACCGCACAAACAAGCGCATGCATTCGCGTTCAGTACCCGTGGTCGGGCAGGCACGGAGTAGAAGAAGACATCAGCGGGATTAACCCAAGACTTGATGAAAGTTATTTTTTTTCTTTGGTAAATCATGGTTCGCATTATCCAGAAGGCATAGATCGGTTGGGCGAGTTGCTCGCTCGTGTTGGGGTGGATACGCTGTCGCGGTGCATGTCACGCATGGCTTCGGCGTAGTCATTCTCGGCGACCATGTCTCTTCGATTGTGGTTGTGCGTGTCGTTGGCAAAGTGGTATTGCTTCTTGTGCGGGTGGTGTGGACTGTCCAATGGCCGTATAGGCTCATCAGTCAAGGCGCTGGGAACTATGTCCTCGGGCTCCAAGCCAGCATTGGAGTCATGAAAGTCAGTTTGGTTTGGAAACATGACTGAGTCTTTGTGTTGCCTGTGCGCCCGCTTAGGCTTAAAGGGAAAATTGCTGGCGTGTATGTAGTCGCCGTCTGGGCTGCGGACGTTTTGCAAAGCGTTTGCTTCTCTTTCCATTTCTTCCCAGGTAGCGACGAGGTTGTTTGCGTTGCGGCTGCGACTGTCGCTCATGTCACCGGAAAAGCTGCCCAGGCGACTGATACGGAAAGCGCGCAAGCGGTCGAGGGCAACCTTGAAGTCGTCGAGGACAACCGAGTCTGTCAGGCATTTGAAGACGAAGGCTAATTTCCAGAAGGGGTTGATGCCTGTAGGACCGTGGAGATTGATGGCCTTGGTGACGGACAGAATGTCGAGCACGATGAAGACTATGCTCAGGATCATGGAGAAGAGCATGATGCCGAAGCGCGGGGAGATGCGAATGATTTCCTTGATGCTCAGCTCGTATTGCGTCTTGATGACCCAGAAGAGGTAGACGGTAGTGAAGATCCACCAGGGATCGCGGCAGAGAGCCTCGTATGGCCTGGTATCCAGGAAGAGCTTGTTTACGCCATGGAAGTAGGCAAAGTTTGCGTAAATCTCGAGGACCCAGTAAGGCTGGGCGAGGATGACGGTGCCAATGAAGAAGTAGCTAATGGGGTTGGAAAAGAAGGGCTTGATCTTCATCCAGGCGATGACATTGTGCAGCGACCACGAGGCGTTGAGGAATATGGCGGCGATAGACAGCCACCAGGCATAGATGGGGCTGGGGAAGAAGAGCCAGAAGCCCTGCCATAGGCCGAGGATGAGCTGTGGGGGAAAGTCAGTTGGGGTGGGGCGGCGAGCAGAGCTTGGGTGGGCTTACTTCGAGCAGAATCAGCTGGAGAAGAAGACAGAGTCAGCCGTGGGCGTGGGCGTGGTGGTGTGAAGAGGGGTCACGTGACGAACCTTGTGCAGGAGGACGCCTCGGCGCATGTTGGCGAGGGTGATGAAGGCCATGATGACAAGCGAGCCGACCAGGTAGCCCTGGGCCCATGCCTCAAGGACCAGCTCATTCGGATCCGAGGGCTTTGGCACGACCTGGTGCTCCTTCCAGTCCATGTCGGGAATGGGGCTCATGGCGAGAGCAGAGATTTTTCAATGCTGGCAGCCGAGGCGGAAGCGGCGAGGAGGCGGGCGGTCGGGGTGATGTCACCGGGCGGAAGGGCAGCGCAGAAGGGCTGGACTCGGCTACCATGGCTGGAGCGAGGAATCGAGGGATCGAGGGATGGCGGCGGAGGGCGGCGAGGGTTTTGAAGGCAGGGCCAGGCAGGCAGGGCGGGCCAGGCCAGAGCAGGGCGAGGGAGCACAAGAACAAACACGGCCAGGCAGTTGGAGGGGGGCGTTGTTCGTGGCGCGCCGTTTCTCCGCATCTCACCATGACGGGTGCGGGCGACGGTCACTGGCGAGCTGGAGGCTCCGGGGGCCGCGTGCGCAGTGCGTGATGGGACATGGCGCTTTGTTCCCGGCCGGGCCTAGGGCCGTGGCGCTGCTGCTGCTGCTGCTGCTGCTGCTGTATAGACTCTCACGCGCACTCACACGCACACGCACAGGTGTAGTGCGACGCCGCAACACAGGCCGGCGCTGGATCCTGCCGCCCCTCGCCAATACGGCCAACACGCTCACGGCCACGGCCAATGCTGCTGCTGCATGTGCGATGCGGATGAGCGACATGGGTTCCGTGCCAACGGCGGCGGCGGCGGGACTTGGCCGGGTTGCTGGGACGCGGGGGAGAAACAAAGTCACAATGACAATTGCAGCCAGAGGGGCCCGCATGACAATCCCCGCGCCCGCATGTTGAGTCGAGTCTGGTCGCGCTGCAGGGACCCCCTCCTTCTGCCGCCTTTCTTTTTTGTCCCCCCCGGTCTTCTTTTTCTGTTCTTTGCGTCTTTTCCTTTCTTTTGGCGACGATAAGATGAGAGGACGATCAAATATCCCAACGCATGCCAGTGCATTAATGAATAGGCCATGGGCCACAGGATGCACTCTCGCTCATTCACACACACACTCTCTCTCTCTCCATATCCCCCCTGCACTTCTCCACAGATTGCGGCTTCCATTGCTCACCCGCCTCCAATTCCAGAACAGGCCCGACAGCTGCCATGCAAACGCGGGCGAGCAGACGGCGTCATCGTGACTGGCGGCTAGCGCGTGCCCCGCCAAACGCCTTGGCCCCTCATCCCAGCACACGCATTGCCTGATTGCTTGATTGCTCCATTGCCATTGCCATTGCCATTGCCATTGCCATTGTGACTGTCCCGCCCCGCTCCGCTCCCACAAACCTCGTGGCCATGTTCAAGAAGAAACCAAACGTGCGAAAGCTGTCCCGCCCGCCTGCCCGAGCCCCCCAGCTCTAACCCACCCCAGATCAAGCCCCTCTCCCCGCTCAAGTCCAGCGACCGCCGCAGGACCGCCGACCACATCATTGCAGACTTCGCTATTGATATCCCCCTCGACCCCGACCCCGCCGCCACTCCCAACACCGACCCCGCCGCCGCCCCCAGCGACAAGGCGCCAGCAGCAGCAGCGTCGTCGTCGACGGCCGCCCTCACTGCCCTGCGCAAGTCGCTTCTCCCAGAAAACACCCTCTCGGCGCGCTTCACCACCACGGCCGGCCCAGACCTCAGCCAAGTCTCAGGCACCATATACGTCGGCAGCCACGATGCAACAGCCGGCGAGCAGCGAGTCCTCTGGGTCAAGGTCGCCGACCGCATGTACCCCACCGTCTACACGCTCTGGCACAACCCCCGCATCGTCCCTCTGCTCTACACCCCGCTCGTCGTCGTCGAGAAGCTGCAGGCCGGCGCCGACCTGATGACCCCTGGCCTTCAGCGAGGCCCGCCGTTTCCTGCAAAGGCCACCAAGGGCGCCATTGTCGCCATTGCTAGCCTCGAGGCCCCAACCGTGCCCATGGCTGTCGGAGAGTGCACCATAGACGTCAGTGCGCTGGGAAATGTACAAGGAACAAAGGGCCATGCCGTATCCACGTTTCACTGGGCAGGCGACGAGCTGTGGTCCTGGAGTCCAGCAGGCAAGCCAGGTCGCGACCCGCCCGACCTTCTCGACGGCTGGGACGACGACAACAATCAAGACGCGAGCCTCGCTCAACACACTGCTGCCATTGATCTCGACGACCAACAAGGTGGCGTCGCACTCGACTCTACTACCGCCGACCGCTCCCAGGCTGAACAGACTCAGGGTGTCGATGGCGAAGACGCTCCGTCAAATCCCGGTTTCGTTGATGTTGTGGAAGACAAAGAGTTGACGACAAAGGGTAGGACGCATTCAGTCCCGTTCGCCATGCCAAAAGACACGCACTAACCATGTGCAGAAATTGACGATGCTTTCAAAAACGCCTTTCTATTTGGCGTGCGGCACCACATGGACCACAACAGAGACCATCCGAGCTACGGCTTCGAATTTCCTCTATCACAGTCGCACGTCATGTCGCAGCTCGTCCAACCCTTTCTCCCCACCTACACCCCTGCGCGAACCGCTTCCTTGCAAATCAAAAAGACAAGCTGGAAGAATATCAAGAAATTCATCAAGTTTCTAGACAAGCAGCTCATTGTCAGGTCCAAAGACCGTGATGGCAACGAGGTGGTTATCCTCGACATTGATTTCAAAGATCGCCAGATAGAATCCTTTGTTCCGTACAGGTTACCCAAGAAGGATACCACGGCTGCGACAAGTGCAAATGGAAAGGCCGCGGCGTCGCCATCAGCCGAATCTGCGCTTGGCCAGAAATTGAAGCTAGTTTCTTTGCTGCGACCCAAAGAGAAGCTGGCTCCCATCCTGAATGCGTCCAAAGCAGACATTCGCAGTCTATACACACCTGCCCAACTCAAGCAGTTCCTCATTGCCTATGTCGAGGCAGAGAACTTGGTTGACCAGAAGAACAAGCGTCTCGTCCGGATAAATCCTCAGCTCGCAGACGCTCTATTGGGCTCGTCAGCAGCCGACAACGCGGCACTCTCGTCAGGAGCCATGCCCAGAGACGCCCTAGCAGAACGCATGATTGGTGCTGCTGCTGCCTCCCCGTTCCACGCTATTCTTCGCAACGATGCCAACATTGCTGACACAAAGCCCAAAGCCGGTGCCCCGCCCAAGATTCACATCACGCTTGAGACACGCAGTGGCAACAAGACTGTGACCAAAGTGCACGGCTTAGAGCCCTACTACATTTCCCCCCAGCCACTGGCTGACGAGTTGAGAAAGACATGCGCAGGTAGTACAAGTGTTGACAAGCTGCAAGGATCGAGTCCCAAAGCGCCCGTCATGGAGGTCATGGTGCAGGGCCCTCAAAAAGACGCCATCTTGAAGGCATTGGAGAAGCGAGGCGTGAACAAAAACTGGGTCGAGATTGTAGACAAGACAAAGGGCAAGAAGAAGTGAGCTCCCTGACGCGTGGTATGATGAGAAAATGATACCTTTGTTTGTTTGCCTGCACAGCCGGGTGTGACGTCGAACAATACCATCCACAAAGAATGGAAGCTAGGGGTGATCGGATGATTAAACTCCGAGCCTCGGCTTGTGATTACAATAGCGTCCGCTGCACCATGGCGAAAGCGTCACACCCGTTCTGCTGATAATACCCGATAGCGCGCCTTCTGCTCCCGTTGATGCCTTGTTTTCTTTTCCCTTGGTTTCGCAGCCCTTCTCGATCCGGCCTGATATGGTCACGATGGCGCAAACGGCTGGCGTTATTATTGGAGGCGCGTCCATAGCAGCACTCGCGGCGCAACCAGCATGGAGAGGCAGCCTGTTGGCTACGCTGGCTCGATGGACAGGCTACCATGCGCCCGGGAGCCTATGGAGGATAGCCGCCATTCTCCTTGCCCTGGTCAATCTCAAAAACCTGCCATTTGTCTGGCATGTATGTACTTGGCCGTGCGACACAACATGCCACTCCGCAAGCTGATCGTGTACCCAGCTACGTTTCTGTCGCGCCCTATTCTACCAACTCTACCTCCAGCCCACGCCCATCCCTCCGCATGCCCTCTTCCAACCCATCATCACGTCGACTCGCACCACGCTCCTTGAAACAGACTACAACATGCACAAGTCCAACAGCACCTACTTTAGCGACATGGACATTTCGCGCACACACCTCTTTACCGCCATAATACGCAACGGCATCCGAAAGAACAGTCGTTTGTATGGCGCCAAGAAAAGCGCCCTGTCTGGAGCCGTGGGCGCAACCAAGGGCACACGAGGCCGACATATGATTGCGCTGGGTGGAATAAGCTGCCTGTTCAAAAAGGAAATATTGCCGTACAAAAAGTACGAGATGTGGACCCGGTTACTCTGCTGGGATCGCAAGTGGTTCTACCTCGTTACACATCTTGTCAAGCCGGGTGTGGCGCAGCCCAACAGCTGGACACTGCAACCTTGGGCCAAGTCGCACAGCCGCTTGCAAAGTAATATTGATGCCGCCAAGCTGAAAGATGCAGTGTATGCGACTGCAATCGCCAAATATGTCATCAAGCGCGGTCGCATCACAGTGCCACCCGAGCAGGCCCTGATTGACGCCGATATGGTTCCGCTGAAGCCTGAGGGATGGGCATATCATGGTGCCGCGCCTGAACAAGGCGACGTCAATGCAACTGCCCTGCCCGCAACGCCAAAGCCCGAAGAGTGGAATTGGGATGTCATCGAGGCCGAGCGCCTGCGAGGATTGGCTATCGCTGGCAAGTTTGCCGAAATGGACGGTATGCACGATTTCTTTGATGGTGGCAAGGACGGTGTGCTGGGCGAGTATCCGGATCTTCTCTTCTAGTTTTGTACGGTTTCGAGGGGGTGTTTTTTTTAGAGTAGAATATAGAACCTAACAACAAGAATGTATTCTTCCTTGAATCTCGTACCGCTATCTTCATATATCATGTATTAAACGAGGAAAAACTAGAGAAAATTGTGTCAGCTGACATTTTCAAAAGGTCATTTTGCGGAGCCTGTGTATATAGAACGCACAACCCTTTTTTCATGACTAGGCACCCTGCAAGTCCTGGGCTTCGCCTATCCTCATGGCCTACAGGAGGTTTTTGGGAAGGGACGTGAAATGGAATACTACTACTTAAATGTAATTTTCTATCTCTGATTATTTAAAAGGCTGAACAAGAGCCTTAAGAGAAAAAAAAAATAGTTAACGTGGTTCACAAGTGAGTCGCTAACCTAAGCGAGTCGCTAACGCCCCACCACTACATCTACATCAACACGTTATTATAGTTTCTTATTATAGTTAATAAACTATTATAATATACTAAATTAATTATTAAAATTACTACTATTACTTATACTATCTATCTTAACTACGCAAGTATAAGCGTTATGTCTGTAAGGGGCTGCGCTCCGGGGAGCAATCGCGAGGTATACAAGAGGTTGTATTCGACAAGGAGCTATCTACTCTGCTTACGTGGTGTTTATTTACTTATCGGAGAAAGGTTATGCCGGAGTATCTAAGCGCGTTGTCTGAGCGCTGCTCGGTCTGAACGTAGTTCAGATGGTGCGCGCGCAGCTTAGCCCGAGATTCCATCAAGGAGCTATCTAAAGGGCGTTTAGCCCGTTACAATACCCCCCTCCTTAGGGGATACCGCATCGCCTCTCCGAAACCCTTCTAGGAGGCGGCCCTCGCTGTCTTGTTTAGCCTCCGTGAATGCTTCCCAACGATCTACTGCCTCAGCGTCCTCTAGCAGCTTAGCTGGTTCGAGCGTCGTTTGGTGGAACCCTTTCTATTTCACCTTGTAGTATAGCTTACGCCCTCTCCTACGGCGGCGTACCTCTTCTGCTATAATGTCCTCTACCTCCCATTCATCTTCTCCGTCTACCTGTAGTGGCTGTGGCTGATAGTCGTCCTGAACCTGGTTTGGGAGGGGATCGTTGCTAGCGAGTTTCAACCGATCAACATGAAAAACAGGGTGTGGTCCTGGAGGTGTATCTAATTCGACTAAGTGGCTATTGATTACCTTCACCACTATATACTTAGCGTTCTTCCAGTCGAGCTTC